GTTATTATTGAGAGAAAATTATGTCAGAAAGATTCATTTGAATAAAAGGGGACCTTCACAAAAATATTTCACTCAAGGAAACAAGACTGCTAACATCTGTAATCTGATATTTTGAAGACTTTGGGCTGTGCATCAGAGTCACAAGTTCTCAAAACTAATTCTATTCCATCCTGAGATCTCCTCCCTCTCTCCATCTAAATGGCTGCGATTCATGTTTCATTCAATATTATGAATTGAAATTTTTCTAAATGGCCCGAAATTTTTCTCTAGGTGGGGCAGAGTGAGTGGGAACAGCAGCTTTATATAGAGTAATAATAATAGAAATAACACCATAAATCTGATTATTCAAATGTTGAAGCAAATCTTAGGTGGAACTAATAAATTTGCGCTCCACAGCGTTGTTTTGGTTTACTGTTTTCAACTCATTAAGAATTTTTATAATCATATTATCTTCTTCTATTTTTTCAGGAATATTTACCTTTCCCCTGAGGACCTATTTAAAGAGATTGCAGCCTATGAAGACTCAGAATCGGACCCAGAACACTCTGGGTATGATCTTGTTTTATTACTCTCTTAGTTCTTTGTTTTTTAGTTGCTACTAATGTGATTCTTTCCTTTTTAAGCTGATGAACTCGTGATGGAATGATTAAAAAATTTTGTCTGTGGTCTGTGACATAGCAGTTGTTTTTCCTTAAGGAAAGTATAACATTCAAGACATCCAATACCTACAATGCTAGTTCAGATAGTGCCTATTAGGCACATGCCTAAAATCCAGTACAAACTTTTTCGAAAAGTGGCTAGTGATTTTACCCCTTTCCGGTCCGCAGCAGTTTTCCACGGCCGCGAGAAGCGAGGTTAAGGTAGCAGCGATGTTGTCAACAAAGACAGTGGTTTCCAAAGGGTCCACCAGAGGCCGCCACTTGCTGGAGCAGTTGAATATACCCGACATCAGGCCTGCACAGAGGTTAAAACTTTCGGGCGACTATATCCGACATCGGACCTAAACGCATTATTTTTCACGGCGAATATATCCGACATTGGACCGGAAAGGGTTACTAGTTAAACAGTTGCACTGTATTTTTTTCTCTCTTTTTTTTTTTTTCATTTTTTACTGCCAATGGCGCAAGTCTTTAGTTCATCATTCTTATGTTTTTCTCTTTTCTTAGGAATGACAGTGAATTCGAGCAAGAAGAAAGTGAATTGATGAATGATAGTGAATTCGAGCAAGAAATGAGCGACGCAATGAATGAACCACCTTCATCTCCAATTAAATCTCCAGAACCAGAGCCGCAGGTTTGTTTTTCTATAAAGTTTGCTTTATAAACCGGTTAAAATTATCAAACATCTTTAAATATATACATTATTTGCCTACACAACATGTGCATTGTCCTTGTTTATTGCTTTTCAAAGTTTTGTTGATGCTGTATAGATCAATATAATTGGTGCCATTCGGATGTGCCTATAAATAATATAAGTAGTATACACGCGACTACTGTAAGGTGGAGCGTTTTTCCACTTTTTCGAAATCGCGAAACGGGTAGGGCTCCTCAAGGTAGTAGGAAAAGTTGCTCCTCAGAAAATTATTGGACACGTGTTTTTCCTTTCTCTGAAATTTTGACCCCCTCCCCTGCCCCCAAGCCGTCGAAGTTTCGATTTTTTCGAATTATATGTCGTTTCTAAAAAGAGCCACAATAAGTAGCCTCTCCTGACATAATGTGCTCCTAAAACAAACATATTGATCGCATGATAGATCGCAACATGATAGATCGGTCGGTGTTTTGAGAAAGGATCACAATCGGAATGAGAGGATACGTGAAATTATGGGCGTCAAAAACAACATAGTGCATGACATTTTCACAAAACAGCTTGTCTGGCATGGCCATGTGCAACAGATGTCAGATAATAGGTTGCCTAAGAAGGTTCTGGATTGGGTCCCCCCTGGCAGAAAGCGTAGAGGACGCCCTGCCAAATCGTGGATTGAGGGAGTAAGGCAGGAAATGAGGAGATGCGATCTGCTGGATGAGCTTGGGCAGGATTGCTGTCAGTGGTGGTTGAGTGTCGCAGAGCACACAGAAGTGCCATAATAGCGACTTGTTAGTAGTAAAAACCATGTGCCTCACTTATTAGGTCAGTGCCCTTTTTTATTGGCACGGTGCAGTACACTCCACTTGTACCCTTGTTCCTTACTCGTACCTTATGGATGATAAATAATTAATTAATGCGGTTAAGTTCATTGGCAGAGGTATCTAACTTATTGTGGAGCAAAAAAATGAGGTGACATTTTTAATTAATACTTCATATTGGTTTGTTTTTCTATCAGGAGACTGTGAAACATGTAGCTGGATTTTATGCTTTGTGCACTTTCTGCGGGTATTTGTCTTTGAATTTTGCTAATTGTGAGAGATGCAAGCGAAAATTGCCAGGCGAGATTAAAATGGTGCCAACCGCAAACAGGAAACTCAACACAAACATTATCATAACAAGGACAGAAAACCCTGCATCCACACCATCAACAACTGCCTCTCAGCCTATTAGCCAACTTCAAGTGAGTATTCAGAATTACATCTCGGTTTTCTTTCTCTCTTTCTTCTCTTTCTCTTCTATATTCTCTCTCGGAAGAATTGTAATTTACCCTTGATCAGAATATCAACTCTCAAATATAGAGAGGGCTCAAATGGATTTTTCATGTCATCGAGTACAGATACAGTTTTTTTGTATCCTGTCGGAGACAAAGTCCAGATGATTCGCCAAGGTGTCCGACCAAAACCATATAACACAGTGGTTTTTTTGCGTGAAGAAAATCCACCAACTTTGTGTGTTTCAAGGATTTACTTTATTCTCTCTGAACATGTGATGAATGTTTTTCCAAATGTATCACATAATTAGTGGACATCATAAAGTCAATGAACTTGTCTTTCTCCCTCACTCCTTTTCTCACCACCCCTTTTTTTGCTCAGGGCCCTAATTTGGTTGACCGACCTTACGTGGGTTACGATTGGCTCAAGCCATGAACATGTAATACAATCTAGACAGCATCTACGGCTGTTTTGATGAGACTATAGATAGGGAACCTGGGTTGAGAGTAGCACAAGAAAATTTTTGGAATTAAGGACAGCTGGATGCGAGGCATGCATGCAAGGCTAAAAGCAGCTTTTAATGCTATATGTATACCAGGTTGCAGCGTTTCAGGTGAAGATGTGTTTTTAGCCCCAATAAGCTGTCTTACCTCTCCCACAAGAAGTCAAGCCACACAAACAGTCTAGATTGTAGGGATGGCTTTAGCTGTCTATACCTCTAGCGTAAACTCTTTGATAAGTTAAGAATGACTGATTTTAAGGTTATATTTACTTGATTTGCGGTCGGCTGTAGCCAGCGAAATCCAGGCCCTGTAATTCTTACCTTTTTCCTATTCGTACAGCAGTAGGCAAAATAATGGCTAAAAAATATCAATGTGCGCTAGAGATAGGGGGGCAGCTCCTAGTCCTTTTTTTAACAACATTTCTTTGGGGGTGTTATCTTCTTCATCTGCACACTGTGTACATTTGTGAAAAAACCCATCTTTAATCTTGCAGCATTGCAAATTTTCTGTCTTGGGTACTGTGCTGTGTATTCGATTGAAAATTTATCAGCATCCTCTCTTTAAATTGCTTATTTTTTCTCTCTGTGTGGAGCATATTTCAAGAAAATTTTAAGCATAGTCAAAGTGCTTTTACTTTCCATGGATATTGAAATTTGTGATGGGAATACCTGAAAAAGTTCCTGTCTGCAGAATTTCTCACTTTAACCTATAGTTATGGTCTTGACTCATGGGTATGGGCGAAGGCTCTGCTTTTGTTTGGTATACTTTGCCCATGAACCAAAATTGTAGTGCCTGCAGGCAAACGACACATGTGAATACTGTTATAATAGCACTGAGAAATTACAAGCATAGAATTGAATTATTATTCTCAGGTACATCATTCATGGGTGCATTTTAGGTCTTAGATGTATTATGATTAGATGTGTCTTAGATGTATTATGTATTATGATGTATAGATGATGTATATGATTAGGTTTTAGATGCCCTCACATCAGCTTTTGACCAGAGTTTAGGAAACCTACTTGTTTGAAACATAAATAAAATGATACTGAAAATGAGACTTTGAGCACATGGTAATAATTACAAATAAGAATCTGCGTAAATACTTAAGTAAAAACATCAGGTATCTACCCTGGTATCCATGGATTTTTGGCAGGGTATATACTCAGGTACTTGTCAAACTAACATTGCTGATTGAAAGTCATCAATTACTATATAATTATAAGCAAAGGTGTTATAACTGGAGTTGTATGCATGTGCTTTACTTCTCTGTCAGTCATCGGTCGGTTGCTCAAAACTTTTTGTTTTATATTTGCAGCAGTTACAGCAAATTCAGCAGAAATTAGCCCCAGGAAAGGCAGTCGCTGAACAAACTAAAAAACCCTTGCAGACCAATCCTCCTGTAAGAAATGTCCAACCTGCTGCACCAAAAAAGAAACGAGTGAACCGTAAAAAGAATGAAGAACCAGGTAGGGATTACCATTTATATCACATGTGTACCTATTTTGATTTTAGAAGTGTTCTTGTTTAGATTTCAAGTCAGGTTGAAGCTGGTTTTTTAGGTCCTTGGAAATGAGGCTGGTTATTGAAGTTTAGTATCTGTCTGGAGCAGGATATATTATCTAAATATCAGACATCATCTGGATAATATTCCTGTGGGACAAAGCTTGTTTTACCCTAGAAAACTCCTGTTAAATGTTCCATGCTAATCCACATGTTTCTAAAGTCAGTTTTTCGTTCATTCTCTGCTCTCTGTCAATGATGTTTGCTGATTTCATTGCTTAGTTATATTAATGATCTCTACTCGAAGAAGACATATCAAAGAAGTTTGATAAGTGTCCCCAAGACTAGCGAGTTTCAGGTTGGCCAGCTTTTGTTTGCATACCCAGCCATCATAGATCAAATGATCAGAAAAAATCAATGATCAGTAAATTTTGGAAAGAGATAGTTTTAGATCAATTGAGCGAATGTTCATACACCTGAGGCGCTCGTGTACAAGAGTCTTTCCTCCCTCTAAAAATTGAAGAAAATTCTTAATGTGGCTCCTAGGCAAAATTTGTCATAGTTATGCATCTATTTGAAGAAATGACTTCTCCCTTTTCTTGTTTCATCTCTTTTTGCCAGCCTAAAATGCAAGAGTTACAAAAAATTACAAAACCATACTAATACATTCAGCTTGTTTCAGATGTTCGTAGTGAAAAATAAGTAAAAAATATTGCTTCCAAAAATGTATCTGATCTCTTCACCTTCTCTTTGTTTTTCAGAGTGCCTGACGATTTCATCCGACGAAGAAGTTACCCAACCTCCTCCAGAGACAAATAGGCAGGTCATCATGAGAGACCCAGCTATTACAGACTCCACTCGTCTTAAAGAACCAATCATCACTGATGAACACGAAAGTGAGAAAGAAAACATTACTCAAGGTGTTAAAGGTAATATCTTTTCTCCTAAAGTTCATGTTTAAGCGTTGCCAACAGTTAAAGTAAATCTGTGATGGCAGTCGCTGAAAAACAGTCCTCCTTAAAATCTGAAAGGAGTCACGAAATTCATTTGCAATGAAGTTTGCCATTAGTATCAATCAATACAGTTCTGGATCTCCCTGCCTCCTAAGTTGGACCGTTTTCAGGGTGTCTAGCATCAGGAAAAACCGGAAAATATCAGGATTTTTCAAAATTAAAAAATACTAGACACCCTGGTTTTGGAACTTTTTTCGTTATTCCAATATGGCTAGAGTCAAAAGGTTGTCTTTTGACATAAATTGGTCACTCAGAGATTAATTATAGATACAATTGTTTATTTTTTTATAGAAATAAATTTTCTAAAAAAAAAAAGGTAGAAAAATGTATGTAAATCCATCGTGTTTAAATTGCAGGTGGAGGTCTGCCAGAAACAGACATCGATCAAATGTTCAGCTGTTCTCAGAATGATTTTACCCATCTTCAATGCCGTACAGTTAGGGTTGGATCATATAAAGTTGTGCCGAAAGATAGAGTACTTCTCTCACCAGCTGGTGTCCAAATCATAGTTCCTTCAGTTGAAGACAGTAAGTGCTTATTATTACTCTATATAAAGCTGCTGTTCCCACTCACTCTGCCCCCCCTAGAGAAAAATTGGCCGAAGCGATTTCCTTTAAAATTGGTACACGCTTAGCTATTGTAATGAGGAGTTGATTAAAATTATTCCCATTCAAATCCGCTGCCTCGGATGCCCGCAAGAGCGAAAAGTTATTTCTCCATATAGTATTACATTGGAGATACGCGGTTGTTTACGCGCATCGCGCCGAACAGGTTCAATCCTGTTGCGTGACGTCACTGCCTTATAGACGAAATTTAAGGTTTTAGGAGGTATTTTTCGACGAATGTTTGTGGAAATTGGTAAGCGGGGGTATTTTTCTTGGGGGATCTCGAATTTTTGGTCGGATTTTCAAAATCTCAAAATCCAAGATGGCGGCCGTGGCCTAAAATGCTAAGTCGGCTCCTGTTATATCGATTTTCGTGAAACTCGGTATCCAGGGGTATTTTTCGACGAGAAACTCGAATTTTTGGTCAGATTTTCAAAATTTCCAAATCCAAGATGGCGGTCGTGGCCTAAAATGCTAAGTCGGCTTCTGTTCTATCGATTTTCGTGAAACTCGGTATCCGCAGGTATTTTTCGACGAGAAACTCGGATTTTTGGTCAGATTTTCAACATCTCCAAATCCAAGATGGCGGCCCCGCACGAAAACGCGGTCCGGACTCCTAGAACATCAATTTCTGTAAAACTTGGTGAAAAAGAAGATTAAGACATAGATGTTGTCTCCTCTTCAATGTTAAAAACTGTGCGGGGCGGTGGCGGCTCGCGGAGCGAGTCGCAAGTTCGTCGCGAAGCGTAGAACTGGGGTCCAGGGGCACTCCCCGGCTAGACGTGTCAGCTCGCAAAGCGAGCTAATCACGACTAGTCTCATATATAACTCAGTCTGCATAAGTTTTTGCTCTCCTTTCACTGTTCAGTGTTGATGCGTTATTGGCCTGAACGGTCATTATTCATTTTTGTAGGGCCTACCAAGTAATCAGTAAAGTTCTGATAAGTTGGTCGCAAGTCATTTTCGGCTCAAATTCATTGCAAAAGCTATTATAAAGAGAAATTTAAATCCATCATGCCCAATAAAAAAGTCTTATACTAGTGAGATCCTCCGTTTTTTCCTTCAATTTTGATGGAATTTTGGGGAAACGTAGTCCATAGAGAACTAAACCCTGTAGTTTAGCAGCTCCCACTACTGAGCATTTGGAGTGTGGTAGTAAATTTTGAAAATTACGAATTTTGAGTATTTTAACAGCTTGGGCTCAAATATAAAATATTAATAGTTGCCAGTTAACACAGGGTAATGATCGAGTGGATTGATGCGTAACATTTTGCTGCTCATTTGTATGATTGGGTGTGTATGACATGTGTTCAATCATCTGAATCAATGGTGGTTTTTTGTTTTTTTATACCACATGTTTCACTTCTCTAAGAACTACTTTTCCTCAAAGTTTCTATTAAATTTGAGGTGGCAACAGGGATTCCTCTTTGTAACCAGCTCCAGCTCACAAGAACTTTTCTTAAGTTCATAAAATCATGGAGCAGTAATTTTTTTAGCGGAAAAAACCCCAAGCTGGTTTACTTATGATACGCATTCCTCTCCTCTTTCAAGCACTGCTCTGTGGACCAAAATTAGTGTATCCTGCAATTTTGGTGTAATATAACCCTCAACAGATCACATATATACATATCAACTTGACTTCCCTTATATATTGTTAATCTTTTCTACAACCTTCTGACTCATTATAATTATCTGTTGTGTGTTGTATAGAATATTGCGATGTAAATCATACCGTTTGGATCAACACTTCTTTTTTCTGTTTATTCTTGTTTTTGTTTCTTGTTTTTACAGGCAATGTGAATGTTACGTTGAAAATTTATTTCCAAGATATCATCAGGATCCTTATTCATTTTGGTAAACAGTTGCCAGTGTTGTTCCTTTATATTAGTACGAGTGCAGGTGCAGAAATTAGGAAGGTATTAAAGATGGAATCCAAGGATGGCCACTATTTTGACCCAGCTAGTGAGGGTAAGTCATGCTTCCGTCTCTCCTTGCTTGAAAAGACGGTATCAACAGTTATCCATGAATCATCTTTATTGTTATTTTATTCGATTCAAAGGCAATTTTTAATGTAAATTTTTATATATTTTGTTATGGGTTAAGTAAAATACAGTAAAAGTTTGATCTTATAAACTTCGAGGGACGATGGGAAAATTTGTTAAATCAAAAACTCTTGCAGCAGATGTCGATCAAAGATCAATTTTTAAGCCCTTCAAAGGTGTAAAATATTTTTATTTTTCGGCTCCAAACGATTCCTTCCTTCCTTGACAAACGAAGAATCCTCAAGGGAACAAATCGTTCACACTTACAGCTTGGTAAATGTTGTGAACATCTGAAGTAGCACTTTTTGGGCATTTCTTATTGATTGAGATGCGAGTGATTCAGATCTGCCATCCCATCCCTGTGTTCCGTTTTATTCGGACTCTTATCTGGAAGGTTCAAATGCAAAGCAAACAGGATAATTAAGAAGGTTGGTGGTTGCCGTCGTGTCTTATTTGGCCTTTTACAAAGGTGTCAGAAGCGCAAGAGGGTGATAATAAGAAGGGTTTGATTAAAATTAGATTTTCATTAAATTATTACTCCCTCTTTCCAACAATGTTCTGTTGCCTATGATACAAAAAGTCCATGCAGTATCAATTGATCTTTAAATATGTAGAACGCACCTTTGCAACTGCCTATCGACAGACAGTGAGCGATCAGGGTTCGTTCGTGTCTTATTTATAGCACGTTACGTACTTGTGGGACTTTCTGAGAATTCATTGGGTTAATGCTGCTTTGAACGAAAATGGCATTCCTTGGACCAAAGATACCCTTTGTCCAATTAAATATCTGTTAAATCAAAATTTGCAAAATCGAATCCAGTTTGCATTGATGAGATCTGGGTTTTTTCAGGACTGGAAAAAAATTTGTAATTGAACGTACATTGAATGGAAGCTTTACTGTTTCACAGCTCATTTTTTTCCATGAATTGTTAATTCCATACATATCAATGGGTATTCAGTTAGCACAGTAACATTTTCACTTGTAGATTTGTAGTTGTATGAATTACAGTGAGATTAGTAGGCCGATCATCGCTTTTTTTTTGTACAGATATGTTCTTTGTAAGGGAGACAAGGAATCACGGGTCTGTTGCAAATGATTCGGAGAAAATTATTCCCCAGTCCAGCATCACCTTTTTTAAAATTTAGATCATTTTTTTGACTCTATGTTGCATTTATCATATTTCTTTTTATGTGTTTTTGGAACAGATGAAACGCACAAACGGATAACTTTGCTGCCAGAGAAAATAACTGATGACAGCAGAGTGGCTCTAACCAAAATATTCTTTAACGAAGATAAAGGAGCTAATAAATTTGATGAGCTCAGTGCGAAAGAAGCAAATGATATTTTAGTGCGGGCATCTCCAAAAGAGGTCAGTCTTCATTTTTCTGTAGTTACAATTCATATTTGAAACACAAGCATTGAAATTTTTTTAATTTATACCCAGGTGCTTGTCAAATGCAAGCGTGGAAAGACTGTAAAATGACTGTACCGAGTACGATTTTAAGGAGGAAAATGTATTTTTCTGCATAGTAGAAAATGAAAAGTAGTTCTAAGTCAAAAAACACGATATATGAAAGGAGCAGCAACTGGGAAAATCAAGAGCTTAATCATCAGATCTTAGTTTATTTTCATTAAAAAGAATAAGAAAAAATACATAGTCCAATATCACAACATTGAATAATAAGGTACTGCTAAGAATTTTTCCAGAGAAATACACATAGTATAGGTTTTTTTTATGTAAAATTTCATGAGAAGACATTAAAATTCATTAAAAAATTAATAAAATTATTTTAAAGGGAAGAAATGTATTATAAGTAAATCCAACCAATCAAAAGCCGAGTTGAGTTGACTTAGCCAGACAATGCCCAAGGTTGAGCTCAGCCTATCATCAAAGGCTGTTCCCCCTTTTGGCTTTATCATCAGAGCCTGCCAAAAATATTTCCGTCTATGCTGGGGACCACCTAGAACACGGTCTAGGAGGGAAAATAAAAATATTGAAAAACGGTGCTTTAGCTTCTGCTGAATTGTACTTGTATTTCATCAGGGGGAAAAATGAAAGGATGGGGTAGAATGTGTACGTCTCTACGTCCCAACCAAATCTGATGGATTTGGGTCAGCCTAATAGTCAGGTATGTGCTGGTGAACCTGAAAATTTGAAGTTTCCTGATGGAGTTTCTCCATTTTTAGCGTTCTCTCTTCTGAGGAGTCTCTGTCGCTCTATCTCAGCTGACTCTTCCCTGCCTTGGGTATTTGGTCTTGCGGAATCTAGAATTTATTAGAAATTTCTGGTGCCCCAGAGTAATCAATGTAATTGTTCTGGAGAAATTAAAGTGGAATGCTACTTAAGAGTGATAGAGGACAGTTTCACAAACTGCTGTCAATGCAGATATGGATACATGTAGGAGGTTAACATTTTAACCAAATTAGTTATATTTTTTAAGAGCTAAAAATTTAAAAGTTAATTTCCTTACTTTTGAGTTTGAGTGGAAGGAAAAAGTAGGCTAGCTTATAATTCTTCATAAGAAATCCGATTTTTCCATTTCTTTCAATTTTCATGCTGCAGTTTGTTTAGTAAATTATCTTTTTTTACAAGTTAATGCTCTAAAAGACTGAAGACTAGAAACTCAAAAAAAATGAAGGTAACACTATGTTGATCGGACAATTATTTTCATTAGTTGACAAGTCATTTAGCCTTTAATAAATTAGTACATGAATGTGTAGAATTTTTGCTGTGGCTAAATGAAGCTGAACTGATGAAAAATGTTTAACAGTGTTGGGGCCAAAATAAATTAAAATTTTTTCATCCATGGTGCTGCCAAAGACGGATTCTTTCTGTGTTGACCTGAACGCCTATCTATGATTCTCAATGAATAAAGTCTAGAAGAAAAGAGATGAAGTGGTGGTTTTGACAACCCCTCTCCTTTCAATGACCTAGTTATCAGGGAAGTCTTCAATGATAATGTCGAATATTTTGAGATGAAAGCTTGGTTTTTCACTTGTTGGGGCTAGTTCAATGAGCCATTAAACAAATCCTCCCCCACAAATCGCCAAGTTTTTCTACTTTTGCACACTAAAGAGTAGAAATTTCTTTATGAAACACCAAGACAGCCATTTCATTTCTAAGTTGGCTTGTTGGCACTTTCAAGAACTATACAGTAGGTACCCTTAAATTCCTGGATTTTAGAACATTTATTATAATTTCACATCATGATGTAGTACATAAGGTATTCATTCATACACAATATTTAATCAAGAAACACATTGAAGTACCTCCGAAAGCCAGGGCCCGATTACCACACAGGTTGGCCAGGCTGAAGCCTGGGGCACCAAATTTTGAATTTTATCGAGACTATGAAGGGAGAAAAATAGAATATCCGCGTTATCAGGAGCAGAAAAAACTGTGTGGAATAGGTAAGTCTATGCAAAAAGTATGTCTAAAGAAAAGAATCCGGAGNGGGGGGGGGGGGGAGAAATCATTAGCCTGCGGCGCCAGATTCCTTAATCGGACCCTGCTGAAAGTATGCCCTGTGTAGGGATTGCCAGTGAAAGAACTGCATGATATGCGATAGCTACTCGGAACCTACCATGGACCTACGTTCAGAATTATTTCGAAAGATTTCACCATCAAATATTTTTTATGAGTACTAGACAATGTTCACACTGCAGTATAATGTAACTATAAAGAATTTTTAGTAAATATCCAAAAGTGCTCTGGAAAGGACTGCAGATTAACCCTCATGAAATGATTGCTCTCTTGCAAAACCCTTGAACCGTCAAATAGTGAGGACAAAACCAAAGAAATGCTCTCGTCAAAACGCTGGGGTCAAATTTTGTCGGCATTTTCACGCAGAGTGCAACAACCATTGATGAGTTCTAACCGCACTACCGGCCAATCAGAAGCACAGAAGCACCAAGTACGGTGGAAGGACCGACAAAATTCGGCCCCTGATCGCGATTTTCAAGTGCGATTTATTCAATCAGGGATCCAGTTGACCCCTGATGATGGTAGGATTATATACCCTTGTCGTATACAGTTCGACTAGAAGACTGTTGAACAGTTCGGCCTTGTACGGCGTGAAGCAGCGTCTGCGCCGCGCCGCAGCCCTCCTCTCATTGGCCGATTCTGGTTTGTACATTTCGACGTCACGATAAATTTTCAAAATGTCTGCCAGGCCACCACCTCGACCTTCTCTCTGTTGTAGTCTGTGAGTGAAGCTGGCTGGTTTCGGCGATGCCATGGAGGTAAACATTGTGCGATTGTTGCTCTGTAATTATTACTTCCTCCGATATTTATTATTTCTTCTGTTGCTATTTTACTTCATGCGCGTGAAGAAGTATCTCAGTGTCCGGATCTGTCCGTTCCTTTTCGCTTTCGTGTTTCTCGAGTGCTTTTTGCAACCTAACCTCACTTTTTTCCCCTCTATCAGCCACAACAATTTCGTTCTCACTCTTCGCTCTATCTTCAAGCCCCAATGTATGTTGGCTCCTCTCTTACCCACCGAATCAAGGCCGAATCTTCAACTGATTTTCGAGAAGTTTGGGCCCCTTGAAGAATCCCTTTTTGCCCTCAGTTGACACATCCCCTCCCGTACCAGCGAACATCACCTAGTTAGTCCATCTCGAGTTTCAACAATGTAGCCCTTTTTTTCATTCTAAGGCTGCTTAGCCTTTGTTTGCAGGCTCGAATTTCATTAGTGCATATTTTAATACCTTACTTTTTTTTTTTAGCTAAAAACCTCTTCCCTTTTTTCCTTTCTCTGTTCATCAAATGTACTCTATCAGGATGTTAAACGCTAGGTAGTAGCCGTCACTATCCATTCATAATATCTAAGTAGCATTCCTGAACTGATGGCAAGGAAATCAGGCTCATTGTTTTCCTTCGAGTTTTCTCAGTCTCTATGTTCTTTCATATGATGGTCATTGTTTTACAGCTCCATTCTTGCTTTGATTTGCTGGTTTGCTTTGGTTTTGAATGTCAGTCTATTTAACAGCTCAAGAGTGAGATATTGAAGGAACACAATAATTATTGTTATGTGCATACCGTGTAACTAGATATGGTCGGATCCCAGCCAACTGTGATATTATTAATTAGCAGTAGCCACCTACCTGCCTCTTCTAAACTCAAATTTTTGGGTTTCAGAGGTTAACGATAGTTTCCAGGCGGGAGAAGCAAAGACGTGAAAATCACATGATGGTAAAACCAAATGAAATTGAGTAAGTTCAATGGTGTCTTCTGCTAAGTTGGCAGTTGTTTACTTTCTGTTCCTAAGCGATTGCGCCACAGTTAATAATAGGGATAAAGGAATTTACTGTGTGTGACAATCGAACATAAACAGTAAACAACTGCCAACTTAGCTGACAACACCTCTATCCACTGTCTTTGTGCACTGTGTAACCTACTTCAAATATGTACTCTAGGATAATAAGCTCTTATGGTCCAGATGGAATTTCTAAGATATTATGTCTCATGTTGTAGATTTTGACCTTTAACGATAACTATAACCCAGTTGTGCAGTGCTCGGGCTCAGTCCTTATCAGATCATTTCTGTGCGCTGACATACCTTGTCTTCATTGCTACTTGAGGAATGTGTGAATCATCATTGAGTCACTTCTTTTTCTTATGTTACTGCTATAATTGATCCTGTTTTTTTCTGTTCTCAGGTCCAAAAAGCCCTGAAGCAAACCTCATCCAGCTCTGGCGCTGAAGACGTCATCCGACCGTAAGTAGAATTCTCCATCAGTTCCTTCATTCCTTCCCGCAGATCACTTTGTCATGATGAGTGGGGATTTATAATGAGATTCTTTGAGAGCATGACTAAAAATACTAGAGTACCTGTATAGGGAGAGTATGGACAGATCGCTTCATGGAGGGTTTAGGGCCCAAAAGTGCAGCCACCCTTCTAACCAACTTCTAACGCACAAAATTTCACTGCCAGTCTGCAGATTCCAATTCTAACCAAGATAGCCAAGAATGTACAGAAATGAGCATTCTTCCGCGAAATTGAGTAAATTTATGCAAAAACTGAGTCAAACAAGTGTTTAATAAACGACGGTCCGTAACAATAGTATTAGTAAATCGCTCTGGATACTTGAAATTCATAGGTTGGCTGCATTTCTGGGTCCTACCTCTATTCGCAGAAGCATTGGTGAAGGCCTGATGGATTTTCGGAGTTTCACATCTGTCCATACTCTCGCTACACAGGTACTCTGAAAAATACTAGATCCCAGATCTGACATCCATAACTCATCAAATCTATCAAATAAAGTTTGGCTTAGTTACTATCAATGGTCAGTGGATATTGTGGCTAGCCAACGATGTACCTCACTGCCAGACTTAATGAGAGCATAGGAAATCCTAGCAACCAAAATATTAAACTCGCGCTGAATATATTGTAGAAGTGCATAATTTACAATTAAAAATTTAGTGTGCATGTATATTTTATGTGACTAAAATGGCAAAGTAATTTTTAAAGCTGATGACATCTTCAACTTATTTCCCGTGTTTTTTGTGTCCTCCTTAGTATCATGGCATATCCAGCACCACCAGCTAACGAAGGAATTATGATCAACACTCAAGACTATGCCTGCCTTGGAGAGGACCAGTTCTTAAATGATGTGATAATTGATTTTTATCTCAAGTAAGTGTCAAGTGAAGAGACTGTCTGGAATCTTAGCAATTTAATACTGTAGTTTCTTCATTTTAATTAACAATAAAATTATTGAACTGACCCTGCTACCCTTAAAGCTGCGGTTCTGCATGTCCTGCACCTTTGGGGTATGATCCGCAGACCCCTAGCGGCTGGGTCTCCAGTAAGTAGAATATCTCCTGAAAAGTATTTTACTGATTAATTAATTGAAGAATATTGAAGAGATGATTTATTATAGTTGAGACAAAGAGAGTGATTGGTTTTGTATGGGTGAAGTATGAGATAAACGGTGAAGAATCTATATAGTTTATTTGATTGAAGTTTAAAGACGCCATTTTTTCGAATCACGTTCAGAATAAAACAAGGCGTTGTGACTATTTTAAACTTCATTATATGCCAAAGCTTTCTTCTCTGGTAGCTCTAAAGATGGCCACTAGGCAGAAGTGCTGCAGCAGATAATAAAGCTTTGAGTAGTTTCAAGGCTGCAGCTAATTTTTATACAATACCCACTCTGTGATCGGTGGAGGTGGGTCTCCCCAGCTTTAATTTTCTTACTATGCATTGCACTCCAAAGTAAGCTGCTTTTTTGTGCATGCAGCTGATTATAATTAGGTCTTAAAGAATGAAAAAAATCATTTTCCTCCTTTCCTCTGAATTAAACATCATGAGGTAGGGGTCCATTCGCTTAGAGATTCTTGAATAACTGCATTGCCTATGGCATTATAAGAGACTACATGTTGTTTTGGCAACTGACATAAAAAATGCATCCTCTAGATTTTATGATGTATGAAACTCACACTAGCACTAAATTTAGACTTATTCTAACCTTTCTCAACTGATTTTCAGAACAATGGGTAGTTTTTCACAAAGTCCAAGTATTGCTCGTAAATTGTTTGTTCTTTTAAGAAATGTTAATATTTTCCCTGCCACAATGTGTCCATAGATGGCTGTTGGCTCCACATCGGAGTATGAAGCCACTAAAGTCTCAAAGAACAAGAAGAAGAAGAATATTTTCTCTGTCTAATTTTGCTCTTTAATTTCTATCCTTTGTCGCAGGTATTTAACTTTGCAAGTGCTCACCCCTGAAGAGCGTGAACGGACACATGTATTCAGTTCATTTTTCTATCAAAGACTGACCAAAGCAAGCAAAAACCATAAAGGTGCTCATGCGCGCAATGACAAAATTAGTGCTGCTAAAACACGCCACAACCGCGTCTGCAGATGGACAAAGAAAATAGACTTATTTTCGAAAGACTTTATCATAATACCAATCAATGAAAAGTAAGTATTAGTACTTTATTACCCCTTCCTTGACTTGAATTAACTTTTGATCATCCAAGAGGAAACATCGATCTTCACAAAGCGAATAGTCAGCGTATGCCAAAATCTGTCTAGACACAATGTGAGATGAAATGCAAGATGGACCTGGGGTGGGAAGGGAGGAGACAAGACAAGAGAACAGTCAATTTTGCTAGACCAAAATATTGTCCATAGCCTATTGTAAATTGAATCCTAAACAAATGTGAATAACCTGATGTAGACATTCATTAGAGGCCAATTTTTTTACACTATTGAAAATTTTCGGCCCTTACTTCCTTGCAGAATAGCGGGGGCCCAACAATATTCTACCATCCTATTACTTACAGTTCAGACCACATTTGAATCAGTGAGTTTGAAAACACATCAACTCCGGTTTTTTTCGATTTTCACTTTTTTACGGTTTAGTAACACTTATAGATAGAAGCATCTGCACACAAAAGCAAATTTCGAAATTGCAATCGGAAGTGCTTGAACAGCGATGGGAAAAGGGAAAAATCAAAGTATTTCATTGGAAATACCAATTTTTGGCCATTTCAAGGGAAATGGGTGACTATCCGACTTTGCGGTTTTCTTTTTTTGGTTCAGTATATCTTGTACCAACAAGTTGTATAAATATTCAAGCGTTATTCAGGTCGAAAAATATAAATTTTTATTGGCAGACTATGAAAAATCAGTATCTGAAATTCGGTGAAAACGAAAACACACAAACTCGGAAATTTTTGAACGCTTAATGCTCTGTGATCAAACATGGTGTATCGATTTCAATTTGGTGCTTTACAAAGTCTCTAAGTACTTGTCCTTTGGCACCAATAAGGTTTTTCTTAAACTAACTTCTTCGCCCACTGCACAGTTTTAGGTGTTTCTTGAACAATTTTTTTTTCCGAGTTGGTGTGTTTTCGAACTCACTGATTCATTTATGGTGTTATTTTTTCTTCTTTTCTTTTTGTTTCACCTCTAATTTTACTAAGTAATTCAGTTGAAGAGCCTTTGTTATTAGTTAAAATTCTATTTTTGCATGAAGCATGTTTTTACTTTAATTCCTTTATCAAACCTCTCGCTAATTTTATTTCTCCATGTTTTGTTTTTAGTTCTCATTGGTTCCTTGCAATTATCTGTTTTCCTGGTCTCGAGGGTCCAGTGTCGATGAATGATGATTCTCCTGCACCACAAATGCCAAGTGTACCTCGGCGGAAAAATAAAGGTATCTTATTTAGTTGCGGTTGCAGATTTTCTTTCAATGTTTTAAGTTATAAACTCCTGATTTCTCTTTGTGTATTCGATTGAAGTAAGCATTATTTTTGAAAGTCCGAGAGAATAATTAGTTGCTGAGTTGTACAAGCCAAGTTGAAACCTCTTCTATACACATCCTTATCAAGCCCAATTCACAAAACTCTCTCTTCGGCAGAAAAAGGTCAATCATTTTTATAGATAGTTGAATGAAATACAATTTGATTCCATCGCCGTTTCCTTGTGATATTGTCAAATTAATTCCGGGTATCTTGGGCAGCTTCTAGTTCGCAAGTAGACAGCTTCAGCTAATATCGGTCGGAAGATTTTGTTTCAACTTTCCATTCAATTGGATGGATAATAGAATATAAAGTTGAATGCGAGGGCACATGCAAGTTTCTGTTCGACATTTAATCAAATTGAATGTTGTGTTTTTGTGTCAATATAAAACAATCCAACTTTTCATTTGACGAAAACAGAAGAAGAGATGAATGAAAAGTCGAATCATGTGAATTGGGCTTTTAACTAGTTCGTTCAAATGTAGGAATTTAACCAGTTAAGTGGATCAGCATGACATGGAACAAGTGTAACAAGTCACAGGCTCCAGAATATCCTCATTTTTAAAAAAACTATGACTGAATTTTCAACTTTTTTCGGAGCTGTACCTTCAGAGAATGTGCCTTGACAAAACAGGTGGTACCTCCCTGTTTTCTTTGATGATTCCCCTTTTTGATTGCCATAGAAGCATTCAGCCCTATCTCAAGTTGTGGCAGACATTGTTAACTTTTTCAAATATTGCAATAGTTCAAAATAATCTCATACTTGATATATTATGAAATATCTTGCAGGCAAGTCTGGGTCTAAATGGAGGACTCTAAACAAATTATTATTTATTGACATAGCTGAGTCGTCAGGGCTTGCCTCCTAATTTTGCCCCACGGAAAGAAGCAGTTGAAAAATTTAACAACTGCTCAAGCGGCGAAGCACAACTAATAATGAATGAACGTACCTGTCCCTTGAATATTGTGTCGTTCAAGTAAAGAATTTGAAAATAAATTTGTGTCACTTTGGGATGGCCAGTGTAACCAATGTATCATCTATAAAAATCAGGAATTTAATCAAACTTTTCAAGGAAAACAGTCTCGAAATTAAATGACAAGTAGGTATTACTTACAATATTTTTAGGATTCCTTCACTCAATATTACTTTCCATCTCCAAGCAACACAGGTTGGCGCAGTAAGCTATTCTAAACCTTCTATAAAATTATTTTTTTATTGGGTTCATTCAGGTCTAGCTTTTGGTTTTTGGTCATTAAATCATTGTTTAATTCAATTTATTCTGTGGTTTGTCAGATGATCTAGTAAATAGCCCAATGACGATCGGCTCAACTACCATAACACCTGTCGGTGGTCAAAGTTCTCCGCCAGCAAACACATCTATTACAATCTCTGCAAATGATGTCGATGGAAAGGATGAAGCTGAGTCAGAAGATGAAGACATTAGCATGCATTCAAGTGACGAGGTAAAAGAGCAACGCCCTTCATTCTCTCAACATTAGGTTTTTTTTCTCTGATGGAACTGCTGAGTCAATTTAGCTTGGAAAGGATCTTTCAGCATTTTAGTGAATCAGCAGTACTGCTAAATCCCTTACATAGGGCGCCACCATTGTCATTTTCAGAGACGGAGTTACTGTGCTGCATTCAAATTTCTCCAGAGTGTTTTTCAGTTGATTCGATGACATAGCTGGAAATAAGTGGCACTCTTAAAATCAGACTGAAAAACCAAGAGATAGAAAAGTCGATGGTTTTTCAGAAGTTTTCAGTGAAAGTCCTAAACTCCAGCAATTGCCACAGAATCATAATATGTGACGCATAGGTACCAAAGTTTCCCAAGTAAGACAAGTGTCAGGAATGGCATTGGAAAAATGTCTGGTAGCTTATCAAAGTGTAAGTGATCTCCATGTATATTATGTGCATTGTGTGTATTTTTCTGCATAAGGATTATGGAAAAGTAGATTTCATCGGGAAACTTTTCTCGTCCTTAGGAATAGGATAGTTTTCACTTAGATCCCTTACTGTGCACAGGATTGAAGTCCTTCGCTTCTCTAGCCCAGTTTTCCAGGTCAGGGTCCATTAACCCTTTGAGTACCACGCCCGAGAATACTCGGGTTGCGGCAAGCCACCGTCACAGACCACGCCCGAGTATTCTCGTGCTGCGCCTCGCGTTCGTATTTCCCGCTCTAGCTCCCTTGTTTTTCAATGAAATTAAGCATACAGCATATGCGCACTCTGTCGGCAAAGATATGAACTACACCTTCATCTTATCCTTGACAGAGAGCGCCACTATCGGCGGCCGTATTCCTAACGCGGCCGTCAAAGGGTTAAGGTATAGGTCCAGAATATCAGTACCTGAAGGCATAAATGTACCTATTTTACTCAAGGGAAAATTCAAGTTAATGCCAGTTTGGAAATCAACAGCATGCCCAGGTTTAGATTATGATTGGTAGCTTGTCATAGCGTTTGTTGTATGATGTGGAATTTCAAGAATTGCAATTTACATTTGAATGAATGAGTTCTCCACTGATTTTTCAAAATTGCCATAATGGAGTTTACATTCTTTTTGCATTTCAGTACCGGTATAAAAATTAGTTTTGCATAGAAACTTTCCCTGGAGCTTTAAAGAGTTTATTTAAAAAATTGAGCTTACCATTTGTTTGTTAGGTTGAATGTTAATGCAGTCATCTGAGACCAGCAGAAAACTTGTTTTTGTTCTTTTTGACTCTGAATTCAGACAGAAGTTTCGATGGGTTTGACTCATTTGTGTCTAAATTTGTGAAACTTTACTCAACATGCTGTAGCAGAATTACCTTTTACCTTTTTGTCTCTAGGGTATTTTGTATACCTCATTGACAATTTCCTTTTATTTTATTGTCCAAAAAATTCTCACTTTAAGTAAATTCTGATCCTGTGAATTCTAGGTCCGGTTAATGGGCTTTGTCGCTGGAATGCTATTGATGAGTTGTCATTACCTCAGTAGATCATGTACAACAATGATAACACCTAGAATGGGTCATTTCATTTCTATGATAAAAGAGCTCTTAATTTTCTTGTAGCAAGAAATTTTCTCCTCAGGTGGACACGTCCCATTTTATAATTTTAATGTGTTTTTCTGCAGGACTCATCTGGAAGTAACGAAGTTAGGTCTAGTCAAGCGTCTCAGCAATCTGTCGAAGCATCTCCCAATGTTCCTGCTAGTACTCCAAAACCAAAATCCATTTTAAAAGTCAAGCATGAAAAGAGAGAACCTATTAAGCAGTAAGTATAAGGGATTTTTCAGTCTCCAAGCTTGTACTAAACTGCTCCTGTTCTGCTTACATCTTTTTAAGGCGCGCCTGTGCCGGGTTGTGTTTATGAGGAGCTAAATGGAAAGTCGACAGAGACACTAGTAAAAGTGAACTTAACTTTGTTGTAAGAATTACATACATAAGAGTCATTTTCACAGTGCTCTCTGGCGCTCTGCGACGCTGAACTGCTGTCATCCTGTTAACATGGTCTACCAGTCAAGCTGTTTGGTCATGACGTCAAATACGATGTCATCTGCGACTGCCATGATCTGACAAACTGTATAATTAAGGACCTGATCTCTCCCAGAAATTCCTACCACCCTCCTCTTGAAATTCTTCTCTCTTGCTCTGAGCAGATATTTTGTCTGTTTCTTCTGCTCCCGAACTTCACATCAGCATATTAAAATACTTTTAACTACAGCATTGTAAATTCTTCTCTTGTTCTCTTTCGAAATTCGCTGATCCCAGAGGATTCCATTTAACATTGCTGTAGCCTTCCTTGCTAGGGTGTTTCTTTCCTTAATAGCTTGATCCGTCATTCCATCCTGGGTTAACGGCACTCCCAAGTACATATTCACAATCTGGTGCATCCGAAAGGAATGGAAGAGGAAATTTACTCGGATGAGCGGCCCCTTGGGTGATTTTGAAATTCTGTTCACTCTGTGTCGTAAGAGTTTAAAAGCATAAATTCATCAACATTGAGTAGAATTATTGCCTTTGATGGCGTCACACAGGCAGTCGCCTCTCAGTTTAGAGGAATATAAACAATCATGTAGCGCCAAGAGTGTTTGATGTCATTTTCTACAAAGTTGCATGTACTAACAACACGGGAACAGCGAGTTGGACCTTGAATGCAGTAAAATGAAGATAGGCCTTTTTCAGAGGAATAAAGTTGCTTTTGGTACATTATTGATAACTAATTAATGTAATCAATCATCTAGTCAAATTTATCATCTCTGTAACCTGAATAGTCCAATTTTTTCCGCTTGTGGTTTTGATTAAGTTTTTGATGCACTGCCAACCTTCGTTACAACATAATTAAATACCCTCCGGGCGACGATGGGCCTACAACATTTTGGTTTCATGCTGACAGCAATAACGACATCCAAAATTCTCGAACTACCTCTCAAGGTTGATCAAGAAGTGAATGGATGCCAACATTGGCATGATTTCACGAAGCAACCAAGTTTCGTTCTTGACCTCAGCAAAGCATTTTTCTCCTTCAGGTTGCAACCTAGCCAATCTGGTTGAATAAGTTGTCCTAATCCATTCGAGTGAAATTCGCCTATTGTGACTCAGCAACACTGCTCAGCTCATTTACAGGAGAAGCAGACTAGCTAAACGAGATCAATATTTTATGCTGGAAACAATATCCTTAAAGATTGATATTAGTGTGAAAGAGAAAAGAATTGCGAATCCCATGAGCATTGAAATGAAAAACTGATGTTTTCTGAAGCAGATTTCTAATTTACTGTTCCTCAGGTCATTCATTTTTCTAACATCTTCTATCATGTGTCTTCCATTTCAGGCCGTGCATATTAATTTTTGACTCACTGGCAATGTGCAACAAACGGAGTAGAGTAGTCGCAACCCTTCGAGATTACCTTAGGATAGAATATGAAACCAAGCATCCTGGCAATGAGCGCAAGTTTAACAAGGATACTTTCAAAGGTGCCTCGCCTAAAGTTCCGCAGCAAGATAACTTTACTGACTGTGGATTATTTGTTCTACAATATGTTGAATCGTTTTTTGAGGTAATTTTACATCTATATGTATTTTTCAATCCCTAACTTTTTCGACTAATTTGATTTTAGAGGTGTATGGTTTTTTGCCTCAATGCCTAAATTTTAAACTTTATTTGTGTTCTAAGTTTCCATTCAGTATTAACTTAAGAGACATTTTTCCGAAAGTCACAAAATGGTCTCTATTTTTTTCATTCTTCGTCCTTTCCAACATTTTTCATTTAATTTAAAGATTTAAAAATATCTAATTAAGCTGAAGATGAAGCTTTGCGACCAAAGAAGATACAGCCCCCAAATTTTCAATTGTTTCATTATTAATTAAAACTTGTGAGATAAAGGCCGTCAGTCAGCCTTTACTCAAGAAGGTAATATTCATCGCATCTGAACTAGAACTTCGAGATATCCACAAACTATATTATTTTGGCTGTTAGCTCCTTCAGTCCAGTCTGCTTATAACCAATTTGAGGAGAGCAAAGAATATTTTTGTTATAAGCGGGGTGTTGTTATATTGAACTCTATATGGGAGTTCTAGGGAAACCAAAATTTCTTTGTTATACCTGGGATTTTGTTTTGTTATAAATGGGCTGGACTGTAATATGTTTAATAGTTGCGCAAAGTTCCCTCTTACATAGTAGGGGCTCTAGAATTAATTTGATTTGTTTAAAGTTTTAAGTGTGATAATATGATGTATGAACTTGAAATACTGATTTCGGAAATTCTGCCCTATGATTACAGAATCCTATAGAAGACTACACGATACCAATTAAGAGCTTAAAAAACTGGTTCAACCCAGATCTAGTGGCAAGGAAAAGATATCAGATCCAGCAACTCCTTCATCGACTGATGGCGGAGCAAAATATTGACTTCAAAGAATTTCCTCTACCAGAACTGAATTTACGACCGGATGGTCTTCCATCAAAGCCTCTCGTCGACTACTCAGACAGCAATGGAGCTGAAATGGAAGCCATGGAGGAAGAGGAGATGGATGAAGCTATGGAAGAAGAGGATGAAGAAAATTATTTAGATGAAGAAAATTACTTAGATGAAGAAGTTACAGGCGAACATGAGGAAGAAAGCGAATCTGACTCCGCCCTATTTAACTCGAGTACCTCCGTTTGTAACGACTCACTAACATCTAAAGAGTCGTGCAGTCAGCTAGTTCCTGTTAGCAATGCCTCCAATAGTAGTCTAAATAAAAGCAACATAGGAATTCTAAAGACAGCTAGAATAATTAAAAAAGCTGTCGGTGTCAGTTCAAATTGTCACTTAGGCAACTCGGTTACCATCACAACAACGCCAACATTATCTGAAAATACGCCGCCGGCTGCAAAGAAGATAAGGTCTGAGTAGGATGGTGCCTGACTTTTAGGTTTTTTCAATTAATTATTGTGCATTTATGAGGCAGCATTTGCTGTCCCTGAAGCGCATCACAGACTGAGTTTTGTGGGAAGGCAGCCCCACTTAAGTTTTATTTCTTTTGTCCAACCTTTGAGGGAAATAAAGTTTCTGTTGGCGCGAATCCAAATCAGCTTTTGTTCTGTTGGACTAGCACGGTGAGAGCTCTCAAGCATATGACTTTAACAGGACTGTTTGGTAAACAATAGAGAGCTTAGAGGAAATTATCAATTGCTCTGAAAATAGTCACGAGCTTTCATATTTTTATACCTAGGAGGTAAAAATTAACAGACGTTCACCGGTAGGCAATCATAACAACAGCATAGCACAATCTTAGCTCTTAGATGAGAGATTAGAGAAGGTAATTGCAAGTCAAGGATTTGCACTTATTGGCCTCACTGGGAGTGCACATACCTTAACTTGAGTTAAGTTGTCGTTTACAAGTCACTTTTTTGAGCTTTTCCAGTAGAATTGGAAATTTAAACTTTCTTCCTTAGCATCAATTTGAAATTCTACTGTTTCTGAGAAGTTTGAGATCAAGGCTGTACCTGATAATGTGAAAGTATTGTGTAAAATGCATCAAAAGTTAACTCACACTTCACAATCACCCTCTGTTTTTTCTCCATGTCACTCCCGTGTAAAGTTCATCTTGACCAGAAGATAGCTGATCGTTAGATAAATATTCATCCTAGGAAAGGTTAGTTTTCAATTTCTTTCTCTGTGCCTCGGTTACTAAGTTTGTTTCTTAGACGATTTTGGTACGATCAGAATTGAATACTTCATGGGATTACTTAGTTTCATTTGTTAAATCTTGCTTTGTTTTTTGCCATCTGTAAATATATCTAGATTGTTTTTGCTCATGTCAAGCTTTGTGGCTGTGATAAGTATTCCATTCTGATCAAGAGTCTTTTTTTTCTCTCTTCGTTCCTGTTTTTTTCTGTATCAGGCTTCATTAATTGTTCCTTAATCCTATACCAGTAGTCAATTGGAATATCTCTTCATTCTTCTTTGATGGGACTACAATTGTTTTTTTTCCTAACTCGGACCCTAATGTATCGATTACACATCATAGCATCAGTAATTAAAATATGCTCATCATTACCCAGTTCATTTCTGCTCTATAAGACTATATAAGTTGAAGCTGGGAACACTTATTTGAATGATTTTCACTGAATTATATTCATCTGCTGTCATTTCAGCATCTCTTTTTTTATAAAACAGCAGGGAACATTTATTCAAAATTTTTGCAAAAATTATGATTGTTGTTAGAAGTATTTTTAAGTCTGTATCAGAAGCTGGTGCATTTGTACAGGGTGTCTAGAATCAGGATTTTCCTGATTCTATCAGGATTTGAGGTCTAATAGGATTTTATCCCGATTTCATCAAGATTTTGAAAAGTTATGAAATCAGGATTTTGTAGTCAAAAATCAGGAAAAATCAAGATTTCCCAAAATGAAAAAAAACTAGACACCATGTTGTAAGACTTTGCATCATTCATGAGGCTCCAGTGAAGTGCGAATTTAAGAGAAGGGTTGCAAATTAAAACTTTTTGATGGAAAAACATTTTGAATGTTTGAACCAAAAATTTCAAAAAATGAACCATCTGAAACTTGCATAAAGAGCTAGAGAGAGGTCAACTTATGCAGGAAAAAAAACGATGGAAATTATATCCACTGAGTGCTGGCATTCAATGAAAATAGACTATTGACCATAAACTAATATATTATTATCTACTGACTAGACCAATGACTATAGACTATTTATGACTATGGATACTAGTAGATCTCCTTCTTGACAATTTCGAATTGGAGAAGGTAGTTCTTAAGTCTAGGGGTTTCGCTCAAAGTGTGGGTTTGATAGCAAAAGACCCTGCTAGCACCCATCACTCCAGATCATTTTTATTGTACGCGAATGCTGCCAACTTGGGTCCAACGTGCCTTCTCATTACTCCAACAGGTTGCAGACTTTAAAACTACAGCTGTCTGCCCAATCAATTATTTGCCTCTCTTTTCGTCCCTTTCAAAAAGTCATTCTCCACTTCTTCCTCTTTTCACTTTTAATCGTTATTCATTGGTGCCCATGACTGTATGTATCGACAAAATAGGAAACCGCATGATCCACCCATTTTGGTTTGACCGATCATCAACGAAAATACGCTTCAAGAAATGAATGTAATTCTGTATTTTTTTTTTTTGTTTTTTGAAAAATCAAAATCTGTTTTTGAAGGAGTCTCATTTTTTGTTGTGAAGTGATGATTGGAACCTTTTAAGAAACAGATAACATCCATGCTCTTCATTAGGGGTGCATGCATAAGATTCATTTCATCAGGCACTTCTTACGTAAATTAATGTCCCCTTTTCTCTCCTTTTTTCTTTCTTTTTTTTTAAAGTATGAGAACTACTTCACAATTGTTAATTGACTGAAAGAAACTAATTTGTAATTGACTTAGTTTTCTATTGAACTTTAAGATATTTACATGTACCTTGATGTTTGATTATGCTAGAGTTTATTTACCTACCAACGTACCAGCCTGAAGCGTCTAAAATTCCTGTGATTTAAATGAGGTAAAAAAAAGATTCCTAAATCTCGATTTTTCATCCTTTTATTGTCCTGTTTCTGAATACTCAGCATTTTTAGACAACTGGAAGTTTGACCAACTTTAATAATGATTCAACTAAGGTTTTTTCTTGCTATCAGTATATTCTGCTGTTGATCTTCAGATGCAGCAACTCAATTTCGAATCTCCTGTCCTCGATTCAGATTTCAAAAAAAGATCTCATGCTCTTAAAATTCAACCTTATCAACCCTTGGGAGTTGCTCTGCACTGGTGATGAGGCCCCTAGCTTTTCTCTCAAAATTATAAATTGTGAACGTCCATCAATTATAATCTGTCCTCTGCGCGAGGATTGTCTTGATATGGAGCATTTTTCTGTCATCTGATCGTTGTTTATTTGAGGCACCTTCTTGCCACAATTATTTGTAATTTTTACTTTTGTACAGTCATTTAAATAATGTTTTGTTAATTTTTATCAACTGTATTTTAATTGTAAATACATTTTTTAAATGTACCATTATTTTCTTCACATTTTTCAAGTATTTTCACTATTACCTTGTAATTTTTTTTTTTTTTTTTTTTTGCCATTTTTATTGGATTGAGAACATGACATCTATTGACCATAGCTCAAAATTTTGCTATTAGATCAAAGCACAGTCAATCCGCACTGCATGAGCAAGACTAGCTGGATGACAATTTGCAAAAAGGAACCAAGAGAATTCCAATGTTGCTAGGATTGTGCAACTTACAATCTTGGCAATAAAATGACTTGAATCTTGCAAAAAATTTAATAGACCAAGATAATTTTCGTCTTGAATTTATAGTTGATTGGGAGTATAAAGATATGAACTTGTTTAGATTATCAGTTTATATTTGCAAGGTAAAAAGAGTTGCACAATCTGAGCAACATTGAAATGCTCTTGGTTCCTTTTTGCAAAATGCAATCCAGCTGTTTTTGCCCTGAAAGATTGAGTTGCTTTTTTTCCACTCACAATAATTAGTATTCTCAAATTTCACAATGTAACATCTAGCAAAATCACTTTAAGTCACCAATAAAGATTTGTGTTTCGTTTTGACTATAACAACAAAAAATGGCCATTTACTGGGGATGCAGACTCAAAAGGGGGGAAAAAATCTTACAAAAGGTAGAATTGGAAACATATTTATGTTTATAGGCAAAACGACAGTGTTTACATGAAGAATTAAAAGAAAAATACAACTACAGTAGAAAATATTCTATGCAGTAAAAAGATTCCGACACAAGGATCTTATAATGTGATCGAAATTACTTAGAGAAGACTTAAAAACTAGATTTGAGTGTGGATTCATAGTAGAAAGATTAAGATCTTGGGGAAAAATTATGTATATTACTTTAAAAACATGAATTTCAAAATGTTAGGTATCCTTAAAGGGGTCTTGTTCTCACCTTTTTAAACTCTCTCTTTGCCATCGATGATAATACAATCTCCATTAATCTCAAGGGGAAGTTTTTGAAGGACTTCTAAATTTTGGATCTACAATGGGAAAGGGGATAAGGGTAACAGTGTCTCTCAATAAAAACCTGCAAGAAATTCACAGTTGATACATATTTACAAAGAGGATCAGCAGAGTTCTGCCTTCCCTTGGGGCTATGCACCTACATATTGGGGGTCCTACACCTACACCTTTGGGGTCTAGAAAAGTTGACACACCCCGTTGATGTTATCAAACTTGCAATCGCAAATCAGCAGGACCACTCTCAACGCAACGTTTACGGTGTGGTTGCACAGCACAAAAACAAGAAGATTCAAGAACGATACAGACATGCAGAGCAAAACAGCGTATGCAACAAGTTGATCGGTTACTAAAAAACGAAGATGGCTGTGAAAAATTGGGCTTCCCTTTCAAAGTGGCTCCTAAAATTTTAGGGGGAAGGGGAAAAATTTTATCTGGTCTTCGGAACTCTGGAAATCAGCACTTTTTTCTATGACTGATTGCTTAAGTAGAAGTCCCAGAAATTTAATGATGGTGTTTCTTTGGTCATTTGAGAGAAGTTGCAGGTATTTTCCCACTATGTCATAGGGGATATTTCTCTGGCCCTATAAGAATTGTTACAAACAAGATTATTTAAAACTATACCATCTTCATTGTGGGGGGAAACAAATTCAATTTATTTCCACAATTGGACCTTAAGGGGCTGTTCATAAAATACGAATTGCTGAATTTCGAATTTTTCGACGCGATGCTTTTGTGATGCAAGATCCTATCTTTTAATACATAATTAAAAAATGGTGTGATCTACTCCTCAACCCCTATCTCTCCCTTAGAACTTTACATTTCAATGAGCAGCCCTTTTTGCAAATTCAAACAACAAAACAGCTGATGTAAGTACGAAAAGAAACTTTTATAATTTTGAATGTTGCCTCCAAGTAAGTTATAATACTATTTACAAAATTACGTAAGTTCTTTGGAGGAATTCTGTGACAATGATTACATTTTTTGCAAGGTTTAGCATAAGATTTCTGAATCATTTTTGGATCCTGAGGAAATCAGATTTTTTCACGCCAGTTAAAAGAAAGAGAGGTACACTCTTCCTTTATTCAAGCACCCAAAATCGACAAAAACAGAACGCTTCCGGTACTTCCATCTCAGCCTCGGCAAGAACTTTGAAACTATGTCGATTCTGCCTATATTCTTGTTGGTCTGCTCAACTGGTATCATGTCCATTTGTTACACTTGAATGAATGTGGGCTGACTGTTAGCTCAGCACTTAGGAGTGAGGCACCCAAAATCAGAAAGCGGCTAAGCGCTTAAGAATGTAAAACTAAACACAATAATTTAGTTCAAGACCAATCCACACAGGTCAGTCATTGCGCATCTTTTTGAGAGCTACTTCCCCGCCCGGCCCTAACTCGGCTGCACTCAATACTACATCACAATGGGTGCTCCCATAAGAAATACATTGCAAGCACTCAATACTAAGTCACTGCGCAGTAGAGTACCAAAACTCGTCCATGGGAATGACTGACCTGTGTGGATTGGTCTTGATTTAGCTTAAGGGTTGTAATGACACATATGGTAGTCCTAGATAGTGAGGTGGCCTCTGTGTTTCTTATGTTAAAAAATTAAGACTTTCATGTCTCCACTAAAAGAGAATGGAAAGGAACTTGTATTGACTGATTCAGTGGCTACATCATTCTTGATATTCTGCATATTAATAAATAGATGTTCAATGGTCAAAATATGAAAAGTAAAACATTATCTCTAGTCTAAACACTACCGAGTATTTATTATGTCAGCTCCTTCCGAATTCGACATTAATAATTTATAAATCAACTCATAATCCCTTAAATATGAGAAATTTTGACTGAAAGAAACACTTTGATCACCTTGGCATAAATGTAATGAGATTATGTAACTGTTTACACTGGAACTATGGAACAGCAGCAATATGCATAAAATCATGAAGCCACTAAATTAATCTATTGAAATCAAATATAAAGAAGGAATTTATCATTTACAGTCCGGATTTTTTTTGGTATTTTTTTGCAATTGCATAATTTACGCGAATCTACCATATTTTGGGGGCTGTAAACCATTGACTGCTCATATACTGTTGACACTTGAGCCAGAATTGTCGAATACAGTCTTCATCTTTCTCACACTCCTCGAAGAGACTTCTGATCTTTTGTTCCCTATAACAAAAATATGCACAATATATGAATTAAGTAGATATATACAGAAAAGCAGACAAATAACAAGTCTTGAAGACTTCTAGTCTGTTATAAGTCATTTACACAGCAACTATCGAGACACGTAAACAACAGGAATGAATGACGGATGAGATTGATCTGCCGAGTTACCGGATGATTACCATTATTTAACTTCAATAACGTAATGAAAAAACATTCGAAGTTTCAAATGCTATGATTTTTCTTTTTCTCTTATGGACTTGGCTCTTGGTGTTTTGAGTTGCCTAGATGTTTCTCGCATGATAGTGGTCCGAGTTGCCTCCAATGGGAAGGTAAACCAAAGTTTATGGCAGGTTTGCATAATCTTTTCAAGCCTGGACCACTGAAAAAAATTAACATCTTACTTCCAATGTGCTTGCAAAAGATTTACTCCCTGAAGTCAGTGCGCACACAAAAAAGCTGAATTAAGACATCAAAAGAAGCATCAGGCACCACTTGACACGAAATGATTCGTTGTGGAAGATCCACAGAGGAGTTCACAGCCCGGTGTTGCACCAGAAATTCAGGATTTCTCTTTAATTTTTAAAATTTTTACATACAATTATAACAAATGTCATAAATTGAACATGGACGGTTCTAGCGCAAATAACATGTCAAAACTTTGCCAAATGAAAGTTTCTGTCCAAAGTACGGCTTCCTGTAAAACATTCAGGAGTTAAAAGCTACAGATAAAAATTATACCTTATTGTTCCAATTAAATTTTTAACAGAAACCGAGGAAGAGGACACGCTCTGCCATGAACTTAAATCCACTGTAATTTCTGCTAGATGGTTTGGCCGCATAATAATGAAGTCAAACGTGACACTGAAAAGTAGATTGAAAACAAATGCAACGGTAAGTAGACAGAAAATGTTGAAGAAAAGTAATCCAGAGGCAAAACAACTTGATGAATAAAATAAAATGAATTTGTACTAATATCCATCTATTGAATTTTGCAAACTACCCATGCCATTCCAAGAGCCCTTGCAGTCCATGCCTTCATACTTCACTTGCGGCCTTTTAAAAATAAATGAAAATTTCAGAAGTTCATTTATAATCTCAGCAGCAAAAACAAAGACTAGTTATTCTGTTGATCATATAAGCCTCGGCATTAATATAGTGTATTGGTTTGAAATTTTTCATCAACTGATCAACGAGAAAATCGGATTTCGTACAGCCATCTGCAGTAGCAGCTCTTGTTTGCCTCTTGACAGGCTTTAGATAGAGTAATTCTGATACAAAAATCTGCCACTAAAAATTTTTTTTAAAATATAAATCAAAGCTGGACAAAATTATTGATTTTAATTAGATTTTTGGAAGGTTTGGAACATATATTCACTGCCAAAGTGAAATTTTTGCAAGATAGATGCAATCAAGCATCACGTCTGGAAGTTAACATGCGATGGCAATGCATTGCTATGCCTGATCGTTTCATAAAATCTGATTTTCTGGCAAATAAGTTGATGAAAAATTTTAGATCAAAACATTAACTTGAAACCAAGAATAAAAAGATCAAAACTGATTCTACTTTTTTTTTTACTAAGCACTCTTTGTATTGAGGAACAAAATAAGGGACTTTGGTGGTCTCAGGAAATTTGCGTTTTCTTGAAAGTCCCGAAACGGATTTTAAAACCTTAAACTTGTTCTAAAGCTGAGAGTATATACTTGACATAAGCCTTTATTCCAGTTTAATTTACCTTTCAGAAGATATAAAGTAGGAGAGTTTACTTTCCTGACGACCCGTGTATCATTAGATCAGAGCAGATTAGAAGTCATACAATCATTCCATTAGGGTCGATTCCAGGTGGACAGGTAAGATTATGATGTGGGTATAAAAATTCCAGCATCTCATGTTGCCAAGTTCTTTTAATGATAAGGAAAGGTCTCGGAATTAAGGAACCAAAATACTAATATCAACCTATTACTCATTGTCAGATCAGACCACTGCTCCAAAACGGTTGACACTTTTTATAGGTTTGCAGAGCTTTAAGAAATCGAAATGTTAAAGATAAACTGCAATTCACTTAAGAAAGATGGCTCTAAAAGGATGACAAAAACTTGCAAGATGAAAAGGGGATTGTCTGATTGGACTTACCTATCATATGAAAATTTTGCTGTGATCATTCCATCAAGACTAAACATGACTTTCTTAGCAAAAATTACATCATTAGCAATCATGTGCAGTACATCAAAAACATTACTTGCATTTCTACAGAGACCCTCAAGTCTGGCAAGTGGGTACCTCTCTAAAATAATGTTCTGTCCTATAACCTGTTTAGGCTCAGCATCAGCTGAAAAATTTAAAAAAATCATGAGCTTCTGATTATTAAATGTTAATCCAGAAATAAATTGAAGCAATAATTAAAACAAATTTAACACAATGCACGAGAAGTAAATCTCTAGATGCTTGATTTCAAATTTCAAATCCTATTCTAAATTGAGTGCACAATTCAATATTGTTGAGACAGCATAATGAATTCCAAAAATCATCAATTAGAACCACCACTGCTATTTAATACCTAGCTTAAATTCAATATCAAAGATTAGGCACTAGATAGAGACTTGTTTCTTTGTATTTTCTGGGTGTGTCAGATATTCTACTGCTGTTTATATAAAATCGGTGAAGCGCATGACATTAGAAAAGAAAATTTTTGGGATAAACACTTACGCATGACAGAATCAAATGCAATTTCTTTAACAGGAGCTAGGCAGTTGGCAGCGGCTGGTTTGAAATGAATGGTTAATCTCAGTTGGCCATCCAAAAATTCGAAAGACCACAAACTGTCTGTTGCTTCGATAACTTTCCAATACATTCTTGTCCTGAAAGAAGAACGGAGATCATTCATAGGATGGTAGATGTCAGTGACATACCTGAAGCAATCACTAACAGTCAGAAGGAACAAGACATGATAGTTGAAAAAGCTCCTTGAAAATAGCCGTTAAACATGCTCTAGATAAATGAAAACTTTAAAATACAACTTACGGTCTTGTTTCCGCTTCAAATCGCTCCACAAAGTCAGAACAGTAATTTTCAGGAATGTCGCTTTCAGATAAAGACCTGAAACATGAAGAACAGGACCTACAATTTTCCGATACAGTCCCAAATAATTAGGTATGAGGAACTAGAGTGAAAATTCAAATTCAATGAGAAAAAAACAAAAACTATTTGAATTAAATTTTAATTTCATCATTTATGAATAGAGGACCTACAGGAAAAATGATACTTTTAGAGTGCAAAGCTTTGATAAGCTTGAAAATCATATCAATTCACTTTAAACAAGACTTCAACGAGAAAAAGGGAAAATTTGAAGAGTATAAAAGCTTAGGGTAAAAATGAAATGCGAGAGACGAATTTTATGCTTGGACGAATGAATGAAAAGTGTACCAGAGGCTTGAGGAGATGATGAAACAAACATATGAGCAATTAGAAATTACATAGGAGAATTTTTTCGGAAAATAGGAGGATTTGTGAAAGAAGCAGTTAATGATAGTATTAGACGAATTAAGCAGCAAGAGCTAACTGGCAAAACAAACGTCTGCCAACTTTTACTTACTCTGGACTGTGAATGTTGGCATCCACAATATCAGACTGAGGATAATCATCTTCCAAATCATTTATGTCCACCACACCTGCTTGCTTGCCAATGGTATTTTTGATGGGTGTTGACTCAAAAGGAAGCCTTAATCGTTTCCTTGCTGGAGACTTGGGGGTCATCGGCGACTCCTCGACCTTCCTCTCAGACTTAGATTTGCTCTTCGGTGTTTTGAAGATGGGCGACACAAAACTCCTATTATTGCAGATCATGGATGTATTGGAGCTAGCCATGGGAGTGTAGTCAGATTTTTCAAAGCCTTCTTCTGGTGAAAACGATACATACTTAGGGGACTCACATGTCACAACTTTAGCAGTGAAGTCATCATTTACTGGTTCCACATCTGACTGGGCTATAGCATTAGCATTTGATGCTGTAGTGTCAAGGAACCTTTTCAAGAGGGGTTTCTGCCCTTTAACATATTTGCCATCAAGTTCCTGCTTGCAATGGTTGAGATCAACTTTAGGGGAACTTTCAGTGGCAACAAAGCTTTCGTATAATCGAGCTGCGTTTTTCACAAAACCTCGTTTCTTTGGACCGGAACATTCCTGCAGGTAGACCTTTTTAGCATCACTGTTTGGTGCAGAGGTATTGGTGGGAATATTTTCTGTCTGTTTCTTCTTGAGAATTGATTTTGGAGTTTTGATCAACTGCTCTGTTTCAGGCTTAATGCCTAATATTGGCAGCGGACTACGCTGGGATGCGATGCTCTCTGGGATATTTTTGGAGATAACTGCAGGGACATCAATTTCCAAATCCCTATCAATTTGGTGATTGAGGATAGTTTCATCAACCTGGATCTTATTTGCTGATATATCCATGGCTTCTTGTTGGACTGGCATTGTCTTTCCCAATGGAGGACTCACTACCGAATTAATCGAAAAGTCTGGTAGTTTTCCAATGCCTGTGATATTGCACGACTCATCAGAAATCTTAACTTTTTTTACATCTTTCTCATACTGTCGAGTAATACTGTTGTCAAGGTCTACAAGACACCTACTTTTCCGAATATCTTTCCTCGGTTTTGAGCGGCTGACAGTAATGTTTTTCAGTAGATCCTCATTAATTGTGAACTCTGCTACAGGATAGGATTCATCGCAAATCTTATGGGTACTAACGTCAGCTTCAAAGGGATGATTTTCAATGTCATTACTTAAGAATTCCTCATTATTAGCACTTAAATTTTGCTGCTTGTACTGATTTTCCATGCTGGCTACCAACTCATTATTGTCGGATGAGGACTCCTCACCTGCAACTTCAGGGGTATTGGACAATGGAGATTGTTTATCTAAAACATCAGAAATGATTGCCTCCCCTGATCCGCTATCAGTCATTTGAGATTGCTCATTTTCCAAAACTGTATGCTTGTTCGAATGAGTTACTTCATGGCTCTCAAAGCAATTTTCCAAGTTGTTGGAGGCAATTCTGACTTCGCTTAACTCACTTAATGGCGGACATTCGATTTCATCACTTAGAAATATGCTACGAGGAATATTTTCGACTGGAAGTGTAAACTGAGATTCGTTAAAAACGTTTGGTACCATTGAACAGTTTCCTGGCTTGAACAAATCTGTCCTCTTAGCAGAATCTTCGACAACAGACTTCATTAATCGACTGAATGTTTGTGTATCTTCATTAGTATTCTGAGTCTGAAGTTCTGCAGACTGAGATACTTTTTTTTCTGTTATATCAAAAGGGGACAAGACTCCTTCATCTTTAGCAGTGCCCACTGAAGCAATCAGGTGATTGGAGATAACTTTATGAGAAAAAGATTCGTAAGATTTGGAAACAAACAAACTGTTGAGTGGGTCATAAGCTTCTGATTCAAATTTCGACTTCACTGACTGAGAGATATCAAATTCATCTTCTGAGGTTTGTTCCATCATAGATTTTGTAAACATTTGAGATTCATTAATTTTGTAGCCACAGTCGAACTTGGAGCTTTGCAGATCAGGGTTGGATTTGGGAAAAACAGCATTAAAAACACTTGCAGGTTTTGGCGTTGGGAGGGCCTCACTTCGCATTGTACGCTCCGTATGTTGAAAAGATTGTGAAAATTTGCCACTTGAAATTGTATCACAGGCAAAGGACTCAGAACTGCCAACCGTTTCAGACTCTTCAATAAGACTCATCTCATTATGCAAAAAGGATTTCTGCATTGGGACAAACAATTCAGATCTCCTGCTTTTCTGTCTCTTTTTCTCGTTCGTGGCTCTAACAGAGGCATCCAAAAAATCACCGTCCTCCTCACCTGTCGTCATGCTTGGCTCAAAATTATTAGTGCTCATTGTCTCTGGTGGCTGGTTCAATAAATTTTCTTTATGTCTTCCTTCATGATCTTCATTATCATACATACTGCGTACGTTAACAGCTCTGTCAGATTGATCTTCCAGAGAAGGCACATTAGCTTCAAGACTTTTGTTGAAGGCACAGGAACTATTTGGATTTTCGGAAATTTCTTGAGGAATGGATTGAGATAGTTTTTCCTGCTGTGTGGAAAAATTTTCCAAACAGGGCTCAGTGTTAGTCCCACACTGATATACATGCACATCTGTAAACTCCATTGCAGAAATGTCTGCAGAGCAGGCATTATCAGTGATGAGAGCATTGTTTGATTCCATTGTTCGACTACTGGAAGTGTTTTGAGATCTGGAGTGTGACATTTCTCTTTCTCCAGTGTGTGTATTTGTAGAGTTCATGGTATAATCTGTAACAAAAATTTGAGGATTTCCTTCAATATCATCCCTTTCGAACGGTTGCACACCAACGAATTTGATTTCTTGACTTCCGGGCAGGCTCTGAGAGTTGCTTTCAAATGTTGTCTTTTCACTAGAGGTACGAATATGCGTGAAATCCATTTCTTGACCATCAGTATTATGAGAGCCAAGTTCTAAATTTACTCTTCCAAAGGCATGCACATTTGTGAATTCCATGGGTTGACTGCCAATGAAACTGTCATTATTGATTATAGAATTTTTCTCTTCCTTACTTAGGTTTACAAATTCTGGTTGTTGTACAATGGCAGGATCTTGAGAGGAGGCAGAGCTATTCGAATGATGCAGTTCAACATCATTACTTTCAGGCTGAGATGAGGCGCCCTTGCCGTTAGACATGAGATCCTGCACTTCATCCAAGGCAAAATTCTCTTTCATTCCAAAGTTCATGCTGACCGGTGTTTTTGGAAGACCGAGAAATGATTCTACACTTAAACTTTTTCTTCCATTAGAAGTAACAGGTATATTTTGAGAAAGCCTTGACTTTTGAGTTGAGGTAACAATCTCAGTTTCATTAAAATCAGCAGCAGTAATGGCTAATGCTTCTTCATTGACAAGATACTTTGTATGAATGATATCAGAGGGATTTCTTTCCTGATTGGATGTAGCAAAGTTTGCTGCATAATCCATCGAGTCAAAGACTCTACCTGATTTGCGCTCTGAACATTCTGTCAAGTTCTTGTTAATTGAGGATTTGCGATCTTTCTTCAAGAAAGTAATTTCTTCTTCTGAGTTGATGACTGCAGATGTCTTGCACTCTTGGGTTGATGTAATGACATTGGAAGCATCAAAATCCACAGTGTCAGACACTAGTTTATTGAAACTTTTTCTATCATTGATGTGACTGTTGTCACCATCAGTTGCAGGGATGCAGCTAATATTGGAAAAAGATGTTTTACTGTTGGTCGACCTGACATCATTTGAAACACCTTTTGTCCGTTCCATCGAGCTGTTTTTCAATACTGATACTTCGCTATCATGATTAACAGCGCTTTCAAATTCAAGCGAAGCTTTGGATACAAACTCATCAATAGCCGAATCTCCTCGGATATTATTTGCGAGCGCAGTTGTAATTTCCATTGTTTGACTCTTGGAAACAGACAAATTGCCTTGAGAGTTTGCATGGTTACTCCTATTAGCTTGTTGTTCATGCACGGTGTCTGAGGCTTCATGATCTGAGCTATGGTTGACTTTCGATGGTCCGGAAACTTTTTTCCTCAAAAATGATAGAATGTCATCTGTTGGTTTTGTTTTGAAATTATCAAAAATTGTTTTTTTTATCACGTCCAGGCTATCTGTCACAGATTGAGCTCCATTTTCTTGATTAGAGAAAGGGATTGCCTCTGTTAATTCCATTTCACTTTCTTCAGCATTGCTACACTCTGTCCTAGGATTACAATTGGGTGGCTCACTCGAGCAGTTACTCTGAGTATCATCCTTCACTCCTTCTGAGTCATCGATACTCTTCAAGCACTCAATCAAAGGCTGTGAAATGACTCCAGTAACACCAAAACTCATATCTGCAGATTCATTGAGGTCTGCTACATTATTCTGATGGCCAAAAATTGAGTTCACCTGCCCTACAGCTTCAGCAGCTGACAGAGAAGTACCACTGCTAAGAAGGTTGAAAATATCAGCTTTTGGCATTGGTTGAGAAAATGTGTATTCATTCTCATCGAAGAACTCAGAGTCCTTGACTGCTAATTGACCATTGACATGCTGAGTAAATTCCATGGATTCATAATGTCTTGACAGGTTTTCATTGCTGAACACCGGTCCACGAATAACTTCCGTGAATTCCATCATTGACTTGGAGTGTTGAACATGTGGGAGTTCTGAAGCAACAGAGGTAAACTCCAGGCTTTTATTGTTAAAACTGAAGTTTTTAGACTCATAGTAAACTACAGGATGTGGCGTTGTGCATTCCATGTCTGCTTCATAGCATGTATTTTGACTCAGCGGGCGGAAATTGTCAGTTAAGTTTTCCTTTGCCTCTGGGTCCAGCTCCTCCGGTTTGAAGCTGACATTGGTAGATTTTACAGTTAGGTCTAGGACTGCATCCAGGGCACTTGTGACAATAGGCCCTGAACTGAGGCGAGATGTCTGCTCAAGGCAAGTGTTGTCTGAGATTTTGGAGTCCGTCAAATGATGATGGCTGAAAGCAAAAAAAGGAAGAAATTTTTAATATCTTATACTTGTATGCCGACGGCTTATCTACTAATACATTAATATTATGAATGAACCAGAGGCTCAAACTCAGCCTGTTAAACAACATCAACGAATTTACCTGTTCAATAGCTTAACTCTATATAGGAGAGCTACGCCGATATTAAGTGAGATTTTCTGGGATCAACAAATTTTGAAAGAGAACAATAGGGAAATTCACAACGCCATAATGAAACGTATTTTAACAAACGCTTGTAAGGATTGACAGCTGGAGAAACAGGAATGAGATATGCTAGGAGTGAGGTTTTCACAATTTCCTTAATATCCCATTCCCTGATCTTTCCTGGACTATTTTTGATTTTCCCTACTCCAAAATTGTCAGATTCTCTGCCTTTTCCTGAAATACAAACGAAACTTCCATTAAGATTTCCTTCTATTCTTTTAAATTACATTCACCTCTACTAAGTGCTACTAACAAATTCTCTGACTCTTCCTATGAAGTCCCTGACTTTTCAACAACAAAAAAAAAAAAAAACACACATTACATGACTTACCCTGAGGAATCTGAAGACATCGTGGTTGTAAAAGGCTCATCATAAGCTGGGGTGTGGTGGACGGTCAAAGACTCAGCAGCAGTGTGAAATTCTCTGAAAAAATACAAATTCATCCAGTTTTCATTCTTAAAGAAATAAAGAAAAGGGGGGAGGGGGAGAGAGGCAGTTTTCTCATTTGGAGAAGAAAATTATGGTACGTTATTCTGAAGAACAAATTAAGTAAGCTGGGAAATATGCCAAGCTAATTAATTTTTGAAGAAAAAAAAAGATGCTGACCTGCTCTAAAGTAAGTAGGACAGCTTGTCTCCAGGGGTGCAGAAAATGCTCAAGCGAAAATACTCAATTGGACTCATGCTTACGACGTGAGGTATTTTACCAGCTCAAGAGGAAATTTTTCAATGATTATCTCATCTTTTTTTTTTCTTCTTTTCCTCAAATAACCTCAGTATTTATTTTAAATTTTTTAAGGCTCAAGGCGTATTTCTATCCTCTTTTGCGGAATGCAAAAACTTTAAGGCCAACATTGCGATTAATTTTTGTTTAGAAGGACTTCCTGCATTGCTGTTTGTAGTAAGAAAAGAATTGGTCACAAAACATAAACCTGGATACACACCTGAAAAGGTTTTAGCATACTCTGAATTTGCTGGTGCCCCCCACTGGTCGATTATCTTCTTAATTATTATATATGAACCACACTGATGTGGAAAGGATAAGACCTTTTAACATTTGCATCATTGATCAGCGTTTATTACAGCAGCTGTGCCACAAAGAGTACAGACCATAGACATTTTTGTGACGAAAACTCATTCTAAAAATAAGGAAACACATGTATACTGTTATGTGATCAAAAACTATGGATTCTGGGAGTGCGTGGATAAGTACATATGATGAAAATACTCACTTCACTTGATTAACACCTGCAAAACTGACTCTTCGCCGGCGCATTGCAGTAAAGGTCGAAGTTGTAGTGTCCTCTTCCGTATTCAACAACTGATCCAGATCTTGAAGAGGACAACGAGCCTTCAACGGCTTCAGTATCTGTCACACAATTATTCAGAGAAAGAAATTAGATTTCATGAGCCATGAAGAGGGAAGCAAAAAAACGAAAATAAACTAAGAACAAACTAAAGGAAATAAATGAGGTGAAAAACTGTGAGTCGAAGCCTGATGATGGAAAATAATTTGCAAAAAACTTACAACTTTTTGCTGTTCTAGTACGTTGGGAGATTTATTATCAATGAGTGACTGATAACAATAAACCATTTCCGGGAAAGTTTTCATTCCTAATCCTTTCCAATTCATGGACTCAATTTGAGACGAGTAAAAATTACTACAAGCATAGCTGACACAATATTCTAAAATGATCCAATTATATATCTATAAATTTTTAAACCCAGTTAGTTAGATTATCTAATTGATCTTGGTCAGAATTTGAAAAAAGCTCGAGATCGTTGCGAGGATTTTCAGGAGTTTATTTAGCCATGTTCATAAAGTTTAAAAGGGTAATTCACATAATACCAAGAAAATCGGCGCTGGCAAAATTTTGCTACTACTTCAAACTATGCTATGATATTTCAACTTCCTCAAAACTTACCGACAGCGATGTTCTGGTCGATTTTCCAGGATTGGGCAAGGATGTTCGCCCATGTGTATTCGGACTGGACAAATTGAATTAATCATGGAAAGAAAAAAACAAAGTTAACATCAGATAAACGCTGCCAGTAGATAAAATAAACGCATTGGATACACTGTGATTAGGTATTTTGGTACTTAACATTTCTTGCAAATTGATGTTCCTTCTAGGCAGCAGCAAGGTGACATAAAACGCGATTCTCGTGCCACGTAAACCTCCACCTAGCGGTAAGATATTTGAAGGATATTGCAGGGATATTCAATGGCATACGTATCATATCCTATGATTATGAGTTAAGTAGCTTCAAAAGGACCACACCATAGGAGTTGGTCACCCCCAAAATTTGATCCAAATAGGGCCTTTTCCTTGTTCATTGTAATTAAGATACAAATTACTCGGTTGTTCGTATAACTCTCTTGTATTGATGTTGAATAAACAATGTGTATAATTTTGTGTATTCTGGTAGGCGGCTCACGGTAAATTATTAGAAAAAACAAAAAAGCCAAACTCTAATGAGCAATAAAACTAAAAAGAAATATGAATGGTTAGCAATGTTATGCGATGTTGTTTTGCAGTTTCAGGAGTCAATAATCTTCCAAGTTTCCAAGAATTGCTAGATCGGGGTTGAGCACCTTTCAAGAAAAGTGATGACTGTTTTTTTTTCCAACTTTCGCAACCCGCTAAATTGCGACTAACCATCAAAGGTCTCTATCCAAGTTCCAATTGAATCTTTTTTCAGACCAACTTTTGCATGATTTTGCAAAATTAGCAGGGGACAAATTTGCGATCCTGCTGAGATAAAATGATTTTTTTTTTCAGTTATTTTCTAAGATTTTGCAGGCTTTCAAAATTTTCGCAGTCGTGAATTACGAATTTGGAGGATTATTGACCCCTGATCAGTTTTGCTTGTTGCATATACCTAACAAAATTTGACAAAAATATTTGGTTGAAGTGGACTTTGCTCTGAAGAGATCTGGTATAATCGGATGAAACTTCCTCAGGAAAATATGAGTACATTACACATCAATGGCTAACAAACAATACTGCCTTTTTGCAAACTGACAATTTTGCAGATCGAAGAGAAAACTTCGCTATCTTTGTAATTTTAAGATTACATTTGCAATTTTTTCAAATATTGTAGCGTCATAGAAACATTCTTCTACAGAAATGGAAAGAAACGAAAACCATCAGATCTGCGTATTTTGTACTGCAGAATGTGGCAAAGTGACTAACCCTTTTTTGTCAATTAGGCAGTATTTTTCATTAGCCCTCTAGATTGTATCCTCAGATGCCTGCCTGTTGTTCCTGGCATTGATTTGTAAACAGAGTTAGGTACCTTAAAATTAGGCTCTAGGACTTGAGTATTAGTTCTTCTATTCGCTGTACGTAACTGAAGCTGTGGTCCGCGCCACGAAAAGTGATAACGCGCAGCAGTGAAGCACAGATTATAGACAAAAGGCAATTGAAAGCCTGTGGCGTGGCGTGCTATGCGATATATCGATTAATCGGCCATTTAAACCCATGAAAAAGTATCGATAAACAGGGTGTTCGCAGCGGACACCTTAATAATCGATTATTTACCGCAGCTTCAAATGGGGGAAATATCGATAGATCGCAAAGCACGCCACGCCACTGTTGAAAGCTGTATGTTTATGCATATATATAATCGCATCAAGTCATCAGATCATTCTAAATGAGTTAAACGACCCTGGCTGTTTGTCACCAAATCAACCCGTTTCTGAACAGTTGACATTGAGAACAAACTGAGATATACTTCAACAATGTACAGGTCATGCCATCAACTGTCCACACACTTGACTAGCATGTACTTACAAAGAGGTTGCTTAATAAGACGGATAATTGCGTCTGATTGTGGTTCAAATGAGCACTTCCTCCATGTTTGGATGCCTTGACCTAGCACAATGGTTTGAAGTATCAAATGTTTCAATGCCTTAAACAAAATCCTGCGATGCCCAAATAAAGCAAGACAATGCGAGGACTGCATACGTAACTAATTTAATAACTCATAAGTACCTGAATGAAGGATCAGCCATGTTTCAGTAGAGCTGTTGCTTCAGAGAAATTACTGCTGCTGATATTGAAATCACTAGGGGGGAAAAAAAAAAACTAACCTTCACAGTTAGTACTGATTCTTAGCAAGTAACATTGAGATAAAAAATGTAGAAAATGAGCAGTAGAGAAAGAGCAAAGAGGAACGTTTTGGTAAAATCGTTACAAACGACAAGACGGGAATCAGAATTCAAATTTCTAACCGAATTTTTTGTTTACATGCCTATCAGGGTGCCAGACTCGCAAGAGTTAAACTCGCCTGCTGACGGTAATTCCGTTAACATGTAGTGGAGAAACTTCCATACTTTGATACAATATAATATTCATAATGATATGCTTAGAAAATTTTAATAATATATAAAAAGAAATAACTAACAGAGACAGATTATAATAGCGAAGCAGTACTGAGTATAACAGTTCTAAGATTGGTATTATCTCAAGGTGTAAATGATTGTAACCAATCAAAATTGAGTTTGATAGCGCGAAATTTAAAAATGGAAAATGTGGAGGGAACCAGCGAACCGGCTGCCCTGCGTCGTCCGCAGCACTGGCGCACGACCCGCCTCTCATTATTACACTTCGTCTTGCGTGGAGAGTTCGCTAATTACTTCACGCGACAAGTGTGTAATTTTAGAAGTCGAAAATTAAGAAAAAAATTATACGATATACGAGATTCTCCGCCAGGGAGCTCTCCCCGCTATAAACGTTCACCATCACCACCCACCCGCCGGGAGCGCTGCAGCGTGCTGCCAGCGCGAAACCAGCACCGACGCCTACAAACTTACAGGGCTACCTCACGCATTGCGCAATGCTTGAAGTATCCCTTTAGATTTGTAGGCGCCAATGGTGTGTTTCGAGCTGCGCCGCAGCGCGCTGCGGCGCAAAAACTTGCCACAATTGATATGTCAGAGTGTTAAAATCTTGGAAAATTGACATCAAATTCGAAAATAGGGACTCAAAAAACGTCAGAAACTTTTGTAATCTTTCAGTCATTATCCGACTTATTTCTGCCTATTCTTGAGTTTTGGACCATAGTGCGCCGCGGGCGGCGGCTCATGAAATTCTCTCCTATGCTCAATCGGGGATCCAGCGCAATTGAAGTGTTTTCAAAATTAGGCAACTCCTTGCTCCTTTGCTTTAAAAAATGCCAAATATGTGTGCATTAATACTATTCACAAGATCGTTTTCCTTTCAATTTAATCATTTTTCAATAGAAAAACAAGAATTTTTGACAATTCTTGGCCTTTTTGTAGATACCTAATGATGCACAATTTTTACAACATATTTTCATGTTGGTTTCTTCCTGCTAAATGAGATTTGACATATATAGTGCCATTTGAAGCGATTATGTAATGAGGAATACAAATTAGTCATAGTTGGACCAATTTTAAGAGTTATAAGAATCAGAGAGGGGCAATCTCTTTGAGAGGGAGTGGGAGCACGGATGAGGGACGGATAAATGCATAAGCAACTATTATAATTATAATTATAGAAACAAACACAGTAGTTATAGGGTCCTATTACATTGGTCTATTTATAAAATTTAAATCACTGACAGGGCTGCAATATGAGTCTTTTTTCATTTTTCTCTTTTGGTTTCATTTGACTTGAGTGATAGCCTCTCTTTCAAAATAGGTAGATAAGTTATACAATAAAAACAACAAAAGCAAATTTCAATTTTTCTTATTGTTGATCCATAAAAATTCAGAAAGACATGAAACTCAATGGTTACTTTAAATCGAGGGTAAGTAAGTAAGTACACATAGATTTACCTAAAAGCTGTGATAAACGAAAAATAATAGTCTCAAAGAAAAGAAATAAATTATCTCCACAAAGCTGAGGACGCTACAACCCAAAAAAAGTCCTGCAGTGCCACCGATGGAAACTAGAAAAAACAAATTGAAAATGCAGATAAAAATTTATAAGTGTAAAATGGTACTGTAGGAGAAACAAAGTCACAGTAACAAGAGCATCAAATTTTCAAAAAGGATTGTAAATTTTGAATGTCTTGGTCAAAGCGTCCAAAGGAGGGGGAAAAAGGGATGGAAATACGATGGTGGATAATTTTAATTGTATTCTTTCAATGTTCCTTCAACCACACATTTTGAGTTGCTCTACTTGTATTGGCATCGCTCAAATTTCTATGTGCTCTTAGTAAGAAACAAAAAAAGCAAAAGTCAACTTGTTAGATATTACAATAGCAACCAAAATTAGCAAAGTGGTTAGGGGCAGTGTTTCCCTTACAAAGAACATTTTCTTGGGTGGTTTTCTGCTGTCTTTGATTAATCTTAAATTTTAAAGTCAAAAAAGACAAAAAGATTGTTATTCCTCTTTTTCAACATGTAGCACATCGAATCTCAGAAACTGATAATTAAGTCTCAATCCCTTGGTCCTTAGTTTCAGTTTCCTGGAAAGCAGAAGATGAAACAATGCAAGACAAATTTTGCATGTTGATTTTCATTTTAAACTGTACCCACTCAACTCAAGAGAAACCCTTATCTTGAACTGTTAGTCCACTTGAAATTTAATTTTCATAGATAGTTGAAATATATTAAAAAAAAGTTCATGGACTTTTATGCAGTTTTAATCTTACCTAGTACTTCCGTGATGCCAAACAAAAGATCCCTTCGAAGCCTCATTCTCGGATACTTTACTAGGCAGACATTTAGATTTGTTCCTAAAAACCTGCAAAAAGGTGCTTATGAAATAGATCTGTCTAGATTTTTAATATAAATCCTCATTTCTTATTTTCTGGGTTGTAAAAGGCGACATTATAAAAACCGCCGATTTTCTTCTCAGATATTTTTTTTCACTCCATCGGAATCTATAGATTATGTTTTTAACAAATACTGTTTTCCAGGCAAACTTTTCTGTAAAACTAAGAGTAATAAGTATGTCTGTAGACAGAAGTCAATGTCAGGCAAAAATCATGTTTTCCGTTTAGGACATATTTTGAGGGGTATACACAAGTATTCCAGAACCCTGACTTTTCTCTAGTTTAGCTGTAGTTAAACTTCAGTAATACTTACTGGGATTTTTCTTCCTTTTTTTTCAATATTTAAATCATTGTACCTGGTAAAAAATTTTGCAATCTGAGAGATATGGCAGCTTTTTCCAGATTTCGGCGACAGAGACCAAATCTCAGCTTTAACCGAAGACATAAAGACGGAGCGCTAAAAGCAATGAATGAAGCTACTTTTCAACCACTACTATTGGCTAGAGGATTGGCGGCGAAATCGGGACGAGTGTGAAATTCAAAAATAGGGCGGGAACTGAATAAAATTGCGATAACAAATTATTCTAGGTTGATTTATGCCCAAATTCTCTTACCCACATATATTTTTTTAACTTTAGGTTATTTTTGGTCCGTCATCGACCGATTAATTTCATTTGAGGGTAACTGTCATCTAGGACTGAAACGGCCTGTTTGAACCAGCAGGACCACCATGAGCAGAAGAAAAACTAACTTTATCTGAGATCCTTGCTTATTATCAAGCCAAAATAGGTGTATTATAAATGGTAGCAGTCCCAACTTTCTTGATATATTCGTTTTAGGCATTTAAAACACGTTTAGAAGAAGAAATGTGGAAAAATCAAGAGGACAAGTTCAAATCAAATTTCCGTTTGCCGCCATGGATTCCCACGCTTATTTACACACTCACACAAGCACCCAGCGCCAAACCAGGCTTCACTTTTTCCCCGTGCTTTTAGAGACGAGCACTCCGTCTTTATGTCTTTGGCTTTAACTACTGTGTTTTTTGGAATAAGGATACTACCATAAAATTTCTTACTTTTAAGATTAATTAATAAAAAAAAGGAATACAAATTGCAGTATTAGAGAAGTTTAACCTCAGCAATACTGGAGATAAGTCAAAGCTCTGAGCGGTATATCCCTCAAAATGCGTCCTATTTAGAAAGAAAACTTTCCTCATGTTTGCTTTGGTCCCGCAACAGATAACTGTCACTTTTATAGAAAAAGTTTGCGAGGAAACATTAGCCTGAATTGGGTTGAAGGCAAATCCTGATTTTTTGTCGAATTCTTCACGAAATCCTTTCTAAAGAAAAAAGTTGAGGTTTGCGAGAAATCTTGATTTTTGCTGTCAGATAACTTTCCTTTCCGTCCAAAAATGACTTGGCAGCAACATCTCTTATATTCGACAAGGCCATCGCCACAAGTCGTTGGATAGTTGGGATATTACTGTACTGGCTATTGTGAAGCTTAAGGCCTCAAGGATTTATTTATTTACCTAACATTTCTTGATACAATTTTCAAAAATACTGAGATTTATTGTTCTTAATTAAGGAAACGCAAATCGACATTTTCAGCTTGAATTTTCTTCACAGTTCTCAATTATGAAATTATTCGATCTCAAACTTATCCTTTTTCAGGAGTAGTAGTTTACTGGTTTCCACTACCTTTGGAGCCCTGGGCTCTTCGAATTCAAAACAAAGTAAAAAGGAAAGCATAACAATAAAATATTTACCAATACATATTCGTAGCTGAGTCAATGACAAAAGACACATCATCACAGGCTGGGAGACAGTTACAGTCCAAATTGTATTTATTTAAGTTGTGCAATTTTATCATTTCCTCTGAAAAACAAGTTCAAATCTATTAAAATAAAACAATTTAAAGACATCCACAAAACTGTGTTGATCGAAAAACTGTGTGTCTCCATTAAGAAATACATTTTTCACATTTATTGAAAGGAAAAGATAAAATTTGACTTCATTAATATCACAGGGAATTTTTATTAGTATGACTATGGTCAGTCCAAATGAAGATCAAAATGTGCGGAAAATCTCAATTAAAGTCCGATGGATGGTTCTTGAAAATGAGTGTCTTGATTGTTAATTGCAAAACTTCTAAAATTGTCGACTTGAAATGCTAACGTATGTCGACTGCACATTTTCAGTATTTCTTCTTACTGACATTTTACTTTTTTGACACTGAGATTTGTAGCCAAATTTGTGCGATGGTTCTCCAATGAAAAATAAAATGTTGGTTGAATTACTGAAACAGTTAAAATAACATACGTTCCTTCCTATGGGAGACGACACCAAACCAAATATGAAACCGATGACTCTGTTGAAGTATGCAAGATATAGTCCAGCAAAAAACCATTGCTATGGTGTTGTCAGGTCCTTAATGAATGCATTCAATTACATTTTCAGGACTTAAAGGCCGCCCTGCAGTTTACGCCCTGCTTTTCTATTTTTGTCAGCTGAATATGTTGGCTTCATCATGAAAGTTCCTCCCTTCTAATTGAGATGCAATGGCAAAGACAATTACCTTCATATTTTGCCAGGCACTTCATTCCTTTAACATTGCAAATAGGTTCTCCGGCTAAAAAAAAAAAAAAAAGAGCTGCATTTATCACAAGCTATTATTTAGACGAAAAGTTTCTAGGTGACAGGATAAGAAATACAATTATTTTTCTGTCAGATCCAAAAGTACTTCAGTTCATTTCTATCATTCAAGAAATTGTTGAAAACAGAAATTTATAAGGAAGACAATTTATTTAGGTATTCATTCTATTTTCTCTCTATGCAGGATGTGACCCAAAACTTGTTTTTCAAAAATGCACAGTGTGACCATAAAAGGCAATAAAACAAGAGGACAAGAATGTTTAAACTAAAAAATTAAACTTTTCAACATTAGAAAAAACACATACTTCTTAGTACTCAACTTGCTCCACACATATAATCACACTTCACTACCACATAATATTATTCTGCAAAATATTTGGCTTACCTAAAATTGCTAAAATGGATACACTTTTCAAAGGCATACTTCACAGTCAAACATGAAAATGTTTGACTGCTTCATGTCGTACGATAAATATTCATTATTTGACGTCCAACCAACTGTCATAAAAATTGTTGATCACGTTCTATGTTTGAGAGATTAGCATGAACTATTAGCCTGCTAAAGATATCACTTTAAACTTGAAACAAAAAAATAGGTAGCTCCTGGTTATGAACTATTTTTTAAGTAACTCTTTTCACTGATCTCTTATTCCTTCAAATTCCAGAGTTAACGTCAAAATTCCTGGGGTTTTCCAGTATTTTCCCGGTACTTGAAACCCTGCCTCAACAATTGAGCGATTCAATTTTCATCAAACTTTATTAGAGAAGTTCTTTTCTTGCCTTTTCAGTTTTTTGTTTTGTTTGCAACAATTTCTTTAGTATAACTCATTTAGTTAATGAAACTTCTGGCATTTTGTACAAAAAAGATTCAGGTATAAATTGACTGAATTAAAGCTTTTTGAAACTCACTTGGAGGGTAGAAAAAAGGAACACAGCCACACAGTTTGAGTGACAATTTTATTCGACATTCCATCCGACAGAATTTGAAGCTATAAGCTGGACTGATTTTGAGGTTTGATTCATGAATGAATCTGCACCGTCGCTGAGAAACACTCAACTGTTTGACTTCATCGCTAGAATAGATTGTTAGCGGAACAGCAACAACCGTTTTGAAGTTGTTCATTGAGGATTCAAACCCTGTTGTTGCAATGTCCGCTGAGTCATTGGGACTGTGAATGTACACCTGACCATAAATGAATCATAAAATTATTGCCACAGAAAAAACAATAGTCCTGCATTACATTGCATATTTGATTTATAAACGCTTGGAAAGAGGTTTTATACAGATACACCTTCAAATAAATTCAATATTTAAACTGATTTCTGACTTGTTTACGATTATTCTGAGCACACCCTCTGTCAATTTTGGGACTATCCTCTAATTTAGTTGATGCACTGCAGCATGGCTTACCGGCAAGGTTTTTGATTCTCATGTCTCATTCAAATTTGTTGCTTTTTATTCATACATGCTGCCTAGTGTAATATTTTATGGACTCTGATTATCGATGACCTTTGTCAATTGAAATGCATAAAGCTATCAGCATTTATTGGCACAACTAAGAATGTACTTACTGCTAAGTATCCACCTATCACAAACAATTAAATTACCATCCCTTCACTCTTGACTGCTGATCTGAAACTCCTGATTGATTTTTCGATGGGTGCCTTTTTGATGAAGTATCAAATCATGTATTGAAAATTTAAAGGGAAAAAATCTTACCACGTAACCGCTGTTAATGTTCATCAGCTGTGCCAATGTTTCTCCACTCATAGGATGCCCCATCAAGAGCGGTTGCATTGGGAAAAGAGTTCTATTGCGGTTCATGATGTATCTGAAAATAGATCGAGACTTGCTTGAATTTATGATGATAAAACTCTTGATGTTTTGTTGATTATCACAGTAACAGGATTAAGAGTAACAGAGCCTTTCCCCTCTGCATCATTGTAATAGATCATGCTTTGGAAAAATTAAAAGTGGCATCTCTCCAAATAAAGATTCAAGTGACCAAACAAGAGGAAACCGCTGAAATTGAATAATTTGTAATGATGATTTCCAAGTTAATCATCAGAATGGAAAGTTTTCTAAAGGCATTTTTAACAATCATTAGGTCAAGAGTAGAAACTGAGGAGCAGCAAGAAGTCTGCAATTTATATGCTGAAGATTAATACATATACTCAAATGTGTGCTATAAACATTTAATAACATATTTTATTTGACTACAAGTGTATTTTACATCTTTTATACAATTTAATCTTAGTATCTGAGCAGAACTTTATCACTCAGTTGTAAAATTTTCAAAGCAACATTTACGGTAGGTGCAACAGGTATTCTTGAGTGATGGTATTTTTAAAGACAACATCTAAAAACTTGACAGGTTAACGAGGAAGAACCTTTATTCAGCTGAAATCGGCACATTGTCAGGTGCTGGCACCGGCTCAATTTAGAAATCCAGTCAGAAATCATGAAAAAGTTCAAACTAGAACTAGAAAACAATTCCCAGATGTTTCACAGAGCTACGAAAGCTTAATCTATTGTGAAATAGATTTGACACTCTGCAGTCCGTGATTCACCTATCACTCAGCAACACTTAAGGCACTTAAGACTTGAGGCAGTATCAAAATTAAGAGCGCTTTCTGACGCTAGCACCTGACCAGTGGTCTGCCTCCCCCCCAAAAATTTTAGGAGCCACCTTGGCCAGAAAGCCCAATTTTTAGGAGCCATCTAGGTACTATTTTTTAGGAGCCAAATTAATATTTGCAAGCGGGCCATGGCGATGCTGCAAACGATGCGTATAGAGAGCGCTTCATCGCTACCGCTGGTTCCCGATTAAGAGTTCAATCTGTCAAATTTTTTAGGTGCCACAATGGCCCAGCCCCCCCCCAATTTTTAGGCGCCAAGTCCCGATTTTTAGGCGCATTTGGCACATGGCACCCGGGGAAGGCAGAATACTGCACCTGACGCCATTGCCACAATGCTCACAGGTAGACAGATATCTAATTACCATGAAAATATGGCAAACCTGGGATGTAAATATGGAGCCAGATGGGAGTTGAAGGAGTAACAAATGCCCATTTCAGTAAGAATAGGGGCAAGTTGGGTGGTTCCTAATTCTTGAATATGGGTATTGCTCATATTGTAGGTGAAGTTGACTCGAATTTCGTAGGCTGCAGAAAGGTATTCTTCAGGGGATATGGGATCATAATCATCAGAAAAATCCTTGAAAGAAGAGTAAGTAGCGTTGGCAAGTGTTAACAAGAAAGTCTCCAGTCTGTCACTGTTGTTGAAATGAGCATACCTAAAAAAAAACAGAAAATCACTATGATTCAGCTTTGAACAAAATCCACAACTGGACTCACTTGAAACTGCAGCTCTTCTTCAAAATTCTACTAACCTGTCTTACTGGATTCCTGCAATGTCTACTTTTTCGTGTAAATTTAACGTTAATTCTGAAACTTTTGGTACCTAATTAAAACCAACATCAATGAAATAATCATGTTAGATATAGAGCTTAATATTTAATCTTGAAACATTATTTTGAAAATGTTAAAGTTGGTTCTGATGGAATATAGCCGCAATATAGTCTAGTAGAATATGGACAGTGCCTCCATATCCATATATTAGCTCATGCAAAGATTGAAAAAGGATTATGATTAATAACAATGGATAGTTAATTTAAAATTCACAGGTAGGTCAAAAACGTTGCACTACTTGAAAAACTTACCTGGATTCGATAAGATTCTTCAAAGCTGTTGGGTCAAATTTAGTTGTTGGACATAATGTCAGTGCTGGAAAGGAAGAATTCCATTCCTTGTAATCACGCTCCATTGAGATGACGGTGGGATTCTTTTGATACCTGCAACAACAGAGCGAAATTCGTAAGTCAACTGAAGTCCTTACAGTCACAATAGAAAAATATGGGCAAGTGATAGGGTACAAAATTAAGAAACTTGAAATTTTTAAGTTACGTGTTCAAGAAAGACAAATAATTAGACATATAAAGAGCCAGATGAATTTAAAAAAAAAAATTAATTGATGTCATTTGAGCCTGGATCCAGAAGTCCTGTACACATGCAGGTTTAGTCATTCTCAAATCCCCTTAAATTCCTTTTAAAACTAGTTCTCTGCTTTATTTTGTAGCTAGAAATACAAAGGCGTCGAGACTCGATAAAGCTTGAATTTTCTGTCTTTTTAAATTCATTAATGTTGCGATAATTTGCGAAAAACTTTAAGAGATGTGGATATGCATGAAAAGAGGCATAATTCAGTAAAAATGATGGATGTGAAATGTTTTATCTTTCAGTACAGACTAAATTTCAAAGCACCCAAACATAATCAGAATGGGTAAAGTAGTTTTGATTTTGGACTTTTTTTAGAGAAAAATATAAAACACACCACGCTAAGTGCTTCATAAATGATAAAAACGCAATACATGCGTACTGTAAAGTTGAATTTTAAGCACTTACCTTTGCCATGTTGAGTGACTAAGCCAATAGGTGCCCCACATGCCAGAAAATAATGCGACAATCCAAAGGATACTTATTGATTGATTACAGCAGACAGTGGAAACAGGAACATTTTGGAAAGCCAAGTAAAATTTAATCACTGTCCAAAGTAGGTAACAAAATGAATAAAAGAAAATTGTTTCCTTCATTCCACTTGCTTTGACAAGGCATTTAAAGAGGGATGTAACAGCTGAAAGGAACTGTGGTTCTAATTTTGAACAGCTCACAACAGTCTAGCTTCAAATAATCAACTTAAAACACAATTCTCGTTAAAAAAAAAAAACTTTGAAAATAGCTACTATTAGGGGATGAAAATTCTAAAATTTTCAGGGAAAGGGGGCATGTGTGCATATATCAAGAAATTGAACATTCGACAAAAATTATGAGAATCTCTTAGTTTAGACAATGTATATTTCAAAAATATTCTCAGAGTAGTTGTATGCTATCTGCATCATATGTTTACATGAGCGTACACAATTTGGAGCTTAATTACTGAAGGAATATCTTAAAAAATAAATGTCCACCTTCATAAATTTTTGCATAACTTGTTTTATCCTTAGACAAATAAATTATTAGTGAGTGCGTAATTTTTTTTTTTATCTTACCTACCACCATTCAAAGAAAAATCCATGAAGCTCCTGTTAATGTAGACAAGTTATCTCTGTCATAGGGGAGATTATTCTAATATTAAACTATCATTTATACTTACAATTCAAATGGATGAATTCTGTTACTCCTGATGTGAATAAGCCCGTGAAAAGAGGACTTTTCTAGAAAATTTAAGAGAAAAATTTTACAATGCTCATGAATCTTCTCTTTAGTTGAGGAAAATTTCAAAGGACCTATCAGCATCTTTAAAAACTGAAAGACTGATGGTTCATGTATATTTTATGAAAGTTGGCTGAGAGCTAAAAAGTTAGAAAACAGTGAACAAAATTAGATGAGATGATTGTTAGGTTTTCAGAATCTCGGAAACTGGAATGCATGAATTGAAGGCTTTACTTGGGTCGGAAAAGTGAAAAGCAGATGTTTACTTCAGTTTCTTGATAGGCAGATATTTTTGTGTAAAACACAAAACCAAATCAATGCCCGACATGAAAATCAATGGTAGAGGGAAAATTCTGCAACGGAATTATCAGGCAATGAATCATAATAACATAGGAGTGTGAAATATGCGACATGCAACAAGGTAATTTTTGAATAATAGATGAGAGTTTAGCCTCTTGCTGAGAGGTTTGCTATATATTCGCTCTTCATTCAAGATTCAAGAACAAACCATTAATGGCTATACTTTAATCTTATCGAGGTGTCCACTGGCACCTCAAGATTTAAATTTCTTGCTTTTTCAACACCTTCTCTTTATTTTTGTCTAACCTCTTAAAAATTCCTCTTTTCAGAGGTGTCCTAAAATCTACAATTTTTCACTGCTTCTATCTCATTTTCCCCTTACATTGCATAGATTTATAACTCGTAGAAAGATCAATTTTTGCACCCTCCAAAAAAAAAAAATATATAAATAAATAAATAAAAGTGGGAATAAATATATAATGTATTAAAAAAAAATCAGAATTATTAAGTAAAACGTAGGAATGATATGAAATACTCAGAATTTAGCTGAGATTTCACATGAACCTGACAGAATAAAATTGTAGAAAACTTTCATACCTTAAAGGCTATATTTTTTAAGTTCATCACAAAAAAAATTGTACTTCCATACATTTTTACTATAACGCGTGTGGTTTCCAAGTTTCAATACCGAGCTTTCAAAGCTTGAAGTCTATTTTCTAACTATTTTCTAATGGTACAAGCCAGAGAGTTCAAGCAACACAACCATTGAAAATTAAAAATCAAAAACAAAAGGCAACGTTTGATTAAAAAAAGGGGGTAACTACAGGATGATTCAAGAGTCCTGTACCATCCCTGCAACTTTGGAACCAATTGAGATAGACATGACATAAGTTTTGGCCTACATATGGGGATCTTTGTAAAATTATTCAATAATGAAAAGAAATCATAATTTCATTGAATTTATTGTCTTTCTTCTTTAAATTATTAAACATCTGTTCGCAAAAATAGTTAACTTTGCCACTGTATGGTGCTGATTACTGCTGATTTTGAAAATTCAATTGCATTGAACCCAAAATGACAGTCATTAGACTGAAGGCTGCTCATGAGATTTTTCTCCTGGAGTAAAGCTTGGCCTAAAGATGCAAACTTCTTCCAAACTCAGTTTGACAAACTCATTACAATAGAGTTAGACATAACCCCAAAAGTTGGTTCCACCATTTTTGACATAACTTAACATGCATGTCAGAATTGTCAGAGTGACTATCCTCATCCATAAGCAGCTAAAAGAGCTAGACTGGTGCAATGCGGGTTTGATAGAAGTTCACCCATGTTGATGAGGCCTAAGGCAAATTGAACTGAGAACCCTGCTATTCGTTGAACATTAAGAATTAGATGAGAAAGCTGCCATGATTGCCATAGTTCATTCATAATTGGTAACTTCATATTTGTTGAGAGACTAAAAAGGAAAAAAAGAATTTAGGAAATTCAGATCTTTACGGAATAATTTCTTTTGAGAGGAGTAATACCTTTCAAATTATTAGAATTGTAATTACGTCTGAATACACCTCAGAACCGTGTTGCCATCAGAAAATTTCAAAATCATGTACTTGCAGCTTGGGACATCCTGATCTTAAGCACCGGTCTTTGAAATATATTTTAAAAATTTAGGAAAAAGAGAGATTAAATCTAACAGAATGCCCTTATTACAAATATAGCACTTCCATTTTGCATATCATTTAGCATTACAATTTAAGAATGAGCTCTACAATATGTCTATTCTAAAAGGTTAAGGGTGTAAAATACTGGAAAGTAGACATATTTGTGCAGGCAGTGGCAACCATATCAAAGTGGTTCTCCAGCGCTTTGGAGAGAGATTCCATAGTCTATCGGTAAATTTAAAATTTCTTTCATTTTAAAAACGGAAATTTCTTGAGAATTTCCGACCATCACATCACACTGTGGTATGTCAGATATCAGTGGGCATGATTTGACTAAGAAACACTTAGAAATAACTCCAAGAGAACAGTTCAAGTGAATACCCCAAATCAAAAGGCAAAATGATTCATGATATTTTCTTTGATCGAACTTCAGGAGTCATTTTAAAGCATTTCTTGGTCAAATTGTGTATGCAAATATCTAGCGTACATATAATGACATGAGATATGATGCTTAGATATTCTCAATAAATACCTAAAATCCAGAAATTATCGATTGATTGATTGACTATCGAATCATTCTCTAAAGTGCTGGAAAATCACCTTAAAATAAGCGCATGTCTGCTGATCATGTTGAGCTTAACATTTCCTACATGAGGGATTCATTAACCAGAGAGAACAGAAGTTAACAGTTATATATTTTATTTTACAAATTTATTGAGAACAAATTGAATTTGTTCTTCTTTCCATACGTTAATATTACGAGCTAGCTACTAAAAGCTTGGAAGAGAATTGCAAAAGAAATTTTTCCCACTGATAAAAAATTATATAGGTATTTCAAAAACAAAATGAAAATATTAGAGAGAAACTTCTACTTTTAGTTATATAAAGTTGATACTGATACTGTCTGGTGTTTCAAACTGACTTAGCACATTTTGTCGAAACATCCATACATTGAAGCACAACTTTACTTTAATCACTTTTGAACTGAGCAAAAAGTAAGCAAAATATTAAAATAGAAAAGTAATTACAAACGTTGATTCTTAAGAGGTTAAAAAAATAATGTTTCTCCTCAAAATAGGTGGCATATGCAATTTAAACTAGTCGACTCTATTGCTACAATGCTGGAATTTTCTATCTCCATTCATTTCAGCAAAACTGGGGATTTATATTTATAGGCAAAAAGTCTTAAAACATTTCATTCTCAAAAGGAAAAAGCATTTTTTGTGCGGTTAAAGTTGGGGTGTCTGTTTTCTTCCATGCAAGAAAATTAGCTATGGATGCACAACTTTGGCATTTCAGCAAGCATAGGTAATAGTTTTGGTTACATGAGTCTTAAGACTTTAAATTTTTGAAATCAATTTAAAATCTGAAATTTCGTTGAACAACATTTATGATCGAAAGACGGATACAAAATAGAATTCGGAGTAACATGACTCCAGTTTTCTTATACATACCAAAGCCAAGTTGGAGGATACATTCTCTGGCAAAATTTCAAAACGTTCAAGAATTTGGAATGTTCAAGAAACAAATGAATTTGTGAGGGGTGAAAGTAAATAGCCAGAAACATGAGAGGAAACTTCCTTAATCCTCTTTCATCTTGATACAAATTGTTAAAATAAAATATTTTACAAAAAGGAAATCAAGAAAGTTTAATTGGTATTTTTCATAAATTTTGATAAGAAACGCTGCTCTTCCTAACTATTCACTACCAATTTTTTCCTCTCATTTCAGCGTGACCTCAACTGGACTCTGTTTTCTTCCCTGAAATCTTACTGTTTCACAAGCAGTATAGCAAGTGCTAGTAGCAGTATAAACCCCTTATACCTACTTCCAACTTTGATGAAACTTAATGTTACTCTCCTTACTATCCTGAACCATAGTTCTGCTGAGCGATTGTAAATTTTCTGCCTACGTATTTCCAGATATTTGCCTCTGAAAAATCAAAAAAGTCTGGTCTCATACCAGTCAAACATCATGGGATTGGAGGATAGATATGTAGTGGAGAGAACTAAAGCAGAGTATTTTCAAGGGTTTCAAGGTGGCAACAAGAAAACACAGGACAGACAGGTTGAAGTTGTTCTCTTAAAGAAATATTTGCAGCACAAAATAAGTGAGATGCTTCATGTGGTGAAAAGACCACATGATAGAATAAAAAAATTCCGATGATTTTACCTAAAGCAAAACCTAACTCAAGTAGAGAGTCAGCTAAATTTTGCTGATTCGGAGATAAATAACTTAGAAATAGCGCGTGCTATCTCCCAGCGCTAGACTTTCGTTCAAGGTGATAAGGAAAGTAATATGATTAGATTTCATCAAAATTGACCTAAGACCGTTTTATGGGCTGTTTGCCTCTCCTTTCTTCAAATACATTACATCATAAAAAAAAGCGTACAGAAAATGTAAGATACGATTTTGGTTGCAGAGCTGGTATTTATAAAAGTAACTTAGGGCTTCTCATACACCTACTTACCACAATTGTACAAAGATGACCTGTAATTAAGTCAGATGCATTCTGAGGAGAACAGTTGCGACAAGAAGAAATAAAGAATCTTGGATTTTCCGTTACGAGTGGAACTGAGAGGCTGGAATCTTGGGGAGACCGAACTCATCAACTTGAACTCCATCCTGCAAAAAATTAAAATAAATTTGATACATTGCTCAACAGCCTTAGCACATTCAAATTAGTAGATAAAAAGCAAAAAATCACTGATCTAGAAATTTGACTACATTCTGCAATTAGGATCCACAATTTCTGGCTCATTTCAGAAACGACATATGTGCCATTAGTTCCCCTATGTACATTAGTGCTTTTTAACGATGAGCTAGAAATTGTACTTCCTAATTGCAAAATGTAGAGTTGGTTTTGAAGTTTTTTTAACACATAATATCTCTATCAAAACTGATATTTTCAAAAACAAAAGTTCGATACTGACCTTATTGGTAACTTCCGCAGGTCCAGGATCAGTGCGAGGTGCGGCAGGTGTTTTGACTTCGTCAAGATAGGAGGTGTCATCATCAAGAGCAATTTCATCTCCTAATGCATCCAGCTCAGCAGCTAGCTCATCATCATCTATTTCTGGCGTGTTATAATTGCGTCCTAAAGTTTCCTGGATGGTATCTGATTGTTCCAAAAGATCTGCGAGATCATCTTGTAAGTCCTGAAAAATATTTCAAGAGACAACTGAGATAATACAGAAACAGGGTGTCTATGAACAAGGGAAAAAAACTTCCTCGTCTCTCCCAGGTTTCCCCTCACCAAATCACCAAAATTTCCTGACTTTTTACATCAACAATTAGCATGCATGGAAGTGAAAATGAACAATTTTTGGCATAATTTCACTGTAGATGACAGATGAAACATGTGGGCCTTTTTCCCTCAGGTTATCATCATTAAATTATTTAAGCAATTCATTATTGAAAATTATTCCCCTATTCATCATTCAGAGTGTGACTCAGAACACTGAACCCAAAACCAAACTAAGACTCAGTTTGATTGCGTAGACAGTGCCGATGCTTCTTTAAATTTTAAGTATCAAGATATTTCAAAAACTCACTGTCTATTGCATAAAATTCCCTCACTTTTCCCTGATTTCCCTGACCTGATAAAGCTTTGAATAAAAGACAGTTTGCTGTTTCCAGGTTTTGCAGACTTGTAGACACCCTAGGATAGTTGGTTGAAGAAATATTAGAACTGTTCTCAGTCATTCGATTCACTTTGTCTTTTAAATTGAAAAGAGAAAAAGAGGACAGGCAGCCCATGGATGAGGGCAGAGCATGCAATTGATTGTAGCTATGACTTTGAGTTCTGCCTTGACAAATGATACTAAATTTGTTGGTACGAACAGACCAAAAAGTACATTTAGCTACACACTGGTCTAGAAAGAAGATGATTCCTGAAGTGAAAGTTTTAAATAAACCAAGAACACATGAAAGCAGGTTTCATTTTCTTGATGTTAGTTTTATTTTTCTTTCAAGGTGATAGCTTCTTCAGAATCGGTGATGCTAGGTCGATTCTTCTAGATAACTAGAACAAAGAGCAAATAGTTCCTGCACTACTCGGGCTACTCTCGTTGAGCCCCAAACATCAACTGTCACAGCAAGAAGAAAGTAAATCAACGATAGATTTCACAATCAATTGAAGGATGTTTTGAATTTCCACTTTTATCTCATCTACAAAGGTGAGTATGTGGCCAGAAGTAGGAGGATAACATTCCTACAACCAAAAAAATATCACAGAGCAACTATCCTTGCATTTTGTATTATTAAAATGGATCTGTATATACGGTACAGAATTTATTTGCTGTACCGGCAGATTTACTCTATGATGGGAAAAACCCTATCAAAATGATAAGGAAACTCAGGAAAATTTTGGGAGAACTGTTGCTTGGTTGTCCATGGAAAGGTGGATCATGACTGCAGACTTACAGATTTATTATCGGAGATGCATAGTTTTCAATCTCAGCCAACAATTTAATACTTGTGATATCAAAATATTAAATGCGTTTCAATAACATTCAAGTTAACACGTGGTGGCCAATCAAATAGTATCCAATTTTTTAAAGCTGAATTAAATTTTAGAGTTGCGTATTTAATCTTATGAATCAGTCCCTCCACATGAGCAGCTGTTTGTAAAAGGTGACAGCTGCCTAAAAACCTGACTATTATGTACAAATAAGTGCACCTTGAAAATAAATAAATAATGCAATGCAAACGCTTGGTTGGGATAAATGTAATGCGAACAATGGTTAGAGGTACATTATGAGGGGGAAAGGTTTCATGCTTGAGATATAATATTCTTGAATCTATTTGAAAAGTATGAGTTTCTTTTATCTTACCTCTATTTGATCGATGTTGATTTTCTTAAATTCTTTCCTCATTTGATTCATTCCACTTTTCATAGCAACTACAGTAGATTGAGTGTCTTTCAGGGACTGGACTGCAAAATTAGCTTGCTCCATGTTAAATGACTGATTTTGTAAATTTTCTAACTGAGTTTCAAACCTAGAATGGAAATAAATCTTTTTTCAAAACTCTGGAGGGATGTAGCGTTACTTAATGTAGGTCTCCTCAACCAAAACATTCGAGAAACTGTGCACATTATACTGTGTTCAAGGGTGAATATTTCTGTATTTTCTAAGAATTTTATTAAAAGTTCTCTTTAAATTTGCAGATGTTGTTCCTATTCAGAATTCCATTTCCTAAGAATATCAAGTATTTTTGAACAGATTATGGCGACAATAATGAAAGTATAAGGAATATTTTAGGGCTAAATTATTTTTTCAGCTTTAATAAAGAGCCATCCATAGAGTATATAAATGATCATTGCATAAGAAAATTCTTTCTTAGGCTGAAATTTAAGGAGAGAAGACTCATGATTTACAATTTGGCCTGAAACTTTAGCAAAATCTATCACATTGAGTTTTTTATAAATGACTTACACAGAGCGTAATATCTTTGATGCTTCTACTTTATAAAATTCAGGATTGCTGCAAGTCAGCAAATTTTCAACCAAAGGATCTCAACTAGGTTGCATTAAAAAGCTAATGAAATAATCTGTAGGCTTGCACAACTTGAATCTTGCTAGCCTTAATTGTTCACTAGTAGGAGGGTTGGTTACATGACTTTCGGCACCTCCAATGGACATTGCTTCAATAATTGGTGCAAGTCTTTGAAATTCTCTGTTTCTGGTAGAGATGTAATAAGAAGATAAAATTGGATTTGATATCTCTCGGTTTGCAAAATTACAAATACCAAAAAAGGAGGACCAATATTTTTAGACCATTGATACAATCTATTTTCAGTTTTAAAAATTTTTCATGACTTTGTACGATTTTGAAATTGCACATTTTCTTTCTCAATGAAACTTCAAGATTGGTAGTCATCCAGACTTAACATATCAGTAAGAGAGGAAAGAAGATACCTACATTCTTTTTTGTTTCAGAACTCTTAAGGCTTTCTGCTTCACCATATTCTTTGCAGGACCTTCTCGCATTTTGACCATTTGATCCTTGAACTTCTTCAACTCTACTTCAAGTTTGCTAATTTTTTGTTCAAGACTTGATGCTCGGCTGTCAACCTTAAAATAAGAAAAAATGAAAGAAACTGAAATTAGATCATTCATGTCACAATGATGGTTGCATTAAAATATCTCGGTACTGAAGTCGAGGAATTTTTGGAGCTCACAAAATTGTAGAAAAGTACTTCAATGGCCAACACCATCCAAAGTTTTCCTAGTAGTATTGACCGCTAGGAAAAAGAACTGAAAAAACACATCATTTAATAGAATTTTGGAGACCCGCACACAAGGACAGATCATGAAAAACAATGAAACTCACTCGCAAGTAAAATTTGATAAACTAGCAAACATGTTTTGCCGGCTCCACCTCTGGCATCTTCAGCGCAACTCCTCCTCCAACTCCTGAGTCGCACAGAGGATGCCGGAGGTAGAGCTGGCAAAATGCATCCACTAGTTTATCAAATTTTACACGCAAGGGAGTTTCGGTGTTTTTAATGAAACACATCATTAATTTCAAAGAGGAAACCGCTTTGAGTAAATTAGAAAACTTTCCTAGTTTCTTTTAGGTGAAAATGCCACCAATTGCTCTTACTTCAGTAAAACTAAATGCAACCTCAATATCATACTCCTCTGATTATTCTAGCTATTCGCTCATGTCACGTAAATGTTTTAAAATATCTGTTTTCAATTATGTCATGATTAAGTCAACCAATCATGCTAGTTTTCGAGTTCTTTTATCGCAGAGAGGACTGCCCTTGTTATTTCCTACGTTTTCGCCCCAACCAACGACTAGGCTGGCAGGATCTACAGACTAATTGTAAGCAGCTTCTCCCTGGCGGCTACGTGTTCAAGATGCCATGCTCCTCGTCATTCAAATTGTGTCTCTTGTTTCCTCTGTAAATGAGCCTGCATACCAATGTTACTGAATTGGATTTCTGTGAAAGCGGGTTGATAAAATACTTCACACTCCAGGGGGCTCAAGGAAAGCTTTATGCCATTTTGCTTCCCTTGTTAACGGATGGGGGCCTAAGTGAATCGTTCCCATATCCAAATTCTGATAACTTCATCAATTTATAATCAGCGGTGATGTACATTAGACTAGGAAATCGATATCAACTCAAAAGCTTCCTAGGTTCAAAGTTGACAGTGTCACTCTTGAAAATTTTGGGACACCTCATGTTGAACATAATATTGATCTAAGTACGGGAGAGGGTTCTGTCTTTATTTATTAGTTACCCTGAGATAGGGCTTCAGCCCTTCAGCCTTGAGGGCTTTTTCTTTATTGCGGAACAGGGTGGATCACGGAAAACGGACTGGATCGGAATCCTGAGCGATCCGAACCGATCAAAAGTGTTCCAAGTGATAAAAAAATCCAAACTTGGAATTTGGTTTGATTTGTTCGAGACGGCAACTTCCTCGCATTAGGTTAGGATCACAGTGGATCGCGAACTCGCCCCACCTCGGAGGAGCGATCCAGCGTTCCACCCTGATCCACCTGGAGCGCTTGGGTCACGGCTGAGGAACGGGATAAAAAATACCGATATTCATCGCAATCCACTGCGTTCCACTGCGATTCGCAATAAAAAAAAGCCCTTTACTGTTCCCAGGGTGGACTTGGAGTGAGACTCAGAAGGTCACATGTTTCTGAGCATCTTGTAGACACCAAGTATAATGATTCGAACATTATAGTGGTGGATTATTGGGCTAAAAGTCTACTTCGTGCAAACTGTCTAACGATAGAAATTTTTCCTTACATTTGAGATGACATCATGCATGTTTGGAGGGGGCGCCTTCTCCTTCGAAGATCCGAACAAACGATTCATTTTAACGATGGTAGTGCAGATGAAAAAGATGATCAGAGATTAAACAGTGAACACTGCAGACCGTGCGACACTCAATTTAATTTTGATTTGAAATTTTTGTGGTATTATCTGATCTATCGCGCACGGAAATATCAGCTGAGAGGATTTTTGTTTGTTATGATAATTGATAATGACGAACAATGAGTAATACTGGGTGACGTCACTCACGTCACGTACACTAGCCAATCAGAGAATTTAGTTTCAGTTCATTCCATTTATTTCAACATTTCAACTGATGGAACTACTCATTTCCGTTTCCGATCCTTAATTCAATTTTTGTTTTGTTTACATTTTGTGTTAGGTTATGTTTATTGTTTATTTGTTGACAAATTTTGTCGTGAAAAGTTTAACAGAGAGTGGTTCTCATTTGAATATTATTTTAATCTCTATAAAAATTAAGGATTTCGAATTATTTCTATCACCCTCCATCATCAATTTACAATTGCTGTCTGAGGTTTGCTCATCGCCTTTGTGGTAGTCATTTATTAAATTCCCTATTGTGCCGCTCTGTGGTGCGTCTTAGTGGTCTCTGAATTCTCTGATAACAGAATGCAAAAATGGCTCACATCTTTCCAGTGTTTCTAGCTCATTTGCTGCATGTTGAGGAAGAATTTCTGGATGGCGAGCATGTACACATACATCGCATTGAACGGAAACGATTTCGTGACCGATGTAATCCATTTGATATCCCAGATAAAGAGTTCATCAACAACTTTCGGCTGTCTAAAGATATAGTTCATGGCATAGTGGACAGACTGAGTCCATATCTAGCTAGAACGCGTGCGTACAGCTTAACTCCAGCTCAGAAGGTTGGTGTAAATATTTTGTCCTTTTTCTCAAATTTCTGACTCAGTCAGGTCATTTAAAGGATTCAGTAGGTACTCCAGCAAACTTGGTTCATTTACAGATGCTTGTTCTTTTTTGACTCAGAATCGCCCCAATGCCTCAGCTAGGCTGTCTAGACACAGCTGCTGCTGTTGCAGACTTCAGATATTTTTCATTCTGATCTTTTATTTTTTTCCTCAGAATGCAACCCAGGTAAGCCTAGAAATTCGACTCAATGTCTTCAAGGATAGATAAAAATAATTAGAATATTGTAGCCTCAATTTCATTGAGAAACATGAGCTTAGATATCTCTCTGCCGGGAGACACTGCCAACTGTTGGAGGGCACTACAGCTTACATAGGTCAAATTGACAGAAGAGAAGTGACAAAATCCGAGAATTCACAGAAAAAATTGGATTACTGTTTTAACAAATAAATTGTTAAAAAATATATCATTCATGTTTCAAATGTACATTTTACTCTAGTGGCAAGCTAAAGTAGCATTTTTATCGTGAAATCTACATTTAAACATGTCGGACACTTTTTTTCAACCACAAAATTGTTAAATCAGCAATTTTATTTTTTTCCGTGTTGTCAGCTTAGAAGTAGACTTGAATTATAGGTCCTGATTCTCACTGCGGTATTACATGCTTCCTTTTGTTTTTTGCCGTTATTAGCCACCAAGAGCAAATATGTTTGCCTTTGCCATGTTCTCGTATGCCTGCATACATCCATTTGACTTTCCAACGCCCGGACTGAAGTATGCCAATTTTTTATTTTGTCACTTTTCTCAGGCAGAAGCAATATCTGGTTTATTCAGGTTCATATCAGATCAAGCCCAAACTAACATTTACGTTCATGGAGCCAAATATTAAAAAGTAGTAACTCTCAGATATTTAAGATATTCAACCAAACCTGTTTCAGATACTAGCTGCTTTGAAATACTTGGCAACAGGAAATTACCAGCGAGGAGATGTCGCCGATCATAACATGATACATCTTAGTCAGTCATCTGTCAGTCGCGCTTTAAATGATTTCCTAAATGCAGTTGATGCTGAGCTTGTGACAGATGCAATCAAGTTTCCTAGCTCTGAGGACGAGAGAGCAAAAATCAAAGTAGGGTAAGTTTCAACAATCAACTCCTCTGATTTCTCCTAGGTATCTCATTTTATCGACTTGAACATTCCTCTCATTGAGACTTGTGATTCAAAATAACAAATTATAGTAAAATTAGAAATTGGAGAGTCTACCCTCTTTAGTCATGTAAGAGACTTCTCACAGAGGAGAAGAGTAAGTAAAGTAGCATAATGATAGCAAAAGTGGGAAACAACTTATCTCCATTGTAGGTTTCAAAACTCCGTTTCAAGTGTTCACTACTGTTTCAACTCAATATCTTGGAATTCATGCAGAATATTCTGCTAAACAGAGAAGAAAAATCGAACAAGCTTAAAACATCACATTGACTAGTTTTCCGAAAAAAAAAGAAAAAAAAATGAAGTAAGTATGACAGAAAGTGTCCAACATCGAAAACAGAGATAAGAGGTTTCACACTTTTGCCATTGATCAGCAATTCAGCCCATATTAAAATGCTGGGGAAACATTGCTGCTATGTTAATTTTGGCAGTAACATTTTGACGTTTTTGAAACCATTTTTTGCTAAATGGGAAAATTCGAGCAAATTTGCTATGGTACTGCAATCTGATGCGGGGATATTCAATTTTAGCTGGTTGGTTACTCTTAACTTTCTAACTCAATATCTTCTTCCTAGTATTCAGCTAATAATCTGAGAGTGCAACAATAAATCAGTTTTCCCATAACTATTGGATGGTCTATTTTCTTTTTAAACAAAAAATGGCAAACCAACTTGCTCATGAAGGTACCCACTCAGTGAATATTATCATAAAAACAGTCAAAAGTTTCAGAAAACAGTTTCACATAGCAGCTTGAACATAATAAATAAATTTAAAATAGGTCAGGAAGTAGGTGATGAACATTTGAGTTTTAGTAAGTAAGTGGGTGATTTTCCTCATTATTGTAAACTTGTTTCCATCCATTTTTTTTTTTTTTTAAATATTTTTGAAACTATGTGTTGCAGCTTCCAAGAAAAATATTTTATGCCAGGAGTGATTGGAGTAATAGACTGCTTAAGGGTTGCAATCAAGCGACCAAATAATGACGAGGAGGAATTTGTATGTGAGGTGCATGGTTATTCTCTGAATGTACAACTGGTGAGTCAGTTAACTATTTGAGCATGGTATGACGTGGGCAGAAAAATGTGAAGGTTTTCAGAGTATGGAGGCTTATAAAAGTAAAAGTCCATGCAAACATCTGATTATGTTAATTTTCAGATTCATGTGAATTACACAACAGATGAGAAAAAATTTGAAATCTGGCAACTCATTCGTTCAGTCAGGTATTTTCTGATGTGAAATAGGTACCTAAAAAATCAAGAAGCATGAGGAAAAATACACATATCTACAATAGTGCAATACAAAAATTGATTAATATTAATTTGATTAAGGTGATTCATCAAGCTCTCTGATATGGTTGAATTGGCATGTGATATATCGCCTCGATTAGGTCTAAAATCTAGGCAGATTTTGAATTTTTAGCCTAGAAATAGGTCAATAGCCCCTGGACAGGAGCCTAGAGAATCATTTTAAACCATAAAATTGGCAAAATTTAGAGAAATGAAAGCTAAATCTTGTTTGAAAAAAAACCTCGCATTCTATACAGATATAGATTTCTGCATCGAATGTAAGGTTTTTTCCCAAACAGGAATCTGCTTTCATTTCTCTGAATGTTGCCGATTTTTTGACTTAAAATGATTCTTTAGCCTCATGCCCAGGGGCTATTGCCCTTTCTTTGGCCAAAAATTCAAAATCTGCCGAGATTTTTGACCTAATTAATGCATTACATTGCATGCCATTTCAACCATGTCAGAGAGCTTGACCAATCACCTTAATTTAAAAATGTAAAAGTATTTAAGTTCATGTCAATTGAATGTCTAACTTAAAAATTTTCTAGCTCAGAAAAAAATGAACATTTCATTTTATTGTGGAAAAATTGTTTTTGAATAACAAGCACCTTTCATCATCCCTTCATCCCATTTTTTTCTCAAATTACAGTTGAAAGAATAGTGTGAATTTTGTTTGTTTTGAGAAAAGCTTAACGCCAAGGCTCAAGAATGTTCGTATTTCACCAGCCCTTATTAATGCAATCTATTCAATATTTATGAGCCCAAAAATGAATGCTTTTGTTTTAAAATGACAACCACCTAATAAACAAGTAATAAGCAGAATGCTTTCTCTGGTATGGTCATTTTTATTGTTAAGTGTTCTCCCTTTTCACAGCGTCTTTTTCGTGCTTTTTTTCTGTTTTCAGATTTTTTATTTCTTTGTTGCCACAGTAATTCTAACAATACTTTCTCTCTGATCCTCAGATCTGTGATAGCAACCTTAGAATCCTGAATGTCAATCCAAATCATGGTGGATCCAAACAGGAAGCAACAATTTGGAATTTGTCAAACATTCAAAATTACCTACGCCTGATCGTTGAAAAGGGGGAGGAAGAGTCTTGGCTGATAGGTATTCTACTTTTAAAGTGTTTTTATCTGTAATGTCCGGCAACATATTTTGGATTGAATCCATCAAAGTTTCCAAATAAGGCCAAGGTGTAAGGGATGTCCAATACGAGACAGAATTTTTTACGAAAAGCGAAGGTGACCATTTAGAGTACACATTTTGTCATCTTCTGTACAAAAAATTGTATCTATATTGCGTCGTTTCAGGATTTCTTATTGACATTTTATTTTTTATAGGAGAACCGTCACATGAATTTTCTTGAAATTTCTAGTGATTTTTCTTCATGCTTGTGAGAAGAGATACTAACATTTTCGGACAGTTTTATGAGACAGTTCTTCCTCAACACATAAAATGCTTGCAGAAATCATAATATACTGCTGAAAAGATGCGTTCTTTCAAGTGGGAAACAACGATTTCCCTTACAGGCATTTATTGTCCCGTGCAAGATGCCTCATGAATTGCCAAGGAGGCAGTCTAATCTGTGATTTTGGGCTTCTTAGTTTATGAGCAGCTCAGCGTAGTCCTCTAATTTTGCTACCACCACTCTTGGTGTAGTTGCAAAGACCTTGATTTATCGGATTTCTTGGGACTGACAAATAGAACCTTTGAATCGCAGAATCCGTTAATTCAAATTATTTAAAGCCCCTCAAGGGCTTGGATCCTAAAAGATTGATCTGTCAAATCGTGATTTGATGAGTTGAGACCTTACTGTACTGAAATCTGGCAAAAGAGACATATGGAGCAAGGATGTGCCATTTTTAGCAGACAGTTTTTGCATTAGCATCCATCCCACCAAAGGAGATTATTTGAAATCCATACCAAATAAGTCTAAGTATAGAGTTTTAGAGTGCGACAGAAGATCGTCAGCTTGATTCTTGTTTCTACTTTCAATGCTAAACTGACAGCTGATCCTCTTCCCCTTCTGAGAGTGTTAACTTCTTTGGCGTTGGCCACTAACTTAAGAGGATAGACGTACTGGTTATAGTAGGTACCAGTTAGCTACACTGTGCCTTAGGTGCAAATATTCTCTTTAAAAAAAGTACCTTTTTTGCCACTGACTAACGTCAACTCTGGAGGGTTAACCTAGGCGTTTCCCAGGACTCATTTTCTTTGAAGGAATCTTTCTGAACTTGGTAACTCACTATGTATGTTTATGCCATACTTTTCAGGAGGAGGTAACTACCCTTTACAGCCATGGCTCATGATCCCTATCTTTGGGGTTGACGCAAATACCCCTGAAGGCCGCTACACGACTGCCCATTCCAGATCACATAATGTTGCCAAGAGGCTCAATCAAGCACTCCAGAACGTGTGGCATTGCATGAATTCGAGTAAACCACTTCACTACACTCCAGAAACTGCCAAAAAAATTGTGAGGACTTGTTGCACGCTGCACAACATTGGACTATCAATGCCTGGCTACTTGCAGAATATAGAAGAACCAGTCATAGAAATCCGAGAACAATATGTAGATATTCTTGAGAGTGAGGTGCATGCCTGTGGAGAGGCGAGGCGCAACCAAATCATACAGATGTTCTTCTCTTAGACAGTATGAGTGAACATGTCTTAGGGAAAGCTTGTGTGCCACCTCATGGTAAAATGTGTGGATAGATTCAAGTATTCTACTTATACTCATGATGAAAACGAAGGTCATTTTATATTTTTCTCTCATCTGAAGTGTAACCTATTGAAGTTAAATTAGAAGAAATGGCCTACAACTAATTTCATGATGAAAAACCACCCAAAGTAGATAATTTTCAGAGTTTAGCTTTAAGTGCTCCATGGAAATTTGATGTAAATAATTTTAACCAGCCTCCTTTGGAACTGGACCAAGTTTTTCAGAGTGACATGAATCCGCATTATGGGAAGTATTCAGTCAAAGAGTAGTTACAAATTCGACTGCTCATTTTATGATCCTCAAGTTGAAAATTCTGAGTTAAAAAGTATTTCAGATGGAGAAAATAGAAACAATAATTTATCTTTTAAAGCCAAAGGCAGAATAATACCTCAAACTTATTTTTCTCGCTTTGAATTCAAAATAGGTTTATTCTTTGAGTTCTTCACTAAGTAGGTAATGGAATGCCTGCTAATATGGAATCATCATCTTTTTTTTGTTAAGTCCATAAAATCTTTGAGAAAAAAATGTCAATAATCACAGATTACTCTGCAATAAACTAAAAAGATGAAAGATCCCATGTAACATATTGACTTGAACAAAAAAAGCCTACCTATGTAAGGAGTTTTGAAAATTACATTTGTGAAATAGATCAGGACTTGTAACAATGTAGGCTTTGACTGCAACTTATAGATGGCGACAGTGCCAAACCTTGCAACTCCATTTGTAACATTGAAAATCTCCTGTGACATTTTACTTCAGTTGAGAAGGTCAGATTCTTGTCTTTGTACAGAATTTAATTTGATTTTTCTACGTATTTCCAAAAATATTTTTACTAAATTGTCAAGCAGGATGTTTCAAAAAAAATAAAATAAGAAGAGAAAATTTCAAATACTATGATTGAGATCCATGGATAAGAAGTCTCACCATCAACATGTATTCAGTTTTCTGCATGTTCAAAAGAGGGAAGATGGCTTCCCTAAGTAGTGCACTTAGCAGAACATTGCAAAACGATTGTCGAAATTTGCAATAAAATTTCTGAAATAATTGCAATAAAACTGTGATGAATCCATGTTGGGCCTGTCGCCTAGCTCGCCACCTCTTTCAAGCGAGTAAAAATTTAAGCACCGGGTACAGAAAAGGCACTTCTTGATTACGATGTCTCAGAATCTCTGAGAAGGTTCTATTTGTCATGATCGAAGCAAAAGGGTATAATTCATTAAAACTGTACCGTTTATTCTTTATGATTTTGCAGTGCTCTAAACAAAATATCAAAAAATTTACCCAATAGTTTCCTCAATAAAATATAAATTAGCAGCGGAGATTCTGAAACACTGCAACCAAGAAGTGTCTTTTCTGCACGCAACACGTCAAGTATTACTCAATTTAATTTTGCAACATTTTTTCCCACAATCTTCCTGTATGGATTTGGTCAATAGTTGCAGAAAATGTGTAATAATCAAGCAATTTTTTTGTTTCTAAGTGACCACTTTGGTTGCGACGTGTCACTTGAGTGAGGCACTTTATATTTCACTCTTTCTAGCGATCCATTGTGAATCTGTCATTTCTTACAACAGCTGTTTCAAACAAAAATACTTTCTATTAGTGTTAATACTCTTGCCTAGTCTAGTCGTACGAGAGATTGAAATTTTATCCTCATCTGTTTTTTCATACTTCAACAGTTCGACTACATCTTGCAATAAGGAACAACTACTTCTAGCTAATACATTAAAGCACTTATCTGGTTTGGAAAACAAATGCTGCTCACGCTGTGGCTAGAATTAGCCAGAAATAATAAGAATAGTTCTTTAAGGCAAAAAGTAGTTAATTTGGAAGTGAGGCGTTTTATTTTGCTCTAGGTTTGTTACTTTTATTACAAAAATACTGTTTATTTTATTAATTAACTCTCATTATTTTGGGTCTCGTCAAAGTTACAATATGCTCTTTTTTCCCCTTCAGTGTTGGCTGTTACACCTTGAAATTTCTATTACGGAATAAAAAAAATTTTTGGTTGTCATTTTATCAAGGGAATAGTACTGTTAGTATGTCCTACACAAACGTAACTTGCAGGATCATCTAATTCTCAGAACATGGAGCGAATCTCAAATGTCTCATCTAAGTTCAAAAAATTGAATAGACTATAGGAATCTCGGTCTTTAGTCAGTACGTTCATGGGATGTATGTGGACTAGTCATTAGGGAGTTTAAATGGCTGTAAATATCACAGAGAGTAATGACATTTGAGCTCTCCAAGTTTCAGCCAGAAATTCCTTCTTGCTGATGAAATAAATGTGACCAAATTTGTGATAAAGGATTTTATCTTTCAGGAGTTTCTTTTTGACATCTTGCAAAAATTTAATTTACGTTTTTCTGCAACCAAAATTTTTTTCTCATGGAACTTCAGAACTAATGTCTCCTTAATTTTTGAGAGATTAGTGTCAAGCTTTTGCTATGATTCCCAGATTTTCTTCCTTGTTTGCATAAGCGAAAAGTTTAGGACAATTTTCTCCGGGAAGATAGGGCCTCTTTTCACGAATCCAGTCACAAGTAAGGTTAAAAAGAAGGTATTGAATGATGCATAAGTTCAGTATTGCTACATCTTTACGAAAGATTCATATGCTCTCACTAAGCACTGCCCAGCAGTGAGTAACTAGTGCTAGATCCAAGTTTCCCACTAATTAAAGGATAATTTTGTCTCTCACTTTTTTGAGAATTCGAGTACAAACTTTATATCTAGATCTCTGAGGAAGACTTGGAGAACTTAAAGGTTATCAGACTGGACAGTCCAAATTTTTTCCCATGAATTTCTAAAATTCCCTAAATTCTTTCATCATCCTACCAAAATTTCAGAAAACTTAACTAATTATTGCCGAATTGAAAGTACAAGCATCTGAGTTGAGAGCAGACAATTTTTAATACCTGGATGAACTCAGGAACAACTCAAAAACGTAGATTGCCAAAACATAAAATATTTGTAGAATTAAATGTTGTCCCAAGAGCTAGGGCGGTTCACCAATGGAGCCAGTGTTCCTTTCTTTGAAATATTACTTCAAATTTCAGATTCTATATTCAGCCTTTCTGATCAGGTTAAAAAATAAATGAAACAAGTTATTATTTGGTTAAATTTACTAAATAGAAAACATTAATAAAAAAAGATAAGAAAAAGACAGGAAATGAAGGGAACTGGTAACAAATATAGAAACAAAGCTAAATATAATTTTTAAGTTGGAACAATCAGATTAAGCATTGAAGGAATAACCAACATTAATTGAGGCAAAACATGACCAAACAAATCGGTTTTTATTGGAAACTTTTAAAGTTTTGAATGATTACCGAAGAAAAAAATTAATGATACTAACAAATGACATAGAACTGTGAAAAAAACTTTTAAAAAATGATACCTTCATCTTTAAGGACATTTAATTAGTCTAAAAGTAAGAAATTTAAAATGAAAGTTATAAAATATTAAAATGTAAAGTCAGTTCTTTAAAATTGGATCAGCTCATCAGCTCTTGAGCACAAGTCTCTATGAGAAATGGACTGAATCAATGAAACAAGTTGAAGGCTAATTAAAACTAAGGAAGTTAACCAAGTTTCATCAAGGCTGATATCTGCCGTGTGCAATGTGCTTGAGCCATTCCAACAAACATTGCTAGAAATCGCATATCTTAATCTCATAACAAAAGTTGAACTAATATCTTACATTTATACTCCAAATTGTCTAAATGTGCAAATTATGTAAGTTATTTGACATAAATCATTTAAGTATAATTCCAGAAGCAAATGCTCATAATACCTTTTGCAGTGTTAAATTAGCAGGGTATTAAGCAAAAAAACCATGCAAACAATTACAACCTCAAAGCACAAGCTCTGCTCCTCTTACACTTTTAATGTAACTGTTTGGAAATGGGTTATTAAATTATTAACCCAGCAAATACAGCTGAAAGTACACATCAGTCAATATCTCTCTCTCCAAAAATCATTGGAAAATCTGCTAAGAGCAGCCTTGAAGGCAGGAACATTATTTACGGAACTGTTTTTTCATCTCTTCACCACATGCAATTAAACACTTTAAGTCCTTATCACTTAGATGCGATGCAATTTCGACAAGAAGTTCAGCAGGGAGTGCGGGAGATTTACGGATACAGAACACATTGCTGGTTTTTAAGATCATGCCAAGGTAGATTCCTGCTTGACTCACAAGAGCAGCCCTCATCCTATTTTTCTTCAAACCATTCATTATTAAGTGGTAATAAATTGGAAACTTTTCCTGACTTAGGGCTTCAATGGACTGGACTAACAGTTCATTTTTGACAAATTGGGGGTTGCGCTGATTTGTCATCAAAATATCGTGGAGATTGAGATTCCTGCCGATGAATTCAAGCTTCATCTTTCTTAACTCTTCCTCGCAGTCTGATTTGAATTGAAGTAACCAACCACTGTCAACAGGAAATTTTTGATAGATTTTGTCGCACATATTCAACTTTGCAACTGTTAGTTTGATTACTTGCCTTACAAGAGCTTGACCTATCATTAGGTTACGGTCAACATGACAATCACTCTTCCTTGGAAGCATAGGATTTTCAATCCCAAGACTGGAGGGTGAACACGGAATATCAGCAAGGTCAAAAGCTGTTCGTCCATCTCGATTAGAAATATTTACATCAATGCCATTATTTAGTAGAACGGTGGCAACTTCGTTCCAATTTTTCAGTACAGCATAGTGAAGAGCTGTTCCTCCAAGTGCCACAGCGTTGACATCTGCATTGAATTCCAAGAGGATTTCGACAGCCCTGACATGCCCTTTGAAAGCCGCACAATGTAATGGAGTGTCACCATTGTCCCGTCGTGCATTGACATCTGCTTTCTTTCTTAAGAGAGCTTCTAACACACTGACATGGCCTTTTTCAGCAGCAAAATGCAAAGGCACCGAGTTGTCATTTGTGCATGAATTCACATTGTCTCCGTGATTGAGCAGAGTTTCAACAGCTTCATGACATCCTTTCAACGCAGCAAGATGCAGAACTGCGAGACCTCTGTTTGTTGTAACATTGAAGTCAGCTCCTTTGCCTACTAAAAAATTAAGAATCTGAATCTTTTCAGAGTCATCAATATCCTTGGGGTCACGTTGTTTCCGGAAAAAGTAAAAAAACCTGTCACAGTCCGATACGATCAGCTGAAGAGGTGAGTAGCCTTCCACAATAGCATTGATGTCTGCTCCATTTTCTACGAGTAATTCACAAGTTTTAAGAGATTCTTTGAAGACAGCCTCATGAAGCAATATGGGAGCTTTTTTGAGATTTGCACCTTTATCCAACAGCAGCTGAATAATTATTGGCCAATTGTTTTTGTCACGGCATCTCATTGAATAAAACACAGGTGTGTTCCCTAATCCATCTTCTGCATTAACAACACAACCAAAGTTCAGGAGGAGTTTAATTATTTCAATGTAACCGTTTTCTACTGCAATATGTAGAAGAGTGGAGTCAAATTCTTTATGCCTACAGTCTGCTCCAAAGTTCAAAAGCTGCTTCACTATTTTATAGTGGCCTTTATTAACAGCTGCCCATAGAATTTTGCCATTTTTAGCATCCTCTTTTCTTGGCGTGAAACCACACTCACACAGAGCATTAACTATTTTACGGCTTGTTTTTAGAAAATCGGTGGTAATCATGCGAGTAACAAGTTCGGATATTTTATCATCAAAGGTAGGACTGTATTGTAGAAGAAGACTTACAAGGGATAAATTTTGCATCTCAATTGCCAAGGACAAAGGGCTATCGTTATTTTCATTTTTAGCACCGATATCAGCACCATTATCTAGAAGTAACTTGACAATACCTTCATGCTCCTTTTCCACTGCTAAAAGGACTGCTGTCGAGCCTTTGGATGCTTGTGCATTTACATCAGCGGATTTTGCGATGAGTAACTCCACTATCTTCAAAAACCCCTTAACTGCAGCCAAATGCAGAGGTGTTATACCATTGTTGCCTTTTACATTGACTAAAGCACCATTATTAAGTAGCACACTGACTATTTCCGTGTGACCTTTTTGACATGCAATGTGAAGTGCAGAATAGTTATCAATCGGCCTTCTCCAGTTGATCTGTGCTCCTCGCTTGAGGAGATGGGTCACAATTCTTAGGTGACCTTCTTCACAAGCCAGAAATAATGGAGATAAGCCAAATTCGGTATGACGGTGACTCGATCGAGAGGGAAGAGTCAAATCGGGCTCTAGTACAGTATTTGGGCTGGCTCCTGCATCTAACAAAGCCAGGACAATTTCCTCGTGGCCAAGAGATAAAGCTCTGATCAAAGCAACGGGGAGTGGTTGATCCTTAAAACCAGGTATGTGAGGATTTAGTAAAAGCCTCACAACATCTAGAAATCCTCTTTCACAAGCAATTAACAAAGGAGTAAAGCCATCATTATCTCTCGGGGAACAACTGACTCCTTTTTCCAGTAAGATGCGCACAAGCTTTTCATCTCCAACCTGAGCTGCATGATGAAGAGCTGTTTGTTTTTCTTGACTTGAAATAGGAGTTAAGTTCTTATCACCGAGCAATTCAGCAGATTTCAAGGAAGTTTTTCTAACTACAGAAATAGGGAGCTTAGCATCACCTTCCATGGTATGTTTTTCCTGAAAATCTATTGATCAAGCTTACACCATTGATTAGAGTAGGAATATAAAACATTACAACTGATCAGGAGGACGCCAATGCATTTGAGTCCTACTTCAAGCTTGTAGAGCATTGAAAAATTCTTCTTGTTTGCAGCAATTCACTTGATCCCAGCCAACAGAAACATTTTCGAGTGATGAACCTGTAAGAAATGAAAGGAGTGACTCTTACAGACCATTTAAGAGAAACAGACAGAAAAGTATTCACAATTATAATGAGATGACCTGGTGAGGTATGTTATAGAAAGAAGTGACTCTTTGACCACATTTACTTAGAATTGGTTCTTCATGAAGATTGAAGAGAGCAGGAAGCATTGAAGCATGAAAAATTTCCTGACTTTTCCTACGAATTCCCTGTCTTTTCCAGGTTGTTGTAAATTCCCTGACATACCCGGTTTTCCAGACCGCTGGAGATTTTATTTTATTTATTTTTTTTATTTATTTATTCTTTTGCTTTTTCCTGCATACACAATCTTCATGGGTCTTAGAATTACTTTGCGGTGAATAAATATTTTGATCATCACTAGAAATAAAAAATTGACCTTGGAACAGAGTGGAACCACAGGAAGAGGGGCTACTTTTTCTTTAGGTCTCCATACACAATCAAATTCCGTATCAATTTGATCAAAGTAGACCAGTTGATTACTGATAGTCACCATGCAGTAGTCCTCTTCAATCAGATCAATTTGATCAGAATAGATTTCCACCATTCATCATTTCTTGCCACATGAAACATTTCTGCCAGGTTTTCATTTGAAAAGTAGGCAAAGTAACAATTTTAAGACTGATGACTCCCAACACTTCGATGGTAATTGTTTCGGGAAATGAGGCCTTCCAGAAAGTGCTGAAAGCGAAGAAGTTGAGACTTCATCTTGGTTTAATGGGGGGGGGGGGGGGGGGGGTGGTGTCTACCCCCTCTATAAAAACTCTAGTTCTTCCAGATTACTGATATCAGCATACGTAATTTATGAGAACTTACGAAGCATATTCAGAAGAAGAGGTCTGCTGATAAATCATGGACCCTTAGTTCCTGGAATCTATGGACTGTGACCCAATCCTTTTCATCCTATGTTGTGACAGCCTAACGATATGAGTCTGAAAAAGAACCATGAATTAAGTATGAATTATATAGAACGTTTAATTTAGATTTCCTTGAAGATAAAAGTTGTGATCTGAAAAAACTGCAGATAATTCTCACAAAAATTGTAAACAGCTTGAAATAGGAAAAAAAAACAGCATTACATAAATGTTTAAACAAAGGTCCCTTAACCTAAAAATCAGTGTGTTGTCAGGAGTACACCCAGTGAACTTTGAGTTGACAGGTGAGTAAGTTTTGAGAGTAAATCTTAGGTATTGATAGTTTGAAGAGAAAATTATCTTAGAAGCAAAACATTTAGGAACAAGTATTCTGGACTTAAAGCCATGGGCTTATCAATAAAAACTCCATTTGCAGGGGAAAATCAAAGGTCTGAGGGATGATAGTTGAATCTGTCCGATCAAAGGATAATTAAGTAAAGCACGAGTTACACAGAAAGAGTAGAATTTCTTTTTACTCTCGTAATGCAGATTATTCCATAATTTTCAGTGATACTAAGTGTATGCTGCCTTGGTTCTTCATATCACTATTTCCAAGGAAAGTTAGTCTCATTATTTGTGGCTTTATGCCTTTCCTTGCTGTTTTAACAGTAGAAGTTGATGCTAGAGTTAAAGTATCAGGCTATACAGTTGACGAAGGAACTATTTCACAGAGGGAATGAGGGCTTGAATAAGGACCACAGCCGAATCCTGTGTATTAATTAGGATGTAGTTTGCATCCGCTTGGGTTTCACGATGGCCAATGACCAGTGATTCAACGGAACAGATGATGGATCAACAAAATTTGAACATTCATAGAGATTCCAGTGAAATTAAAATTAATTTCATTCACTTTTTCTGGAATCCATAAAACGTAAAATGTCACTGCACAGTGAGTAAGCATTCTTAAAAGAGGCATTAAACAAGAGCAATCATGAATTGCAAGTACAGTTGAAGGGAAATAGCTCTGAAAAACATTAATTATGACAAATAGAGCGATGAATTTATTGACATACCTATGCATCGGACTAAGTTTCAAGATACATTGACTTCCTTGTCAATTTGCTTGTCTTTTGTCATTATGAAGACCCTGTCAAACATCAGCAGGGCGAACACAGGAGGGCAAATAAGAATAGCTGTAAACTCCACTTAAACGCGAAATTAATACTTAACTTTAGACGGAGGAAGAGTCATTCGCTACGGAGGAAGGGCCAAAAAATTGCTGCCATTCAAGTTCGATTCTACACGACTCTGTGAAAGACAGAAAGCGATAGGTTAATGACCGAGATAAGCTAACGTAACGGTTTCAGGATTAAGGCACGTGATTAGGACAGAAAGTGCGTAGGTAAGGGTACAAGATGCTAAAAAAAGATTGGCACCGTGCATGCGTTACATGTGGCGGAAAAACCGACATAAAACTCTGGTATAAGAATTAGGGGTGAGGAAGTTTAGGTGCCCGAAATGTCGGGGACGTGGAAATTCCGGAAAACTCCCCCGAAATGAGGTTATGCGGTAGCCATATTTGATGTTGTTGTTTACAACAGGTGAAACAAAAAATGATGGCCAATCAGAGAGGAGGAAATACATTTTTCCAAGTTTGCCATCCTAGGTACCATGGCATTAACTAAAATGACTATTAAATTCTATGCATATATCACCAACTTCGAGCCGCATGGTCAGAAATATTTTCATATTCAACATCAAAATGAACTGAATAAACGGAATATTTTTTTCTAATAGGATGTAAATATATAAGTGGGACGTAATGGAATAGAGGTAGGTTTGAAGTGTTGGCAGTAATAATTTTCGGAGAGGACTCTCTGCTCATTGGTCAACAGCACTCAACAGGTAGAGGCGCCAAAATTTGAACTTGCGCTCGCGTTGGTGAGAGCTGACTGGGCACGCGCGGACGCTCGCCTTCACGAGTGAATTAATCGGGCGCGCCGCGCCGCGCCGCCCCATTTGGACCGCACCGTGAAGTTCCGCTTTTTCGACGAAACTGACGAGTCTGAATTTGTCAGTATACATTACAGTATATTGTAAACTATTTTTACTTGACTTGCACTAATTTCATTCTTATTGTCGATTAATTAACCGCGGTTAAACCTTCGAATTTTCGAAGCTATAGTGCAAGTTAGTATAAGTTAGTCAATAAAAGATAGACAATTTTGCAAGATGACATTCATTTTTTAATACGACGCATGTATTTCCTCTACTAAATAGAAATCGTTGCGTAATTTTTAGGGGGGGGGGGGGTAGGGGTGTCAAAAATAAAGCCCCAACTTTAGCGTTACGTAATTTAGAACTGGCCCCATGTTGGTGATAAAAATGTTACATCTGCTGGAATTTAAATCTATAGTTTTCCACGCACTAGTTCCTTCGGTGTTAGACATGAACTCATCTCAACTGATGACCCAACAATATGTCTGTCAACCTGTAATTAGGTAGTATATTCTCATATCGACGGCGTAAGTCCGCGATCACATATTTCGTTTGCAATGTCTGAAAATCTCCGCCTCTATGTTATTTTTTTTAAATGAGAACAGATTGACATCATTCCTTGAAGTTCATGCAGAATTCTCTTCGCACAGAGAAGAAAAAATCACGGCAGTTTTAAAGAATTGCCGTTGCATAGTTTTCCATTTAAAAAATAAAGTATGTCGGGAAGCTGCGACGTCGCAAACAGAGTTATGTGATTGCCAACTTACACCGTCGTTATATATCTTGAAGAAAAATGAGCATTACAAGGGTGTAATTAGCGCATAATGCGAGTGATCGCTGATCGATCCGGAGGACTGCGGTGCATTATCATATGTACATACAACATTCGCAAGTTTTGAGGTTACGTCACTGAGACGTTGCATTTGTGACTAATAAATCGGGCATTTGTCTTAAGATATCTGAATGGGGGGATTTTGAAACACGTTCTCGCAAGGTTTATTAAGCTGACAGTATCGCGGATATAGTCGGATAAGTGCCTCGCGTCCCTCGCGTGTTGTCAACCGTCTCTTCGCGCATGAGATTAAACTGTTGACTCCGGGCATAACTTTTAAGTAATGTTTCGATGAAATTTTTTTATGATTAATCTTCACTGGAACGAGTGAATCTACTTGTGCAGCCTGATTTTCTACATGGTGATGAACGCTTCGTGTTCGTTTGTGAATGATTGGTAAAATCGAGTTTGAGTATTACTTACTTGCTGGCAACTCTCTGAGGATATTCATCAGTCCGATCCTTGAAAGTACGTACGTATGATTTCCTATGCGCGTCTCACCAGATTTCAAAGCAGGGCCGGATTAAGGGGGTGGCCACATGGGCCGCGGCCCATGGCGGCAAATCTAAGGGGCGGCAAAAATTTGCAATTTTTTAAAGTGTACAAAATCGGATTGATAAAAATCAAAATTACAAACGAGAAAAGGCAACAAAATCTCTCATTTCCTGAGAGTATAGTAATTTGTGTAATATAGTATAGTAAAATGTGTTGTCTCTTAATGATACAAGAGACAGCACCTTCAATAAGTCGAGTTAAGAGAGAGACGAAACACGTAATTTGACCTGGAACGGCGCGACTCAGATAAAAATGATAACGAGGACTTGAGATGAATAGGAGAAGCCCTTGGCGCGGCGATCGGCATTCGGCATGGAACGCATATTAACGCCTACAAGACTGCACGAATACTTCATGCATTGCATCAAACACAGTGCGGTCAGCGTGAAACGGATAGCGCCTACAAGACTGCGTGAATACTTCACGCGTCACGTCTAACACAGTGCGTTTATCGGCGTGAAACGCATAGCGCCTACAAGACTGTCGGAATACTTCACGCATTGCGCCAAACACGGTGCGGTCTGCGCGGCGCGGCGGCGGAAGTTAAAATCATTGATCCACATTTATGTTTGTTCTTTCATAATTTTTTCGTTCATTTCTTGTGAATGGAAGGCCTTGTCCACACAGAGATAGGTTTACGAAACTTAACTTTCGCGCAAAGTTCCATGAACTTTTGCTAGTAGTGTTGACAGGGCTTTCCCAAAAAATGTGTTCAACACGAGTAAATGCGTCTTATGCACCCCTCCCCCGCTGACACATTCACTTGATGGTTTTTATGGAAGTTTCAAAACGAATGAGAAGGGGGCAGCAAAACACAGGCGGCCCATGGGCGGCAAGTAGGTGAATCCGGCCATGTTTCAAAGTTACCGAATTTACATTAAAATCGTAAAAAATGGATAGTAATGATAAAACAAGTCAGAAGATGCATCACAGAAGTGTTTATGTTACATGTATGTGTTTATGTTGTGCGCGCCTGTAAAAAGCGTATACAAGAAATGGATTACATTTTGCAATAAGGAACCACTATTTTTGGCTCACCCATGAAAGCACATACCTGCATAGGGAAACTAATGACATGCATGTAGTTTCTAAAATGGGTCAGAAATAGTGGTTCCTAGTTGCATCATGTAATCCAAATATAGCTCTGCAGTTTGCCACCGGTAAAAATCTTTGAACGTTGCATTGAGGATGCAAGAAGTTCGAGGCCTTTCAATTTTCCTAATTGGTCATCTTACTTTGAAAACCCTTTTCCTCAGAAATCTTCACGTGATGAACTTTTTTTAGGAGGAGGGGGTTGTGTCTCACCCATGGTAAATTGAGTTCGCTCATACCCCAAACCATCGACGTCTGAGACCCGCCCGACAACAAGGCACGCGAGAAAAGAGAGAAGAAAGAGATAAGACAGGGAGAAGTTCAATTTATTGAAAGATCTTTATGAAACCGGTGCACATCTCTCGTGCAAAGGGGTGCAAGACTAGCAGACCGCGCTGAGTTTGAGGTTATGCTGGGGGTTGATCGAGAGTACCTGTATACGGGAGAGTATTGCCATCTCTGTGCCGCTCTCTGATTGGTTCATCAGTTTTAGGTTATCATGGAGCTCCAAAGTTGGCCCAATGTAAACAAACCCGACAAAGAGGAACACGTATTATCGGCTGAGCAATGAATGATAATCACACTCAAAGCTTAATTTTCGGCAAAAATATTCATCAAAGTTCGATCCGAACTCAATTCAGAAGCTGGTTATAAAAAATGTCCGTCACACTCAAAATCACGTCTAGAACTTTTTCGCCATCTTGTTTGTTTACATTGGGCCAAACTAGGATGTTTACTTTTTGCAGGCAAAGACCCCCTCGGAATGAGCAGGCAAGATGGCTGCGTGGCGCGACGGGAACTCAGAGCAGTTCGAGCACTCTCTAACCAATACCTACTCTAACCCATCCTATCGTCTGCCGTCTCCCCACCTTATCCATCCACATAATCATGTTTCCAATAATGTAAAATGAATCAGTGAGTTCGGAAACACTCCAATACGGGTTTTTTTCGATTTTCACTTTTTTACGGTTTAGTAACACTTATGGATAAGTAGAAGCACCTGCACGCAAAAGGATATTTCGAAATTGCAATCGGAAGTGCTCGAAACGGCGACGGGAAAAGGGAAGAATCGAAGAATTTCATTGGAAATACCAATTTTTGGCCGATCAAGGGAAACGGGCGACTATCCGATGCGGTTTTATTTTTTCGGTTCAGTATACCTTGTGCCAACAAGTTATATAAATATTCAAGCGTTATTCAGGTCAAAAAATATAAATTTTTCAGGGCAGACTATGAAAAATCAGTATCTGAAACTTGGTGCGTTAAAGTCTCTAGAGTACTTCTTGCGTCCTTTGGTACCAAAAAAGTTTTTCTTAAACTAACTTCTTCGCCCGCTGCGAAGTTTTAGGTGTTTCCTGAAATTTTTTTTTTCCGAGTTGGTGTATTTTCGAACTCACTGATTCAAATGTCATCTTAGGTACCTAATGCTATATTTATGCTCCCATATTTCACCCCTTGATGCCTGACTGGTAAAATTCACCACTTTTTGGATCGTTATGTACTTTTGTAGGTATAAGTTATCAAAAGCAGAAATGTGCAAATATATTTTTTTAGCAAATTTTTCAAGAAATATGCTAAGTGCCTCGTTACCTTTAACAGGATGTTTCCCAGAAGTTGTACCATTGTGCCACAAAAAAAAATTTATAAATTTGTGCGAATGCTGAGTTAAATTTTTAGCTTGATGGTTCATCTTCACATGGAAATATTTTTGGTAGAATTACAAATTCCACAATGAAAGTCTAGCAACACAGCTAACTTAGCAAAAGCCCTCATATTTCTTGAAGTCAGGAGAGGGTAATATTTCTCCCCCCTCCTCCTAACTAGTTCCCCCAACGCTCCTGAAAACATCTCTGCTGAGCGCAAAAATCCTCAAACTCATCCCTCATCATCTGGCATCCCCATGGCTCAGATATAAATGAAGCCCCCCCCCCCTTATTTTCCATCAAAATTCAAAATGTAAGTAGGTACGTTTAGAATTTGATTTCAATGCCTCAGAATGCTGCGGGGCCCCCACACAAGCTTGTGATTTCTCCAGATATGCTAAAGATTTTCCCTCCTTAGGTAATCCTTAAATTATATCAGAAAAATGTCTTGCCAAAGAATTTTGAGAATTGCCCTGGTTAGTACTTGGTTTGAACTCTTTTAGAAATTTAATCCCGATCAAAAAGGTCAATTCCCTGAGCTGAGCAGTTTAATTTTTCTCCGAGAGTGAAATTTGTGCTTGGCGCCATTATGTGATGTGCAAAGAGTAGAGGAGAGGAGAGAGCAACAGAGTATAATCATGGAGTCCGAGCGAGCTTCATGCACGCTCCACCAGCTACTCCCGCTCTGTGATCGCCTGCTCATTCGTAGGGGGTCTTTGCCTGCAAAAACGCTCAATCGCCAAACTAGGAGCGAAGGGGCTGGGGTTTGTTTACATTGGGCCAACTTTGGGGCTCCATGATAGCCGACCAATCCGAGAGCGGCAGACTATTTCTGTAGTAAAAGGATTGAGATGGCAGTACTCTCCCGTTTATAGGTACCCTAGGTTGATCGACGATGTTCAGTGCCTACCAGCTAAAGACTTCCACCGCAGAGGAAAGGACGCCGGAACTGCCCGGAGGCACTACTTCAGCGTTGCGCTTTACGTGCAAATTTCCTCTATTTTCACCGCAATTTTGCCAGACGCCCGCGATGTTCATTTCAATTTTTCGGCAAATTTCACGTTAATATGCGTAGGCCTTCCCGTTTTTGGACCCTTCCCACTTTCACACCCGACCGATCGCGACCCGCCACACAGTGGATCGAGTCGATTAGAGAGGTCGGACATGACATGTTTTATTAAAACTGCAAATTTAAATGTTTATTTCGTCACATTTTAAATTTAAAGGGGTGCTTCTGAAGGAAAATTTCACGAGAAAACCAATAAAGCCAGTTTCAGAACCTCAAAGTTTTGTATAAACGGAGTTATAAGCGTTTAAAGTTTCCAAATTTTGTCCGATCTCTCCTATTGACTCGATCCACTGTGCGCCAGTCGCGCGGCCAAGAAGTTTTTGACACCCCCGCACTGTATCCAGGAATACCTATGCTAGAATGAAGTACGATACAAAGCGAACATTTTTGGGGTGCTTCTTACGAAAGTTCGGTCGGGGTATGAAAACTGCCCAAGTGGCACACTGCAGTGAAAATATTGAAATTGATAATTGCAATTTGATTTCAATAAGATTGTAATTTTTTTTACCATTTAATTGCAATATTTTTACATCATTTGGTCGATTTATGCCGATTTTAAACAATACAAAAAATGAGCTCCATTTGTCTGAAAGATAGGCAATATGCAACGCAATGAAAAGTAGCAACTTATTTCAATTTTATTGCAATAATTTTCAATAAATGGGGCCCCTTCAAATAGGAGCTATGCAATATACACGACACACAGTGGAATTGCAATATTAATATTTTTACAATGCAATGAACCACTAGACAAGGTACGAATTTCAGCGTTCTGATACATGCTTCTTGACCAAAATTTTACATAGAACACGATGCGTACAACGAAAATTATCGAAATCAACTCCTTACGAAGATATTTAATGATTCTTGATGCGTCAATTCAAACCACCCGCTCATGAAAACTCAATGCTCTACGTGATTCACATGGCGCACTAAACGTTTATCATGACAGTCTCTACGATATGAAAATCTGACAATCTCAATCTTGACGCTTTGACTCAGCTATAGCAAATTACTTATAGTTTGAACAATACATGGTGGGAAATGAACATTGCTCGATTGAGAAGATTGCTGAACCGTTAGTGCGCGATTTGACTCACGTAGAGCTTTGAGTTTCTTGAGAGCGGGGAGTTCAAATTCCTTGTAACCAGTGTAAAATTAAAACGTTTATATCTTCGTTAGGAGTTGGTTTCAGTCATTTTCGTTGCACGAATCGTGTTCTGCGTACAGTTTTGGTTAAGAAACATGTATCAGAATCCTATAATTCGTACCTTGTCTAGTGGTCCATTGCTACTTATTGCAATCCGTGCTACTTGGGTGATCGTACTTCAGTGGAAAACGTTCTTTTTCGAGACGCTGAGGAGAGTTGACTGTTCGATTGATAGTTATCTTTGGTTTGGCTTTGCTATTGATTTCAGAACAACTTCGCCTCGTGACTATACATGTGCTTAACCATAAATAACACCAGACTTTTCCTTTTTTTATCCAAAGATAAAATAGAGGAACAATGGCCAATATTTACTCAGCTCTAATCACGGGTGCTAGTCAAGGAATAGGATTGGAGTTCGTTACTCAGTTCTTGACTAATCCCTCAGTCAACGTTCAAATTATCATTGCAACTTGTCGCAACCCTGAAAATGCCACGGTAAGTACACTGACAACTATGTTTGACGAAAGCGACATACTTTTTCTCTTCTTATTGATAAATGTACGTATTTAGGGCAACATTCTTATAATGGATGAATATCTTTTGAGTGTTTGTAGTATGAGAGTTTCAGAGTTACACTTAGAGTACACATCCATTGATGAAGATAGTATTACTATCAATTTTTTCTAGGGGAGGAGTGGGGGAGGTCAAAAGTCATCATCCCCCTGCCGAGTGACCTCAGACCCATTCTCTATTTTCATGACAATCTAAATATTCGTAGTGCAATCTTCCGGCAGAGCATAAATCAGAAGAATTTCGGAGCGAATTCTCTTGTGTCTTCCCACAGTTTTAATAAAGGTCAACTCTAGCAGGCCTCCTTTTTGAAGCGGTAAGTGATGAGAATATTCGAAAAAGTTTGCAATTTTTTAGTAACTCCTCCAACAATGTATCACTCGATGGGGACTGAAAAAAAATCTGCGGTTGTATTTTTTTAGGGGGAGCACTGAAAATTCTTGGTAGTGATATAAAGAAATAGTTAACATTTTTCCAAAAGTAGAATTTCAATGTTTCACAAAATGTACTTTAATTTTACAGGCTTTGCAGGAGGTGAAAAAAACTAGTCCCAAAGTTCATATTCTAAAATTAGGTGAGTCAAATACCTATTCTTCGCCTTTCCCTTCTTATTTTGAAATTCATCGTTAATACAGAAATAACTGATTTATTGATGGACATGAGCACCCAACTATTCCCAAACTTAATGGACCACCAGACAAGGTACGAATTAAAAGATTCTGATACATGTTTCTTAACCAAAATTTTACGCAAAACACGATTTGCGCAACGAAAATTACTGAAACCAACTCCTAACGAAGATATTAACGTTTTTATTTCACATTGGTTACGAGGAATTTGAACTGCCCGCTCACAAGAAACTCAAAGCTCTACGTTAGTCAAATCGCGCACTACAACGGTTTCAGCAAGCTTCTCAATCGAGCAATGTTCATTTCCCACCATGTATTGTTCAAACTATCAGCAATGTGCTATAGCTGAGCCAAAGCGTCAAGATTGAGGTTGCCAGATTTTTATATCGCAGAGACTGTCATGATATAACGTTTAGCGCACGATGTGAATTGCGTAGAGCATTGAGTTTTCATGAGCGGGTGGTTTGAATTCACGCATCAAGAATCATTAAATATCTTCGTAAGGAGTTGATTTCGGTAATTTTCGTTGTGCGCATCGTGTTCTACGTTAAATTTTGGTGAAGAAACATGTATCAGAATGCTGAAATTCGTACCTTGTCTACTGGTCCATTGAAACTGAATTGAACTTTACTAAACATAAAGCTGACGATTTCTCAAATTCCACCGTAAAAATTTTCTGGTTTGCATCACGTATAATACTTACACGCATTATGGAAGAGATTAAAGCAAAGTGAATATCGATGTCAAATAACTCTGTCAATTGGGTTGCACATTAATGGGCTTGTTCTGAACGGAAAGCCTACGTTGACGATTCTGGTACGTTAGTGGTACTGGGCTTCGGTATTGGCCCCCGTGGGTTTTTAGCTGAAACTAGAAGTAAAGAGGAGAAGTTTTTTAGGGGGAACATGAAGGAACTATTCGACGATGAAACTGTAGGAGTGCGTATTTCGTTTACGATGTTTCGACATTTCCTCTTCCATTTAATATAATCGAAGGAAAACAGACCAACATTAGTGTTTGACATTTTCATAAATAACTCTTCTCACAGAAGAATAAAAAATCGGCGAAATCATCAAGAAATGACGCAGATTTTTTTTTTTTATGTAAAAAAAATGAAGTATGACAGGAAGTTTGCAAAGTCGCTACCTGAGATAGTACGCATTCCTGCAGTTTCACCATCGATATGGTGCATATATATTGAGAGCAACAGGTAACAGGAAAAATTTATATTCCCAGTATTAATGACTTAAAATTTTTTTAGGAGTTTTGAACTGAGTGCTTATATAGATGACAAACATCAAGGCAAAAAGGTCGATTTGGGTTGTGCGGTGTAATAAAGAGATGTAATTTATCTCGAGAGGTTTTTAAATAAATATACAATGAATGCTTAACAGTTCGGAATGGCTTACACAAATCGGCTGATTCTTTTATAAATAAACATGTAATTAAAAGAAATATATACTTATTAATAAATAAACGATTGGTAGTCTTACCTTTAGGTACGAGAAATTTATCGCTCTCAAAGTATCTTTACTAGAAGCGTGGGATCAGGGACTTATCGGCTGAAAGTAGAAATAAAAAGAAACATTAATTTTGAGATGACAGGGAACGAAAAGGTTTACACATTTGGGAGTGACAGGAGAAAAAAGGTAAGTTAGTTTTTCGAATTTAATGACTCAAAACATTTGATAATAATTGCTGACAGAAATAAATGAAAGACAAATGAGTTTTACGATTTTTGCTTAAACGATCGATGAAACTGAAGCGCAACTTGCTGGTTTGGAACTCAAAGTTAGTTAATTAACTGTCTTGTCTATTTTTCTAGATGTAACGCAATTTGATACGTACGAGAAAGTAGTCAGTGAGGTTGAAAATATCGTCGGGAAAAAGGGATTAACCTTGCTCATAAATAATGCCGGGTACATGCCAGGAATAGAGGCTCTAGATGGCGTTACACCTGATGCACTCATTACAACGATCACAATCAATAGCGTTGCCCCTGTGATACTGACAAAGGTAAGCACTTGCTGATCATCTTGTGCCCTACTTGTATTGGACCCATCAATTTAATGTGATATTTTCAACGATTTATTACAGAAAACAGTAAGAAATTCAAAACAAGCCGAATACAAAGGAAGGAAAGAATTTCGTTTAGGGTTGAATAATTTACATTTCGATATAGCTAAGTCGAAAAATGCGTACATCTCCATTGCAATGCCTACAGATCTCCAATTCCGTTGTATTCTCTCAAATGAAAACCAACCACAAAGTCCTCTCGAAATTCTTTGTGGGAACGCGATGGAATAGAACAAATTCCCCGGTGAAGGTGATAAGGCACTGATATAGGGACCGCAGGTGCCTCTTTAGATGGAAAGTCACCCATTGGAGCTGAATTTTGAATAAACAAGAAGGCGCCTGCAGAAGGCGTGGCGTCTCGTGTCTCTCTTCGAAAATAGGGCGCTTTTGTGGGCGCCACTTATTAACAAGAGGCAGATTCGGATACGGCTCGTGGCCATAGAGTACTTTTGAAGGATGCCTGCCATTCCTAATATGTTGGAACGCCTTCAATTTCGTATGATACTGTGCAATACCTCTGTTGTGAAATAGTTGCTTCAAGCGCCGCGGTACGCTGCGGCGCGGCGGGCGGGCAACCAGCGCTGAACGCGCATTGGCGCCTGCAAACCTAACTGGGATACTTCACGCATTGCGCAATGCGTGAAGTATCCCTGTTAGGTTTGTAGGCGCCAGTGCGCAGCTTTGTGTTAGGCTCTAATATTTAATCTCGCGGAGTCAGCGTTTTTCAACTCATGACTTTGAAATGTTTGCACACTCTGTATGGACTTTTCTCATTTTAATTGGTGAAAAAAAATATGTAGTAAACGAAAATATAATGTGCGTCTTGTAAATATTAAGGTGATTCCATACAAACTTAAGGATTTACAAAGTCACAAGAATTTCTACTCAATTTCTTATAGCTTTTTACAGCCGATGGCGAAAAAGCAACAGCCAGGCGATAAAGTGTAAAGCCCAGCGATAGGAACTATAGCCCGGCTGTATAATTTTTTATCGTTTCGTGTAGCCCGGTTGTATGATTTTTTCCACTTTCTACAGTCAGCTATATGCTTTTCTATCGCCCTCTTCAGTCGGCTATAAGAACTCCTATGGTATTTTGAAACGCAGCTCCTATCGCCAATTTTTACCAGGGTAGCGTGGCCACGGAGGCCAAATACTTGCATCTTTTAAGGACCAAGTGCTTTTATCAAGAGTGTAGCAACACGAAGATTAGTGAGTAATGTAGATTACTTTGCAGGAGCACTCTATATCTTACTGTACGAGTAGAAAATTTGGGTGGGATACCAAGATGTCTTACATTGTTGGCTCTAATTTTTATTTCTCTTTCGTTTTTAGGCATTTCGTCCATTATTGAAGCGATCGGCTCAAGTTAACGCAACCAAAGGGGATGGTAAGAAACTTACACCAAAATATCTAAATTGTCTACCGAAGTCCAGAGATCTCACAAATTTTGATTTTATCCCTCTTCCTTGGTCATTTTAAACAGCGTGATCAATTTTTCAATTTCCGCTGCACTGTATGAAGAAGAATGCACTTGTTGACGATACAAACATTTACACGCACGAGGGAAACTAAACGCTAATCAAAGCATCGGAAAGAGATTAGATTACTGGCAGAGACGTCACCATTACTAGCCACCACTGCTGCTGCCGGGGTACCCCCCCCCCTCCCCCCGGAGTAGAACAGGGAGAAAAGCCTTAATGATATTCGTCAATCCCTCCATCTGCTCCGTTTGCTTTAAAACTAGGTCTTCTAAGCCCTTGGTACGCTTATCAGACTGAAGACTTTGATCATTAGGAAGTGATTGAGCTGGGGCTAGAACACTGGCATATGGCTTTCCCCGAGTTTTCAAATTTTCCGGAGGCACTATTTGAATAGTAGCGGGATTTTCAATGGAATTGGGCTCACTCATCCGCCTATTTCTATTTTGTTTATAATTGCATCATTTTTAATTTCCAACGTGCCTCTCGTCGCAGGGAACACACGATGGAAAAACAGGCATCCAATTTTCTCGACACTCTGTAGGGCGCGGACAATCAGACAGTTAATAAAAATACCCGTGCAAGAGACATCCAGGATCACGATAGATACCCTTCTACTTATTAATAATAATTTACTCTGTTTCTAAAAGTCACAGTTTAAATAACTTAGTTATTATTAAATATCTATCCGTCGTAATCATACCCTGTTAAATTTACGGATTAATTACATAAAAAGTTTTATCAGAAATGATTTAGACGTATGAAAAAACAGAATTAACCTCCAGGGATCGCACAATCTCGTGATTACTAGAAAACTCAGACACTTCAATCAGTAATAAATAATTTAAATTTATAAAAAAAAAAAAAATAAATTAAAATTAGGAATAGAGATCTTTTTACTGATATTAACCGTAATGGGTTTACGCGGGGTTACATTGTATCTTTTGCAACTCATCTCGCTGAAAGTATCGAAATATTTTTTTGCGGGGAGAATCGACTAAAAGTTACTGGACGTTGTGCATCGTTGGTCATTAAGAACACGAGAATTGCAATGAGAGTCACTCATCCTCATCAAGCTAAACCAACATGCGTGACACTCCCGAGCCGCTCAAATTGCATCCATCGATTTGAAGGCGAACTTGATTCCTACCTCCCGATTTCAGTTATTCAGACGTCAGCCCCAGAGTGGTGCTAAATACTAACTTTTGTAACTTATCTCAATGTAAATATTAAAATGTTTTTCTGCGGGAAGAATATATTAAAAAGCAGTGGCTTTTGGACTGGTGAAACGTTTCGCATCGACGGTCATTGAAACACGAAGATCACAACGAAAGTCACTTGAACGTCCTTCTGATACGCATTTAAATTGAATATATTTATCAGTAGGCTCACGACATCGTTCATCGCGGTTCTATCGTAGCGTTTTCCTCTCCCAGGAGCTCCAGGGTTCTCCGTCCAAAATTCTACTCCATGTTCGTCTGATGATGAACCACGCCTCTTCGAACCCAATGAAGCCTAAATAATATACAGGGTGTCCCAGACCACTCCTACCAGGTTTTTTTCTCGGTTCGTGTTCGTCACCCGAAGTCGGAGACCGTGGAGTTGAACAGGGAATCGACCTCCTAAAAATCCAAAATCGGACCACTTGACGCCCAAAAACGATCCCTTGAAGAGGGGGACAGCGGCCCCCTCCATAATTTCTCATTGGTCAAAAATTGACATGAATTCTCTGGAAAAAGGTGGAATCCCAGGTAATCGACCCCGAGGAATATGATTTACATGGTCCCGAAGCCCTCCTAGCCTCCCTTTGGGGATAAACGGGGGAGGTACAATTTCCCCCGACTTTCGGAATTGTCCCTCCCCCGTTCACCCCCAGAGAGAGGCTAGGGGAGCTTCGGGACCATGAAAATCGGATTCTCTAAGGTCGATTACCTGGCGGGAAACCATCTTCTTTCAGAGAATTTATGTCAATTGTTGACCAATGGCAAATTATGGAGGTGGCCGCTCCCCTCTTTAAGAGATCATTTTTGGGCGTAAATTGATCCGATTTTGGATTTCTAGGGGTCAATTTTACGTGAAATTGTCCGCACTGAACAATATTAATGTAATCGAATCGCAATTCTATCGAGAACCCCTACTTTGGGGATCGCAACCCCCCTTTTACCCCTCAAGGGAAGCTGGGGGAGGGAAAGGGGGGTTCGGAACCATGAAATTCGAATTTCTTGGGGTCGAATTCTCGCTCAACTCCGCGGTCCCCGACTTCGTGTGACCTACACCAACCGAGAGAAAAGCCTGGCACGGATGGTCTGGGACACCCTGTATAAGAATAACAAAGAGAGCAAATTTTTCTGACGAATGTTCATAATTTCTCTTCCTTCTAACTCATTCATTTAATTGTTAACGTTGCAGGACTTTCCATGCAGAGGGCGGCAGTATTCAACATAAGCTCGTTTCTCGGATCGATTGCTTTGAATGATAAAGCCATGCGCTGGTGTTACCGAGAAAGTAAGGTAAGTAAGAACCTAATCACAAAGACGCAGGAAAAAGTTAACTTTTCAACCACTCATGCAAGCAATCAATTCTACACTGAAAAAAAAACACATTGGATCTGGAGTCCAGAATCTCGAAAACACATTGACAAGAAAAAATACTCTTGATTCAATCGGATTTTTGCTTGAATCAAAACGAAATCCGCTTAAATTAAGAGGCTTGGTTCTTAATTTAAGCTATGGATTCTGATTGAATCAAGAGTACTTTATCTTTTCGATGTTTTTAAGAGTCTGGACTCTAGATCCAATGTGTTTTTTTTTTTTTTTTTTCCAGTGTACGACGCGAAAATATAAAAATTGAAGAATGAAGCAATGAAGCTCTTTTAGCCCCGAGTAACTCACAATTCCAATACTTGAGTCTTGATATATTTCTTTCAATGGTCGTCTGGATTAGTTGAAAAACTAGAGTATGAAAGGCCTGATCTTGATTTGTTTCATTTTCTTCCAGGCTGCTTTGAATATGAGCACGCAATCCTTGGCGATTGAGCTGGAGAAGGACGGGATTCTAGTGGAGTCCTTCCATCCAGGACACGTTCGAACTAAAATGGGAGGTGCTCACGGGGCCATCGACGCCACAACCAGCGTGAACGGACTCATCGCGACTTTCCTCAAACTAAAGGAGAAGAACAAGAAAGGTTTCTACACGTGGGAAGGCAACGTAATGCCTTTTTAAAAAAAGACGCAATAACAATTTTGCTCTTTCCTAGCGAAAATTACACCTGCTCAGTCTTGAGTTAATTTGTTACATGCAGTTTTTTGTAATGAAGCATGCATTTAAATTTTGATACTTTTTCGAGAGAATTGTCTTTATTCTTCGCATTTATTTTTTGAGATAGTAACAATGTTAAGGTAAATCACTACGAATGTACCCAGAGCATTTGCGTTCGTCACTTGACGTCCTCAGCCGCTCTCCGCCCAATCTATCCCAAGACTGAGCTCCGGTTGCCTTCAGTGGCGTGGCGTGAATTGCGGTATATCGATTGTTAGGCCATTTAAACCTATGGAAAAAAAATCGATTATCAGGGTGTTCGCAGCGAACACCTTAGTAATCGATTCTTTGCCATTGCTTCAAATGGTGCGATATCGATAATCGATTATTCACGCCACGCTACTGGTTGCCTTCATATACTTAAGACATCAAATTCGCCTCAATCAAATGGACGTATTTCTATCAAACGGAACTATGTGCATTATGACGTGAGCCCTGTTATGCATGTATTCTTATGGGTCTCAGGGCTCATGTCTTCATGCACATAGTTCCGTTTGACAGAAATGCGTCCAAGTGTGAGAGACCGTTCGTAAAGTGCGTAACGCTCCAGGGAGAGGGGGGGGGGGTTCGAGGAGAGTGTTACCCCAATGTTGAAGGATAGGGACATACTTTACAAAAGCGTTAGTGCGTTACAAGGGGGATGGGGGTCAAAACTGCCGAAAAAGTGACTTACGTAATTCATGAACGGAATTTCTTGAGCTGACTATGAGCTTTCCTGGGTGGATAGACATTCCTTCAATTTGATAACCTGGTATTGTAATATAAAGAGACTTCGCGATATAATCGGCGGATTCTGATATGGCTGGCAGGAATATCCCTCCAAATTTAGAAAATGCAATTTTGAATACTGAGTATCGATAGCCGAGGTGCAAAACTATGTATCCCCCTAAGGGAGTTGCAGAATCCGCCGCGGCGGATGCGATGAAGATTCGCTGGCGAGAGTAAAGAGCGACGCCAAAAACGGCCGTTTTTTTGGCACAATTTGGGTCAGCGCGGATTTTTCTGAAATCGGGCCCAAACGATACCTTACGATACCCTAAAACTCTATGGTTAAAATTTTAGCTTGAGTATACGCACGGTTTTTGAGAAATGAGTGGGCAAAGTTGCCAAATCGCGTTGGACAGCATTTCTACAGCGAAAAGACGGGAAAAATGGACGAAATAGACCTTCGATGGGTTTCGGCTGCAAATGTTCTTATTGGGCCGCAAAGCATTTAACTGTGTTCAGTTTCAAAAATTTTGTCGAATAGTGGTCCAAAATGGGGATTTGGCAATTTTGCCCCCTCATATCTCAAAAACCGTGCGTATACTCAAGCTAAAATTTTAACCAGAGTTTTAGGGTATCATAAGGTATCGTTTGGGCCCGGTTTCAGAAAAATCCCCGCCGACCCAAATTGTGCCATTCTTGGCGTCGCTCTTTCCGATACGTAAAGTAGGTGCCATAGGTGGCTCCTCATCTTTGCTATCCTTGTTTTTCACAGAAGCAGCAAAGCATCATAACTCAAAACTCATAAAACAGGTTGCGCCTACATGTCTGCTTGCGTGACAACTGCCAAGGCGCCTTCGATTTCTACTCATGCAATACGGATCTCCTTCAGTCACGAATAGTTGCTCTTTGATGTTGGCGTCATTATCGCTATTTTGTTTCTGTTATTGACGTTTTGGAGCCAAGAGAACGATTTGCTTGGTTGTTCAACATTTTTTGTTGTTGGAATGGCTTTCTTGTATTAGTGCCTGATGCCGCGATCACACGCTGAATTTGGCAGTTAACAGTAAGCGCTCAACAGCTGAAATTTCACTAATTCAAGTTATTGTCATCCAAATGTGTATCAAATCTATTCGAAGAGTTCAGACAAATCCGACATTATCCGATGGTCGCTGAGAATCGTTGCTGAATTTTGCGCGTCACGCGCAAAATTCAGGCATCGGGCCGATAACTTCCACATTCAAGCCACATTCAGCGTATGATTGCGGCATGAGGAAATGAAAGCATCTTCTATTAAATATGTTTCTGCTTCTTTATTTTCCAACGAGCAAAGTAACTTTGCTCGTTGGAAAATGCAAGTACCTAAGTAAGTGGTTGGAAATGCAAGTAGCATTTTTCAATGTTAAAGTTGCAAAATGTTGAAACAATGATGATATTAGTTGCGACTCGTTGCAACTTTCGGTCAACTTTTGGTCGATAAGTGCCGAATTTCGGCGATCTGATCGGAAGACAAAGTTGCAACCTGCTGACATTGCAAAATTGCTGCACCAAAGTTGTTTAAAATCTTAAGATAGGCAACCAGCAATACTTTGAAGTTGAAACATGTTTCAACTTAATTGCATCTAGTTCCAACAATGATAGCTCCTTCAGGGGAGAGAGTAGGCAATCTGCACATCAATGTATTAGTTGCAAGAATCAAACGATTTTGTTGCAAGTTGTTGCAACCTCTGCTACTTGAGTAGTGAGACGGGGCGAAGCCTCGAGATCTTTTCTAAAATGACCTCAAGAAAAGTACCTATTTTTATGTCCTTTTGTAGTAACATTTTGTCTGGTGAAGGAGGATACTTATATTAAATACGATGGATTGGAGGTTGAACCATTAAATCCCAATTCTATTCTCAGCACAACTCCTAAATTCTTATCGTCGCGTCGTACCGTAATACAAAGAAGAATTTATGGCTTTAAAAACCAATACTTAGTACTTAGTTCATATGGAACACCACTAATAGTCATAAATGAACTAATGGTTCTCTGTCTGTGAATCATACTAAGGTATCTCGTACCATACTAAGGTATATATACCACTAGGGAATATGTGCTATTATTATATGTTCCCTTTACTACTATTAGTGGTGTTCCGTAGGGATCAGTCTTGAGTATTTAATTGCGCGTTGGGTGTTTTCTTTTTTTTAAACGAAATTTTAAGAAAGCGAGACGAAAATTACAGGTATTGGTCTCGAGGACGAATAGATATGTCATATCTTTGGTTTAACCTTCAACGGAATTGACGGGAAACTACCTAAACAATGGAGTTGTGTAAGTTTTTCATTGCCGTGTTTGTGTGTGGTCAGTTAAAGTGCATTAAATCAACATGAAGACACTAGGCTCACGAGCGGATGACGCATAGAGTATCACTATTTGTATAAACAGATCTTGTTGTGGGCCTACTCATTGAAATGATCTCGTCAGCATGGATATCAGAGAACAAGGGGTATTTACGACAGATTTTGGTTTGCTGTTCTGGTAAGTACAAGAGATTGCTATGCGATACGGTTAAAATCTTCTTCCATACATTCTAGTAAAAAAAATGTGGAGTTGTATTCGTTCAGAAACGAGAGCGTACTTTTATCTATGTTCCGTAGAGACGTTACGAAGTAATATTATAACGCTCTTCCTCCATTTCTTCTTTGAATTTGGTTGCTGGCTCAATTTCAGACCATTTTGAAATAAAAAAGAGAAGTTGACTTTAAAACGCTACGAGTCTTATGTTAGGTAGTTGTTACTTGTTTTTTCTGGGGCGCATATTTCCTTGATGACCAAGTCGTGGATACAAACCCTTCATTACTAGGAGCGTCGATCGTAAATATGAAATAACTGTCTCGGCAGCTTCAGCAGTTACACAGAAATAATGGAGGCAAAATGCTATGGCATTTTTTTTACTTGTAATGCTGAGTAATTATCTTCAAGTTTGAAACATCGTATTGAATAGCGCAGACGAAAAGCTTAGTAATTGTGCAGAGAAGCCATAGGTACCGAATTTTTTTGATCTGTGCGCCGTATTCTCGAAGATCAACTGGGATGGGTTCTCTTCGAGACAAGAATCATAGGAACACCCTGGTAAAAATTGGCAGTAGAATCTGTGTTCCAAAATACCATAGACCTACAGCCGGCTGTAAGATTCCCAATAGCTTCTGTAGCCGGCAAATGAATTTCTTATAGCCTTTTATAGCCGATGGCGATTAAGCAACAGCCTGGCGATAAAGTGTATGCTAAACGTTACTAATTACGGATGCTAGGACTTAGTGAGTTTTTGGACTACCGCTCTCTTTTTGGGCCGCAGTATCTTGATTTAATTTGCGAGGAAAGCTCCGTTCTTTTGAAGGATGCCTGACATTCCTAATATGTCGGAGCGCCTTCAATTTCGTATGATACTGTGCAATACCTCTGGTGTGAAATAGTTGCTTCAAGCGCCGCGGTACGCTGCGGCGCGGCGGACGGGCAGCCAGCGCTGAACGCGCATTGGCGCCTACAAACCTAACTGGGATACTTCACGCATTGCGTAATGCGTGAAGTATCCCTGTTAGGTTTGTAGGCGCCAGTGCGCAGCTTTGTGTTAGGCTCTAATATTTAATCTCGCGGAGTCAGCGTTTTTCAACTCATGACTTTGAAATGTTTGCACACTCTGTATGGACTTTTCTCATTTTAATTGGTGAAAAAAAATATGTAGTAAACGAAAATATAATGTGCGTCTTGTAAATATTAAGGTGATTCCATACAAACTTAAGGATTTACAAAGTCACAAGAATTTCTACTCAATTTCTTATAGCTTTTTACAGCCGATAGCGAAAAAGCGACAGCCAGGCGATAAAGTGTAAAACCCGGCGATAGGAACAATAGCTGGGCTGCATAATTTTTTATCGCTTCGTGTAGCCCGGCCGTATGATTTTTTCCACTTTCTACAGCCAGCTTTATGATTTCCTATCGCCCTCTTCAGTCGGCTATAAGAACTCCTAAGGTATTTTGAAACGCAGCTCCTATCGCCAGTTTTTACCAGGGCAATCTTAGGATGGCTAGTGACTTGCAACATCCAGGAGTAGTCTGGCCAGGGGTGGTAGAGTGCTTAAGCACCCCAGAAATTCTAACGGGTGGCTTAAAGGGAGCCCCGGCAGGACTCCTGCAGGGGCCCCCATAACTTGAACCACCTATACAGAAATTGGGCCTTCAGATAATATAGGGGGCCCCAGAAACGTATATCACTGCCGTGATAGCGAAGAGAGCAGTAAGGGTCGAATTTTCGAAATCGAGTTTCCTTCAAAATTCGTCTAATTTCTTTTAGCTGAAATCACTGAAATAGCTAAAACAGAAAAATTCATCTTATTTTCATGGCAACAAGACCTATGAGAAAGCCGTAAGTGCGCAAAAAATGGCGCAGTTTCATGCAAGACAGCAGTAAGTGACGATATTCCTCCAGAGAGCTAATGAAAAAGTGCTTTCAAGTAAAGAACCGCCCTCCTCTGCCAATTTCTATCCTGAAAATGTGTTTGTTGTGCGTCCAAAACGCAACCACGAAAGCATGCGGTAGATATCAGTTACGGCTGTCTTGCCCAAACAAAAACCTAGCACAAACATGGAAAACGCCCTTTTCATGTAATTAAAATAAAACTGGTCGATCTTCAATCATCAAACGATTTCTAGGAGTCTTTCGAATGATCAGTGGCAATGGACCACTATAGACAAGGTACGAATTAAAAGATTCTGATACATGTTTCTTAACCAAAATGTTACGCAAAACACGATTTGCGCAACGAAAATGACTGAAACCAAATCCTCACGAAGATATTAACGTTTTTATTTCACATTGGTTACAAGGAATTTGAAGTGTCCGCTCACGAGAAACTCAAAGCTCTACGTGAGTCAAATCGCGCACTACAACGGTTTCAGCAATCTTCTCAATCGAGCAATGTTCATTTCCCACCATGTGTTGTTCAAACTATTAGCAATTCGCTATAGCTGAGCCAAAGCGTCAAGATTGAGGTTGCCAGATTTTTATATCGCAGAGACTGTCATGATAAACTTCTAGCGCGCGATGTAAATCACGTAGAGCATTGAGTTTTCAAGAGTGGGTGGTTTGAATTCACGCATAAAGAATTATTGAATATCTTCGTAAGGAGTTAATTTCGGTAATTTTCGTTGTGCGCATCGTGTTCTACGTTAAATTTTGGCTAGGAAGCATGTATCAGAATGCTGAAATGTGAACCTTGTCTGGTGGTCCATTTGACAAAGAACGGAGGCTTTTTTTATTATAGAATTTTCCGGTCAGAAGCCTCTGAGCCTCTTTCCTCAAAACTTCATTTTTGCACGTACTACTCTTTTCGCTATCACGCAGCAGATCAGCACCCCAAGAATGTTCGAGCCAGACGGACACTGGCAACATCCGTTGGCAACGGATATTTAGCACATGAAATGATGATGTTTGAAAAATGATGATGAAAAGAAGGATCTACAACGCGATTGTCAAGAGCATAGTAACCTACGGGTGTGAAGTATGGCCGATGAAACAGCGGACCCGGGAGGTTTTAGAGGCAACAGAGATGGACTTCTGGCGTAGATCCGCTGGTATTTCCAGAAAGGATCGCGTCAGGAATGAGACGGTACGGGATATCATGGATGCCAAGCAGACCATCGTGCATGACATTATGACAAAACAACTCATTTGGTATGGTCATGTCCAGAGAATGGCAGGAGGCAGGTTGCCGAAGAAGGTCCTTGACTGGGTTCCTCCTGGGAGAAGACGCAGAAGGCGCCCAATGAAAGGTTGGAGGGAAGGGATTGAAGCGGAAATGTTAAGGTGCTCAATCCCCCAAGGTTTGTGGTTTGAAAGAGAGCAGTGGAGGTTAGGAGTCGTAGAGCGCGAGGGAGTGCTGTAAAGCGACTTATGTATGTATGTATGACTTAGGTATGTATGTATGTATCATGCTTGAGCCAAGCACCTTTTTTTTTCAGTGAACGGTTATTACTTAGCATGCAAATAAGTGTTTTTTCAGATGAGCCAGAATTTATAGCTCCAAATTGCGAAATGCAGTCCATTTAGCACATGAAATGATGTTTTCAGTGAGCATCTTACCGTTCGGTTTCGGGCAGTTCGCAACGTGGCCGTCGTTGGCGATCGAGCAGCTCTTGGAGGGCGACGCCGGGTTCAGCGTGGACCAGAGCGAGATCTCGATCATCGCCTCCACGTGGTCTCTAGGCCTGTGTCTTCTGCCGATTCTCTTCGGGTTCATGCTGGTCCGGCAGGGACGGAGGAGGAACCTGCTCATCACCGCGGTGGTCTACATCGTTGCGTGGGCGCTCATCCTGTTCGCCCGGTCTCCTCTCTGGTTGATGGCCGGCAACTTCATCGGCGGACTCGGCTCCAGTATTCAGCTCATCATCGGACCCATCTTCATCGCTGAGATCGCCGACAAATACATCAGAGGTTCCTCTCCTCCTTTTTCATTTCTTGCATCATGCGAGGACCAAGAGAGACTCGCGCTGGGACTCTGTTCTGTGGGCTGCAGTGTTCGAAACTCACAAGCGCCAACGCGCCAAATGCGCCTAAAAGATCGGCCACGGCGCCGAAAAAATGGAGACTCTGCGCCAACGTGGCCCCTAAAAATCTGGATTTTCATTAGAAGTCACATAAAGAAAGAAAAACAAATCTATTTGAATTAAAAAAAAAAAAACTCAGAATTTTCAGCACTACAAGTGAAAGCTTTTTCTATTCTTCAAGATTTCATTCTTAGTGCTTTTGTCTTCCCCAAATTACAGCTACTTACTAGTTCTGTTACGAAAACGTCTTGCGTTTAACCTTTCACTAAATTCGCCGTAATATATAGGCAAAAAGTCAATTTGGCCCTTAAAAAATCTTCAATGGCGCCTAAAAATCGGGCTTGATGCGCCACATGGCTCCTAAAACTCAAAGGTGAGTTTCGCACACTGGGGGCTGATTATTGAAATTGATAGACAAAGAAAATATAGGGAGTATGGAGCGATCCTATATTTGTTGATGTGTGTGGCTCCAACAGACATAGAGTAAGGGAGAAAATAATGGACTAACTATTGAGTCTCTGGTCGGTTGCCGTTATTTGGTCTATTACCTACCTCCTTGTCCATTGCAACCACCCGCTTCCACTATTATGATTCCTTCATATTCCATCTGTCTTCTTTTTCTAGCAATTTCAATAATCGGTCCGCTGAAGGGAAACAGAACCGAGTCTTGTATCGTACTTACAATGATAAAATCAGTGAGAATGAAAACAACTCGGAAAAATGAAAATGCTCAGTAAACTGCTCAGTAGGTGCAGGATTTAGCATAAGAAAAAATTTTTTGGTGTCGTTGATTCGAATACTTCTAATTGCGATTGCGACATTAATTTTTGCGGGTACGTGTATGTGCGTTTACCCATACGCAACACTAAACCGCACAAGCGTGAAAATGTTTTAAAAAAACCTGAGTCGGTGTGTCTTCATTTCATTCTCGCGGATTCAATAAACCGCCTCTCAAAAAGTTGCACCTTTTTTGAAAAATTCGCATTAATTTAACCTATAGACTTCTGAGTAGCGTACCTAAATACTTTTTTCCGTGCGTTTTTGCCATTCTACATATCGACGGTGAAACTACCAAACCACGTATCTCGGTTTGCGACGTCGCAGACTTCCTGTCATACTTTATTTTTTAAATGAAAAACTACTTAACATCCAGTCTTGAAAATTTCTGTGATTTTTCCTCTTTGTGCAGAGAAAATGCCGTGAAAATTTCAAGGAATGATATTGATTTGGTCTACTTCAAAAAAATAAAATGTGAGCGTAGATTTTTAAACACCGCAAACGAGATACGTGGTTTGGTAGTTTCACCGTCGATATGAAGAACAAACCGTCAGAACAGGCTTGATTTATTTGATAGACCGCATGCGATCTGACCGTATTATTTCTGCAAAGACCACTAAACGTTGAGCTTCCTCAGCGTTTTACAAAAGAAAAACACCTCTCTAAATGTATCTTGTTTGTTCTTTTTATCAGGTGCTTTGATAAGTTTCTACATAGCAGCTATCCCTCTCGGCCAGGCATTTATGTGCAGTGTGGGGATATACGTAACTTACTTTCAACTGAATTTGATAGCACTGGTTATTTCAACGGTCGCTTTTTTCTGTATCCTGGCGACAGCTGTGGAGTCTCCCAGCTGGAAACTAATGAAACAAAAAGAGAGCGAAGCGGAATCATGTTTCAATTACTACTGGAATACTCGCAATGCCGACCGCACGGAGGTTTGTTCTATAATCCCTTTAAGATTCGTATAATGCGACGCGCTCAATTTGAATGATCCAACGTTTCAAAATTACATTCTTCCTTCTGTCGAAAGCGAAATGTGTAATCATGTACCCCTGGAACTAGTGGTCCATGAAATCCTGAGATTCGTGGAAATCAGGGGGCGGCACTGTCCTTTGTAGTAAATCAAGTGATACGGCAACAATATCTCTACATAAGTTTATGAGAGTGCTACTAATTACGAATCCCATGCATCTCTGAAAGAGTGAGATTGAACATGCAACACGCACATCCAAGGGACACGAATAGTTGCGTCAAGATCCCCTTGTGGCGGCCAATCACCGCTCACCTCTGGCGACGCAGCCCATGCTCGCTCCTGATTGGCCGACTCAGTCTCAACTACGGCTATATACGTCGTGACCACACCGACTCTGGTCACTCCGCTCCCGTCAACCACACGGATCATATCTCACGCTCAGCGGACATCTCGCAGCCGGCCGGCTTGCCCCATTCCAACGGCCCTGTTTAGGGCCACCACATTAGAGCACCACATCTGATCCTTGGCCATACCCTCTTAAGCAGCGGGGTAGCGCAGAAGATGAGCGTACACTTCCACAAGGAAATCAGCAAGAAAGCCAGAAACCGAGAAGAAAAGAAGCAACAAAATCAGAAAGAAAGAAAGTCGAAAGCGAAGTGTGTAATCATGTACTCCTGGAACTAGTAGTCCATGAAATCCTGAGATTCGTTGACCAATCAGGGGGCGGCACTGTCCTTGGTAGTAAATCAAGTGATGCGGCAACTATATCTCTACATAAGTTTATGAGAGTGCTACTAATTACGAATCCCATGCGTCTCTGAAATAGTGAAAAAAACCGAAAGTGCCTTCAATTTTGAACATGCAACACGCACATCCAAGGGACACGAATAGTTGCGTCAAGCCGCTACTATCAACTCACAGCGCAGAGAGCTCCTTCAATTTTTGAATAGCCAACACGCACATTCAACTGAAATTCACCATTTCATATTGCAAATATAGGCAAAATTTAAAAAAAAAACCGTAAGTTTATACAGGAACATTTAAGAAAAGTAGAAAAATAAATTGTAAAATTTATTTTTGTGACCTAAATTGTGTTCATACTTTAAAGTTTAGTTCAAAATCTCGCGAATAGTTCGTCAGAAGTCAGTGGGTTAGGGACAATTGTCAATTTGCGTATGGATTGCATTTAAAATTAACGACCCGGCGGCCGTTGGCGTAATTTTCAGACTTCTGACCGGTTAATCCGCGGACTGGCTGCACAGTTCGCGGAATGGGCAACAACATCGGCCAGTTCGCGGACTGGGCAATATCGCCAACCGGGTATGACAACCACTTAAGATGGTCCTCGCACAAACTCTTCGTGAAGAAAGCATTCCCCCTCACTATGGTATCGCTTCTTTTTCGCCGCATTTTGCATAACCTCCGTTTCTCTTCTATAAAAGCACCTTCCTGCATAGGGAAACCAATTGCATAAATTTTGATTATAAAATGAGCCAGAAATGGTTCCTTATAGAGTACCTACATTGAGAGATAATGGCCACTGGCCCCAGTGGCCCCCATGGAGAAGCTCAGGACCCAAAAATGGCGGTGCTTCGATTCGGTTTTTGTGGATGGGAGGGGGGGGGTGTCATTGCCAACTTTTGACGGTTATCACCAACCGCACTTACTGCCAACCTTACTACATGTAAGATAATTTTTCTCAAAAATTGCACACGATTAGCCTTGAAAATATGTAAAGGAGTCGCAATAGTGCATTTGGGTAAATTTCGCGTTACGATAAGCAAAGACAATTATATTTTGAATCATTTTGCATTACATTAATTTACGGCGTCCGCCATTTTTGGGTCCTGAGGGCTCCATTCAGCCTAAGATGGCTGAGCCAATCAGAGGTGGTAACACCAGTGGCCATACTCTCTCAATCTAGGTACTCCAGTTTCTTATTGCAAAATGCAATCAAATTATTAAAAATATTAAATTAATCAATTTAAAAATTAAGAACAAAGCACAAAAACGTAGCCCGAATATACGAATAAAGAGGAGATTTAATTAAAATATGGGTAAATAAGGCTAAAAGACTTATGTCTGCCTCGCATGTTCGGTACTGAATGCCAGTGGTTACGTGATAACGGCTGGGGTCAGGTCGCCACTCAATTTTTTACTTGTTTTTAGGTTTTTCGCAGCTGAAAATGAGGTGGTAACAGCTCAAAACGTCCTGTGTTTTAGTGTTTTAATAATCTTTTAGCCTTATTTACCCATATTTTAATTAAATCTCCTCTTTAAAAATTAATAGGTGATGTAGATCTCGTTTCTGGTTTCAGTCGACAGTAGCTCTGGCTGAGCTGAGAGAGACCGTGGAGCTGGAGATGCGGTCCAAGTGCTCCTACTCGGAGCTGGTGCGGACGCCGAGCAACGTGCGAGGCACCATCATCGTGGCGGCGATATCCCTCTTCCAGAGCGCCAGCGGGATCCTCGTCATCCTGGATTACGGCTCCACGACGCTGCCCAAGTACGAGGGCTTCTGGGCGCCGCACCCGACGATGGCCGCGGTGAGCATCCTCTACTTCTTCCTCAGCCTCGTCTCCGCCGGGCTCGTCGATCGACTCGGCCGCAAACCCTTGACCATCCTGTCCAACGCCGGCGACGCCCTCGGCACGGCCATCGTCGCCGTCTTCTTCGCCCTCGAGCGGCGCACCGAGTGGGACACGACCAACCTCCAGTGGCTCCCGTACGTCGGCATGCTCCTCTTCATCGCCTCCTACGGCAGCGCCATGTCCGCCATGCCCCATGTTCTCGTCGGAGAGCTCTTCCCGGCTAATGTCAGGTACTCTTTTCTTACTGTTCAAGAGGCAACTCACACCTGCGGGCCGATTATTGAAACTGATAGACAGAGCGATAGACAAAGAAGACATAGGGAGTATGGAGCGATCCTATTGGTTGACATGGTTGGTTCTTTCTTCTTATAGACTAAGGAAGAAAATGATGGACTATAACTGTCGGATCTTTAATGGGTTGCCGTTAGTTAGTCTATTACCTACTTCCTATGTCCATTACCACCACCTGCCACCTGCTTCCACCAATAGGATCCCTCCAAATCCCTTTTGTCGTGTTTGTCTATAGCTTTGTCTATAAGTTTCAATAATCGGCCCGCAGAGTAGAGTACTGCCGTGCTAAGGAAGAACGCCGAATGAACATTCGAGAGTTGCCAAGGTTCCCTTGATACAACATGAATTTTAGACGCAATTTAAGCATACTTTTCCTTGAAATTTTCAGATATTTTAGATTAAATTGGTTACGAAATTGTCTGAAAAGTTTGGGGGTAAATATTTACAATTCTCCCGGTAGATTCGGTTTTTCTCGAAGGGAATTCGGCAACGTCTGAAGTTTCATACGGCGTTCTTCCTTAGCACGGAAGAGTAACTTGGGCGTATTTATATGTGCAAGTGGGAACATGGGTCGTGGTCGTGAAAGCTGCATGAGAAACAATGGAGATAGTTCATTTTGAGAAAATGGAAAAGCGGGATATGACATTGAATCAAAAGGAACTGAGCGCTAACTCGTGAGCCGCGGGCATGTGACAAGAGCCTTGTGGACAGGGCTCATGAGTTAAAGAGTCCCGCCACCGATCTCCCCGTCGTGCCTCCTCGTTTGCTGCCGCTGACGTCACTGGCGCTTTTAAATGCCCATTCATTCATATGACCCTCGACTAATGAGCGCAACCCATCTTTCCACTTTCACCTAGTTAAATTGAGCATAAATACGTTCACTTGATAGAGAGAACATGGACATCTCGCCCCTCAACTTTCTATGTAGGTTCTACATAGGACCCAAAAATGGCGACACTTTGTTTTGGGTTTTGAAGATGGGAGGGGGATTATTGTCAACTTTGAACGGTTATCACCAGCCGCTTTTGCTGCCAACTTTGGCAGGTCCAAGATGATTTTTCTCGAAAATAGCAAACGATTAGCCGTAAAACTATGAGAACGCGTCGTGATGCATTTGAGTAAAGTTTCCGGTGCGATATGCAAATAAAACTACAATTCAGTACGTCATTTTGTAAATACATTTACTCACAGTGTCCGCCATTTTTAGGCTCTGAGAGCTCAATGAAGCTCAACACGGCGGTGCCGACTCGAGTACCTGTATAGCGAGAGTATGGACAGATCGCTTCATTCACGCTTAGGGCCCAAAAGTGCAGCCACCCTTCTAACCAACTTCTAACGCACAAAATTTCACTGCCAGTCTGCAGATTCCAATTCTAACCATGATGGCCAAGAATGTACAGAAATGAGCGTTCTTCCGCGAAATTGAGTAAATTTATGCAAAAACTGAGTCAAACACGTGCTTAATAAAGGACGGTTCGTAACAATAGTATCAGTAAATCGCTCTGGATAATTGAAATTCATAGGTTGGCTGCCCTTTTGGGCCCTAACTTTATTCGCGGAGGCATCGGTGAAGGCCTGATGGACTTTCAGAGTTTCAGATCCGTCGGTACTCTCCCTATACAGGTACTTTAAGTTATTTTGCAAGCGTAATTAAAACGTCATTATAGTTTTACTCGTATAAAATGTACGATACTTTTTTTAAAAATCCAGTCCTGATTATATTGTTATTTTTCTAACAGATACCACGCATCTGTTCTCTCGGTGATCGCTATCGCTGGGAGTCTCGCTTTTTTCAACTACACTTATTTGGGCGGATGTCGCTTGTTGGGAATGGATGTGATGTTTTTCATCTACACTCTATGTAGCATTGCTGCGACCATATTTTCGTGGTTGTTCATGTTCGAGACCAAGAATCTCTCTCTGGCTGAGATACAGGCGATCATGACTGGAAGGAAAATGGCATCGAATGACCCGCCTCAGGAGCTTAATGATCTGCGGTAAAGTGCACATACCCCACGAAAACCCGCCAACCATGATTTTCAAGTTGAAATAAACCGTCATCATCTCCCAAGGTTATTGAGATGTTCAGAAAAAAAAAAAAAAAATTGTCGCTGTATCAACGGCTTTGTGAATAGTCTAGAATAATTTGGGCGAGTCACTTCATCATAGCCTTATTTTTCCGCCGTCCTTGTCCTCAAGCTCACAATTGGGTTTGGGAGAAAATATTGGAAAAGTGCAATTCTACGAAAAGTGCAGGTCCAATTTCAATTATAGACGTTTTATTTGTAAAAAAGTATTAAATAATCTCTACTTTTTACCTGTATATGGCGAGGAAAAAGTTTTTTTTAACGAATTGTGAAATTAAAAATATGTGAGTTGATGTGTTGAGCTTCACTCTGAGCCTTTTCTGCTTAAGACGTCACGACCCTTCACTGTTATGATTGTTAGGTTGCAATGTTTATAGCCTTGTAACTTTTTTTTTGGTCTGGTAAATTGTTCGGATTTTTTAACTAATGATATCGATAATACATTTAGTAGAATAAGCAATGTATTTGATTTTTAAATACATGTGGATTCCACCCGAAAAATTTCGAAAATTAAGTTTCGACATCACAACCGGCGCGGCGCTAAAATACGTTTCACGACAACTAAGTGACTGCACTGCGTTTGGCGCAATGCGAGAAGTATTCATGCAGTCTTGCAGGCGCTGATATGCGTTCCAAGCGGACCGCACTGTTTGGCGCAATGCGTGAAGTATTCCCACAAACTCGCAGGCGCCAATATGCACTTGGCTCCGACTGCACTGTGTTTGGCGCGATTATTCGAACGCGCGTTAGAATAATCGCGGCATCGAATAATGGGGCTTAAAAGGCCCATGTTATGTTTCGACGCTGTATGAGCATTCCATCGTTTCCTCACTTCTCCCGATAACATATTTTTCCCGAGAGAAGTTAGAAAAGTACTCTGTGTTCACTTTTTTAGATTGAATGGATCATTAAACTTGATAAAATTTAGGCACTCTGATACATGATTCTCCTCCAAAATTTTACGTAGAACACGATTCGCGCAACGAAAATTACTGAAATTAACTCCTAGCTAAGACATTAACGTTTATACTGTACTACAACGGCTTTCGGAGACTACTCAAATTGAGATTTGTCTCTTCCCCACCCTGTATTCCTAAAAGTGTGTACAGTTTGCTATAGCTGAGCTAAAGCGTCAAAATTGAGGTTGCCATATTTTCATATTGCTGAGACTGTCGGCGTTGATCGAATGAATGTCAGATTGGGCAGTTTTCGTAGAATTGCCCAATAATTAGGAAAATGGTTTGGCAGTTAAAGGAGAAACTCTTAGATGAGTTAGATGAGTGAAATTACGAAGATCTGAACGTTGAGTTTCTAAAAACATGTAATATTCAAGTTTTTTGCGATTAAGGAGGGGAATATCACCCCTCCAGCTTTTTCGTGCCACTGTGCCCTCATCCAATGTCCTCAGTATAAAAATTACAACGATTCCGCTGACAATTAATCTAACAAATTTTAACACATGGTGGATTTTGTTAATCAAAACTTTTCGCATGACGATTCCGCATAAAAATTTCACTAAGATGCTTTCGAACCTCAAAGTTGGGAACGATCAACATGATTTCCGTGCCTACGGACTTGAGGAATGTGAAAATGCCTAAGTCCCAGAAGTAATAAGCGAAGATGTCCCGTTCTTTATCCGAAAGCGTCTCTCCGTCCTCCTTGCTCAATAGATCGAAGAGGGACATGATATCGTACTTAGCTTCGGCACCTACAACCGCGCCGCCACGTGCATGTGCATTTTCGACCAACTTCCAGATGCCACTACTTCGACACATCGCCCACTCGATTGTAACCTTGTGGATTAGGTTCGTTGCCCACCAGGAGAATACTTCAAGCTCGTGGGAGTTGCGACGCCTCATCACGGAGCTTGGGTTGAAAAGGGTATCATTTTCATTTCTAGTATCCCTGGCTCGAAATCCGCCGTTCCAGATACTGGTTATCTGCAAATCCTTCGCGTGAATTTGTTTCACCTCCTGTTCAGTGAAAGCGAAGAATCGCGCTACCTCAGACTGTTGGGCAAACGACAAAAAGTGTACATTACCGGCTTTCGTTAGGTATTGTCTCGCAAGGCCGGTTCTCCCGACGAGGAGTGCTTTGAACACAGCGTCATTATTTTTTAGGAGCGCACCTGTGAATTTGTCCAGTACGTCAAACACCGCGATGTCGAGGTGTTTCCCTGCCACGTTGGGTATCGTCAGAAAAAGTAATGCAGGCGCATCGAAATCGTCGACTAAAACGAGGCATTGCTTACTGAAGTAGCGAAACAAGATTCCAGTCAACGTTTTACCGGCGGTTAACAAGTCACTTTCGGTCTTGTTTCTTGTAGTATCGCTGTAAAGTTTGAACATTTTATGATCATGGGCCGTGAGTTTTTTGGAATTCAGCACGTACTCGTGTTTCATGTAGACGGTGCGGATCAGAGTTTCTAGCGAGGCAAGAAGATCCTCTTTGCTGCTCACACTCAGCTGGTTGAAGGATAAGGATAGAACGGGACGGCTTGCGAAATGAAAGTTGAAAAATGATCGATCCTCAAACACGGTTTCGTTTAATTTCGGTCTGCCGGCGAGCGTCGAGAAAGCTTTGTAGTTTGGCGACAAAGTCTTGGATGAGTTGCTCCCTGTGTTGGCATCTATGTCATAGAAGGCCCGCAAAGTACTGACGGCGAGAGTTTTGCCGAACCACCGTGGAGCTGTTACGTAGGCAGGTCCATCCAAGGCATGGAAATACTTGATGAAGCTGGTTTTGTCCACGTAATCACTGGAGTTCACCGCATCTCTGAACATTGCATCGTCTATGCATGTTATAGCTCTCTAAACAGAAAGAAAATATTAATTGATGATTATTATTATTTGAAAGAATAGTGCGATATTGCTCATGAATATGGTCCTGATGATGTATTATAAGATTTCTACGCACATTTATTTTAAAACTTCCGCCTGATTTAGTAATAATAAAGAAATTAAACCAAAATGAAAATGAAACATACGATGACTGATTTCTTTGTAGAATAATGAGTTACTTCGAGATATTTTCACTTTCAAATGAAAATGGGGAAAATTATAAACGTAATGATATCGAGGAGATGAAAATAAATATTTGCTTAATAAGCAGATTACCGGCCCTGGGGCATATCGAGTGGAGTTTTTGATCTTCCTGTTGGCAAGGATTGGCTTCCAACTTCACAGAGGTAAAACACTGTGATGGAAACGCCTCAAAGCAGATGAAACGTGATTTTCAACGATAATTTGTCTGTTTAAAGGCATTAAAACGCGATAAGGTCGGTTACACGGACGTACCCCAACACGTCGTAACACAGCGCCATGCGGAGTGGCGAAGTGAATCACTGTCAACTTGAGACAATTTTTACTACCCCTATCAAGAATTCGCCGAATGGAAGGGAAGCGGTTTCATTCAGCCCGTAAGGGCAGGAGGGGTAAAATGATGGTTGAGGATAAATTTCACGGTGTAAAAGTTATGCTTGCTTTGATGCATTGTTAATGAGGCATCTTTTTGAAGCGGATGAAGATGAAGAGAAGGATCATATTACACGTAAGTAAAATTTAGTTCACCTATTGTTTAGACAAAAAAAAGATAATGTCTAATGTTTTTGTACACGTGGTGTTAACGCTAATTAATTTCTAATTGTGTTAATTAAATTGAGCAATTTTTGTTTATGATGGCTCGCAAACTTCGTACATTATTGACTCGAGATACTACAATCGAAAACACAGGAAAAAGCGGAAACAAGGCTAAAATACAAAATAAAAAGGCAGGACGTTTCGGTACCTTACGGCACCATTAACAACTGCTAAAAAAGAATAAAAAATAAAAAAGAAATTAAAATAAAAACCAGCAACCAGCGTTACATAGTGAAATTGGTAACGCCGAGTAACGCCGTTTGCTGGTTTTTATTATAATTTCTTTTTTATTTTTAATTCTCTTTTAGCAGTTGATAATGGTGCCGTAAGGTACCGAAACGTCCTGCCTTCATATTTTGTATTTTAGCCTTGTTTCCGCTTTTTCCTGTGTTTTCGATTGTCGTTTCCGTTTCGGAGTGCTTTTACATTCCCTTTGTTTTCCACTCGAGATACTATTTTGTTGGGCCTCGATTCTGAAACAGTGAAAGAGTTTTTAATCAACCATAACGTTGTTTTTACGAAGACTAAGTGCCCAACTTGTCATTCCGAATTAACCTTCAACTCCATAGACGAGTTTCGCTGTCGATAAAACGTGTAGGTACCTTGAACGAAAAAAAGAAAAAATGCAGTTTCATGGAAACTCAATATAAAGGGACTTTTTTTGGCCAAGTGCGGTTGGCATTTCCAAAGGTACTCCACTTTTGCAATCTAATCCTTTCAATCCCTCCGTCGCTAAAAAAATATATAATGAGTGAATGCGAAATTAGCGAGCACACCAACATCGACTGGGCTGCTTTCGTCCTCGAAGTATGCATCTTTTGGATGGACCGTAACCAAGGGCCCATCGGTGGCGGGGGAACTATCTTCGAAATGGATGAGGTGAAAGTGAGGAAACGTAAATTTAATCGTGGGCGCCGCATTGGAGGAATTCTGAGAGATGACCAAAAACAATGTTTCCTTATGCCAGTGGAAGAACGGTGTAAGCGGACGCTGATGCAAGTTGTTCATGAAAGGATCTTACCAGGAACTACCATTTTTTACGACTGCTGGAAGGCGTATGATGACTTGGAGGATGAAGGTAGAACGAGATTCATATCAACCTAATCCACAAGCCTGAGTATCCTCACCTAACGTAACTTACCTGACGTAACCTAGCCAACATGGCCGGTGCTTGGGATGCATGTAGACATATGCGAATCAAAAATTTGACCTACATTCATGTTACTGAGGCCCATTAGCACCGGGAATTTTTAATGGAGCAATTAAGGTCTTATAAAAAAAAAAAAAAATTCTTTGTATCAGAAGCCATAAGTTCCTCATCACTAGGTATTGACGTAAAAAAAAAAAAAAAAAAAAAAAAAAAAAAAAAAAGATGAAAATTCGAGGCTTATCTTGCGATGCTCCAGCAAAAACATTTATTTTAAACATTAAAGGTCGTACACCAGGCTATTTTTCCTGCACAAGGTGCAAAGAGGAAGGTGAGTTCTTTGAGAATAGGGTGACTTTTCCTCAACGCCAGGGACTCTGAGAACTCGCCGAGATTCTTTGAGGTATGCCCTGGTAAAAATTGGCAATAGGAGCTGCGTTTCAAAATACCATAGGAGTTCTCATAGCCGACTGAAGAGGGCTATAGAAAATCACATATGTATAGCTGGCTGTAGAAAGAGGAAATATCATATGATCGGGCTACACGAAGCGATAAAAAATTATACAGCCGGGCTATAGTTCCTATCGCCGGGCTTTACACTTTATCGCCATCGTCTGTAAAAGGCTACAGGAAATTGAGTAGACATTATTGTGCTTTGTAAATCCTTAAGTTTGTACGGAATCACTTTAATATTTACAAAACGCACATTATATTTTCCTTTACTACATATTTTTTTTCATCAATTAAAATGAGAATAATCCATACAGAGTGTGCAAAAATTTCAAAGTCATGAGTTGAAAAACGCTGATTCCGCGAGATTAAATATTAGAACCTAACACAAAGCGGAGCGGCGGCGCACCGGCGCCTACAAACCTAACAGGGATACTTCACGCATTGCGCAATGCGTGAAGTATCCCCGTTAGGTTTGCAGGCGCCAATGCGCGTACTGCGCTGGCTGCCCGCCCGCCGCGGCGCGGCGCACATTGGTTCCCAGACCCGATCTAGGTGACATTAATTCGAAAAAATGAATTTTGGAAAAATTAAAATTTGACACCACAGATTGATAGTGCATACTCTCGAGAGTAACTTGGCCAAATATAATGAAGATTGGATCACTAATAAGGAAATGATAAGCACCTAAATGTGAGGCCGCGAAGTACTTTCGGGCGGACTCACACCAGTTTTCAGTGATTACTGTTTGGTCCTATGATTTGAAGTTCATCACACAGAAATAGATGCAAATTTGAAGTGTCCTGTTATGGTGTATCAAAAATATAAGGCATGTCAAAGGTTTATACGTTTTCACTATCCTTCAAAAACGTGTCTATACATATAGACAAACCGTTAGACATAGCGTTATTTTCTACTAATTTCAAGCGAATTTTTACGAAAATGGCTCTAGATAAATGTCTTGTGCCGGTTCGCACGCATACAGACCTACTGTAGTAGTTAGTACTAACCCTACACTTGATTTTAGTGCAATAAAATTCTGCGCATACTTGCGTCCCTGGGAGTTAGGGCACTTTGAATTCCCAAAACCGGCTTTCAAGAAATAAAGAATTAACACACTAAGGAGGTTAATGCAGACCTCAGATCATTGGGAATATGAATACTGCATTTTTCACAGGTCGTGTGGGTTTTCAAATCTCCATAATCGTTAGGATGATTATTTTTTACCTTGTCTATAACTCTAGAGAAGCCCATAGACTTAGTAAAGCTCCGATTTTTTGACTGAAAATTTTACAATTATGGCTCAAAATAAAGGCCATGCGTAGGTCCGCACACGTGCAGACCGACTGTAGTAGTTAGTGCTAACCCTACACTTGATTTCGGAGCAAAAAAATTTTGCGCATACTTGCGTCCCTGGAGGTTAGCGCACTTTGAATTTCCAAAATCGACCTTCGAGAAATGAAGAATTGACACACTGAGGAGCTTACTGCAGACTCTATAGATCTTTGAGCGGTAGTCCAATAACTCACTAAGTCCTAGCATCCGTAATTAGTAACGTTTAGCGTTTGGAGTTCTGTTCCTCTCTTGCGCTTGATTACATGCATTTAGTTTGTCTTGATGCAACCTGCACACTACTTTCTATTTGGCTATTTGCAAAACCTCCCCTCAAACTGTCAGCTTTTTACATTAATAAAGTGTCAGATCAACTCATTATTATCAGTTTCTTCGAGCCGTACGAATTATGTCGTAGACACCGAAGCCTAAAATTTGCGAGACGCTTTATAGCGACAGAGTACCGTCAGTTATATTGTATAATCATTTATTGTCTCCACATGTTGCCATGACCATTTTACTTAGTCCGAAGTTGTAAAACGAGTATACCGCGATTAGGCTAAAGATCTTTTAAGGCACTTTATTGAGTTCGACAAAACCCTAAATGGACAAGAATTCTTAACGCATAATTTTCATGGGCTCTTGAATTTGGCAGATGATTTAGATTATTTTGGATCGCTCGAAATATGCAGTGCCTTTAGATTTGAAAACTATTTACGACGGTTGAAAAAAACTCTTTCGTGAAAGCCAAGGGCCGAGGTACATCGCAGCAACTAGTGAGAAGAATGTGGGGACGTACTTTCATTATCAAAAAAGCGTGGATTAATATGAACAATGGTCTTTCTAGTAAAAATGATTTGGGTCCTCTTCCTGGGAATTGTACCAACCCTTAGTATTAGCTCTAGTCCCGAATTGGGTTTAAATTATCCACAGAGAAACCAAACAATTTCTGTGGAACCGAGTCCGGACAGATGCTGTTTGTAGAAAATTATGCTCATTTTGCTATTAACAATGAGCCAGTTGTGATTGCATGGGAATTATTGTGTGAAGAAAACTTTTACCAAAGTCCTTGTGAAAGTACGTACTTGGGTATTAATAAAGTGAAGAGTTTCTCAGGATTGAAGGCGATTCCAGTATCAGATATCACTGTTAAATATTATCTTCTTCTTCTAGAACCTGGCTTTTCTATTTTTTCAAATTTTGCATACTGAACAATAAAATTCATGAGTATTTCACTATTACGTTAGCGCACAAATGAGGGCGTCGGAGAACAAGGCGCATACGTCCAGTTTTTACTATTTCGGGTAATACGTATTCAAAGCTTCAAAATTACATGGAGCTTTCTGGCGGGAGGAGAGTTCAAACTCACTTTTTGATGCTTAAAAATTGTATTTTAGTCATGTATATTTCACAGAAAAAATGTTAAGACTAGTTTAAGTTGAAATAATTAATATCTTAATTTATTCTTCTGGTGATTGTCCCCCACTTGTATGATTTTCATTATTCTTTTAAATTTTATTTCTCCTCTTTGATTGGCAGGTGACGTTTATTTCTAGGTCTAACCATGAAATGCCTAATATGAAGAAGTACCTATATACATTTTTAATCCCGATACCATGCAGAGATAGAAAAACAAACGCTCGACCCAAAAAATCAAATTGAATCTTTGAAGTATTGAGTGTCAAATTGGGCAGTTTTTGTTGAACTGCCAAACATAAATTGGTAAATCGGGTTGGCAGTGGCAGTAGACACTCTTAGATGAGTAAAATTACAAAGATAAATCTGAACATTTAATTTTTATGCACATCTAATATTGAGGTCTTTTGCGATGAATGGAAGTGGATGACACCCCCTCAGATTTTTCTTCCCACTGCGCCCTTATCCTCGACAATCTCCCATCCCCTCAGTATAAAAATTAAAACTAACGTAACAGACTTTGGTACATAGTGAATTTTTTTATTAAAAACTTCTTATATATGACGATTCCGCGCAAAAATTTCATTAAGATGCTTTTGAACTTCCAAGTTGGGGACGGTCAACTTGACTGCCGTACCTACGGACTTGAGGAATGTGAAAATGCCTAAGTCCCAGAAGTAATAAGCGAAAATGTCTCGTTTTTTGTCTGATAAAGTCTCTCCGTCCTCTTCGCTCAACAGCTCACGAAGGGCCACAATATCGTACATCGCTGTGGCACCTACAACTGCGCCATCACGTTCATGTGCATCTTTGACCAACTTCCAGATTCCACCACTTCGGGACATCGCCAACTTAATTTTAACCTTATGGATCAGCTCCGTTGCCCACCAAGAGAACATCTCAAAGTTATAGGAGTAGCGACGGCTTATCACGGAGCTTGGGTTGAAAAGGGTATCATTTTCATTTCCAATATCCCTAGCTCGAAATCCGCCGTTCCAAAGATTGGTTTCCTTCAATTCTTTCGCACAAACTTGTTTCACCTCCTCTTCATTGAAAGCGAAAAATCGTGCTACCTCAGACTGTTGGGCGAACGATAAATAGTGTACATTGCCGGCCTCTGTCAGGTATTGTCTCGCAAGGCCGGTTCTCCCGGCGAGGAGTGCTTTGAACACAGCGAAATTATTTTTCAAAAGCGCGCCTGTGAATTTGTCCAGTACGTCGAACACCGCGACGTCAAGATGTTTCCCTGCCTCGTTGCGTGTCGTTAAAAATTGCAATGCAGGCGCATCGAAATCGTCGACTAAAACAAGACATTGTTTACTGAAGTAGCGGAACAAGATTCCAGTCAACGTTTGACCAGCGTTTAACAAGTCACTTTCGGTCTTGTTTCTTGTAGTATCGCTGAAAAGTTTGAACATTTTCTGATCATGGGCCGTGAGTTTTTTGGAATTCACCACGTACTCGTGTTCTAGGTAGACAACACGGATCATGGCTTCTAGCGAGGCGAAAATATCTTCCTTGCTGCTCACACATAGCTGGTTGAAGGATAAGGATAAAACGGGACGGCTTGCGAAATGAGAGTTGAAAAATGATCGATCTTCAAACACGGTTTCGTTTAATTTCGGTCTGCCGGCAAGCGTCGAGAAAGCTTTGTAGTTCGGGGACGAGGTCTTGGATGAGTTGCTTCCTGCGTTAGCATCTATGCCGTAGAAGGCCCGCAAAGTACTGATGGCGAGAGTTTTTCCGAACCATCGTGGAGCTGTTACGTAGGCAGGTCCATCCAAGGCATGGAAATACTTGATGAAGTTGGTTTTATCCACGTAATCACTGGAGTTCACCGCATCTCTAAATAGTGCATCATCCATGCATGTTATAGCTCTCTGGACAGAAAAAAAGTATTTTGATAAGAGTATAAAATGCATGGAAATTAATGATGATTATTTTTTGAGACAATAGTGCGATATAGCGCAAGAAAATGGTCCTGATGGATTTTCAAATTTTCTACGCTCATTTTCTTTTTCATTTCTGCCTGATTCAGTAATAAAGAAATTAAACCAAAAGGAAAATGATTAAGAAAATTTCTTTGCAGAATGATGATTGACTGCGATATACTTCGCGTTGCGTCTATAAATGTTTAAACCGGTTGTGAAAATTATGCAAATCAGTAATACTTAAAAAAAAATGCTGTTTGATTTGCAATTTGTTTCCTCGCATTTCAATGAAGTCTTTTATGATGGAAAATGTATTTCCCTTGCTGCCAGATGTAAGACTGTGAAAGGGAAGAGGGATGTAAGCAGATTGTTAAAACCTCAAACCAGTAGTTTGCTGCGTTGCAGACTTTCTGTCACATTTTATATTTTCAAAGAGTTTGAGTCTTTATTTGAAAAGTAGCATGAAATGTTTTTTTTTTCTGTGTGAAGAATACTCTTTGAAATTTTAAGCAACAACATTGATTTGTTCTTTGCCTAGAAAATAAATTAGGAGTAGAGGTTTCGAAACGCTAAATTACGATTATAATAGCTCGGGAATTTCGCAGTCAACTTGTTAAAATGTTATAAAGATGTTGTAATTAGTCAAAAATTGTATCCAGGCCTCAAGTGATTGTACCATTTTTTCGTTGTTTGTTGTCTTCTTATTTAAGTTTGTATATTCAATTTCAATCAATCAATGTAATTTTGTTTTTACAGGATGTTAGCTGGTATTGATGTTTGGAGGTGGTGGTTCTGTTGGAGGCGGGATAGGTGCCACTTCAGATTTTTTTATGTTATAAAAGTAGCATCAACTGTAAATCCATATTTAATACGATCACTATGAGCTGGCCTTTTAGCCAATTCCTTATCCTTAAACTCGTATTTTTTACATTGGTTCTGTTTCCCCTCCTTGCAACAAACATCCTTTTTTTTTTTTTTTGGCATCAAAAAATGAGTTTCTGGTTATTGTAATTCTTTTATTTTTGGTCAACCAAGTTTTTTTCCTTTTTAATCTCTCTTTGTTCTTTTTCTCCTTTTCTATTGCTATTTCCATACAACTTTTTTTGATCTGGAAGGAACTTGATGTTCTTAACTTTATCTTTCCAGTTCTCTTTGGTTTATAGGGCTTTTGTAGGGATGTTCTTGAAAATCATTTTCTAAGTAGTCTGCGATAGCTTTCGTCTTCTCCAGACTGTTATTTGCCCACTTTCAGTCCAGCTTTCCTATCGGAAAACTGATAAGGCCTCTTAGAGGCCCAATGAGTCAACCATGTACAATTTTTAATTTTCAATTATCTCTTTTAATTTTTTTTTAATATACTACAATCATGTTTTTATAATTTTATGTAATTAATTTGTCGATTCACAGAGACATATTTCGTTCAAGTTTTTTAGTTGACCGAGAGCAATTTCTTTTCTTTTTTTATAGTTGCTTTATTCATCCTTCTCCTGGTATAACAAACTCAGTCTCTGTAGGTTGAAATTGTCATTTACTTAATTTTTTCAAAGTCAACCAGGTTTCTTTCGTTTTTTTTAAATCTGTTTTCTTCTCATTTTTTTCTCTTACTGAGACGGCCTATTATAGGACCAATAAGTCAACCAAGTGCAATTTTTAATTTCTTTTATGTCTCTTCATTTTAAATACTAAAGCCTAACAGAGCGGAGCGGCGTGCTACCAGCGCGAGAGGCTCACTGGCGCCTACAAACCTAAGTGGATACTTCACGCATTGCACAATGCTTGAGGTATCCACTTAGGTTTGTAGGCGCCAATGCGCGTTTCGCCCTGGCCGCCCGTCCGCCGCCGCGCCGTGCGGCGGTGCCTGAAGCAGCTATTTCACAACAGAGGTGTAGCATTGTATTATACGAAACTAGTCGTGATTAGCTCGCTTTGCGAGCTGACACGTCTAGCCGGGGAGTGCCCTGGACCCCAGTTCTACGCTTCGCGACGAACTTGCGACTCGCTCCGCGAGCCGCCACGCGCCACCGCCCCGCACAGTTTGTAACATTGATGAGGAGACAACACCTATGTCTTAATCTTCTTTTTCACCAAGTTTTACAGAAATTGATGTTCTAGGAGTCCGGACCGCGTTTTCGTGCGGGGCCGCCATCTTGGATTTGGAGATGTTGAAAATCTGACCAAAAATGCGAGTTTTCCGTCGAAATACACCTCCTAATACCGAANCAGGAAAAATCTAAGAGCCTTTGGCTGAGGCAAATATAGAGGTTTATCCGGTTCAGGTATAACAAGGTGGGAATTTCTTGAAAGATAATTAAGTTCTGTTACAAGAAGTGTAGAGAGTTTTAGTGAATTTTGTCCCAAGGAATTGACGCTCCCCATTTTCACCAAAACTCTCAACTATATATTATTCTCCGTTGGACCAAACAGACAAAACAAAAAAACAAGCAAACCCTCATTCTTCCAAGACATTACACATTTTCATCCAAAAACGTCTCGAGCAATTTTCGTTTGTATTTACATGTGGGCCAATTAACTTTGGGTCTCAACTGGCACGTGGACCAAAACTCCCGTGCCGAAAAAACGCGTGAACGTAAATTACTGGAAAAAAACAGGTGCGCGGACAAAAAATCGTTGACGAAATGTCCTATAACCACCACTCCCAATCTCCTTTGTTTCTTCACGCGCAACAAGGTTCTTTCCGCTCCTGCTCCAAATAGAAATCCATATTTCTTTAAAAGGGAACATGTCCATTTTCAGATGAGCCATAGACTCCATAAAAATACATACATCTCGAGGCTCATCAGAAAATGAATGTACTTCAAAATTATGCGCCAATTGATGAAGCAAGTACATATACATACTATCAGGTAATTAATCTTCTTAGAGGTTCAGGGTTCAGGCACCTATTATTATTAGAAGCAGGCAGCAGTATAAAATGTCCCAAATAAGAGATTTTTTTTGTTCTATGTCTGGAAAACCAGGGATTTCATCGACAAATGGCAGAGGACAGTGTTACGAAAATACTGTGACAAGGCAAATGGAGTAATATATGTCTAATACTGATGCAATATTATGACAGGATGTATCAATATTATATTAATATTGCATTCTTGACGTGTTCATCTGAATGTCAAATTATATAAAGATTCTGTGCTACGTGGGTCCACCTGATTTAGTAATAAAGAAATTAAACCAGAATAAAAATGAAGAAAATTTCTCTGTAGAATAATAAGTTACTGCGATACATTTTCAGCATCGACGGATGAAGGGGAGAAAATGGAAGAAGTAGCGCCACAGTAACATAATTTTCCAAGAGTAGCTAAAATTTTGAAAAATGCCGTGTTTTCATGAGGAAGAAAATGTTTGAGAACCCAGTTTCTGTATAGCAGTCGAAATTAGGTGTAAATACGTAAATATTTTTTCGAGAGGCGATTTGACCTGCATTGATTTTCGTTTTTATCAAAAGAGGGAAGTCGCAGTTTACAAATTTTAATGTAAATTATGTACTTTAAATGAAATTCTCACTCATAAGTTGATAACGAAGTTTTAAATGTCATGCTCCGCGTTGAATTACAGAGTCATAAAAACCTAATATAGACACTTGAACAGTGAACACTTAAAATTAGTTTCGTCTAGCGGTTCATTGTAAGTACGGATCTTCAAACTTGAGAGATGCGAATATTTAGATAGTTCTTAAGTTTGAAAATGTGGAAGTCCGTAGTGAGTTTCATTTAATGGCAAAGAAGAATGTTGATATAAAAGCCCTCCCCCTCCCTCTCTTATATCAGAGGTTTCCTTTTTACGTAATGAATTTTGCGCGTTGAAATCGAGAATTCGAAAACCTACAGAATGATCCAAAAGTCCCTAATCACACCTATAACCCCTAGGCTTCTCGCCCCATTTTAGGATGATCTCATCAAAGCTCGGGGGGTGGGTGTGTCCCCAATCCTTTGACCTGGGAGCATTCGTACAATTTCAAGTTTACAACTCACCTTGTTCAAAATTACAAGTGTGATGCCTTATGATGGTGATTCGGGACTTATCGATCACCCTGTAAAATAAAACATACGGCTCAACTTGTTTGGTGTGCTTACCTTACAGACAAGTATCGTAAAGATGACAAGAGATGTTCCAACGCTGAATTCCATGATGCTAAACAGAACTTCACCTACTTTTGAACATGTGTGTTTTGAGCTACTTTTTGAATCATTTGGAATGAATGCAAACGTCACTGATAAAATATGCAAGTCTTGCAATCGTCGATCATTCAGATTTATCAAATATCACCTCATTCGGTCCCACTTAATTGAGCCATCTCACCTTTCAGGACTTTTGGCTTGAGCTTTTATTTATTTTTTTTCCCCCTCAACTTAAACTTCCATCTCTGATGGGTCACGAGCTTGTGAAGTGAAATGCTTAAGAGTCCTCACGTAGAAATCGACGAATAGTTAGGATTATTCGGCTTACCTCCTCCCGCATGCTAAGTAATAGATTACAAGTAAAATTATGATGTATGCGTGGTCATCTTATATGCACGGGGACCTAATGTATGGAGTCAAAATTATTAAGCGGTGCATTTTAAGTCAAAAGAAGTCCACAAATCAGAATTTGAGCTCTCAACGGAAAACATTTTTAATCCCATCAAAAATAAGCTGCGAGGGATTAGTGTATTTTTGTGCCAATTGAGAGAAAATTGAATTTTTATCCAACTATTTCAAGCCCTAAATCGTGGAAAATTATAACTTAAAAACACACGTTTTTTGCTGAGGACTTTTTTCAAACGCCAGTTTTAACTCGTGAAAACTTCAATTTGATGAAGACATGTATGGGATTTCATTGCTGGCTAAAATATTACAAGAGCACTTCGTTATTCGGCTGTAGGAATATATTAATTTTTGTCTCTTGGATAAATTATCAAGGTCTTTCAAATTTGCGAGCAGTCAAAAGTTGTGAAAAAAATAAATGTTTTCTTAAAAATTTAAATTTCACCGTGATCTCTTTAAGGGCAAAAGATGAATTTGGCAAGTTGAGTTTATTTAAAAGTAACTTCATCACACGATAATGTACGTTTCTTTTAAATAATCGTAATATAGACATAAGAGCGCTGCACGGAATCCGAGAGTCGAATACGTAATGAGGCCTGAATTGCGATAAGATCTAGTTTTTATAAATGCAGTTGGTGACGTCACTTAGGATTCTGTGACGTTTTACTTATCATCGTTATCACCAGGAGATAGTGACGATTAATTGATATGAGAGTAAGAAATTGTTTTAGGCTTAAATTGAAAGAAAAACGTAATTTTTCACGAGATGAACTCCTTTGTGCAAGATTAAACCGTTTGGAATGTTCTTCGTTGGCTGCATTAAAAGAATTTTCCCCGAACAATAAAGTTAAGGGAGACACAGGAATTGTTGTAGTGGTACGAGGAGTATCCTTAAAGTAGTTTTTCATTGATTTTAGTATTATTTTTAGGATTTAGTTGAAAGACACATTTGAGGGTTGCTCCTTTCCACGAAGAAGCCCGCATGCTAAGGTGGTAGTATAAAAAAATGTCTCTGGAATTTTGCAGTTACGGACTACTTGAAGTATTCAATTTTCTTGAAAGCAAACTGGCATGTTTTCTTGCAACTTTTTCTGAAATTTCCGCAAATTACAAAGAATATTTTAGGCAATTTCCAGGTTTATTTGCAGTAATTTTCTTGTAATCTGCTAATTCACGGAGGGACACGATGTGACTGCGTGGCCTCTAGACTAGATGCCTACGCCACGCTGATGGTAAATACTCTAAATGAAATCGAAAAAGGAAATTGCAGAGCGCTTTTCTGCAGTTCCTAGAAAAAAATTTGTTGATCTAAACAATGCTCTCGCACGTGCGTTAACATGCATCATTGTTTCGCAGTGTAATCAGTATAGGACGCTCTTTTTTGCTGTTCAAACTTAACAATACCAGTCTACTCTATTATATTCATGCAAGTCGGACTACCACATGGGAATTGTGACCTCTCGTTTAAGTTTTCCTACGAGTGATGGTCCAGTTGGCATGGCTGTCAAGGAACAGAGGTCGTGTGCGGCAAATTTCAGTTTGCTGCTCGGGTGAGTTTCTACACAATTATCAAGGAGCGAAAATGCATCGTGGAGAAAACATCATATGAGCATCGAATTGCGACACATACGCTCCAAATAAAAAAGGAATAAAAATATGGAAAAACTAGTACGTGCTCTTTTGGGCCGTGCAGTATTCATTCGCATTATTTAGGAGGATATTTTCTTTGAGACAAATTCGAGTATTAACTTCTTCCGTTCATTTTTTCCATCTAATTCTAATTCGATGCATCTAAAAAAAAAAATCACCAGAAAATGCGCAAATAAAATGTAACAGTTTTTTTTAAAAGTCTTCTCCTGCTATATTTTTTTTGTGGAAATTTTGACACAATTTCGGGAGTATTATCACGAAAGGCTCTACACATTATTATTATTATTATTATTTTTAAATAAGACGGATGGGTACACCCGCAACCTTTTACACACTAACAGGAAGGAGCTTTGATTCTGCGTGACTGATTGATTTAGGAGGGAGAGGGACAAATATCTCTGTTCGGAACCAATCTGTTTTGAAAAATTACATGATTTTAAAGCTATTAAGCGAGGTTATGTTTCCTCTCAAAGCGGCCTGTTATGCACTGTATATCGGCAATATCTGCTCACTGAACCGAAACAAAAACGCTTAGTTTCTTAGCGCATTGCAACACACAACACATTCAGCGTCTGTTCCATCTGCACCCCCACGCAACTTACGAAAGTTGAACTGGGGCGAGAGGCTGCCTCAAAAATGACGGGGGTTGTGGAAGGCACCATTCCTCACCCCGCAATTGAACTCATTCGCGCGAGTAAGATATACGTCAAGTTCTCACACGAGGTTATTGAAGTCAAGAAGTCAGGCTTCCAATGCAAGTTTTTGCGAAGCTACAGGGGGAAAAGTAACATGTTCGTATTCTCTCCAATTGATGACATCTGCACTGTGAAATTAAGTCAAGTCATCAGAATTATGGAGCCGGAATTGATTTCAAGGGACCGGTATGCATTCCCCAGTTACTGTTTTGAAAATGTGTCCTTAAGGTTCTTGAAGCGTTTCAAGCCATTTTTGTTTCATATTCTTATAGGAAAAATGTTTTTCCTCATTCATAATTACCTTCCAAAGACAGATAGACCACTAGTTGTATTATTTATGCTTTTCGTGCCATTTTTGTTTTCTAGTTCATTAGAAGAATATTTTCCTTAATGCATATTTACCTACTAAAGGTATTTACTCAACCTACCTACTCAAAGTTCCAAAGGTTCCTCTTGATTGATAATTTTGAAACGTTTCGACCTCAATAATTAACTCTCTAATTTCTTCTGAATTTTTTATTTCAACTCATGAAGGACTGAGGAAATTTCACAACACATATGTATCGCATTCTCAGGGTTTGAACTAAACTGGAAGATATGCTCGGTGAAGGATGTCTCCTGTGTTTTGATAAACACGAAAAGCCTTCCTGTGATTCACCTTGTTGGTGGTGCGGAGAATTCTGCGTTCTGCTGTACCGGTCACACGCCTGTCATGCATTCCATTGACGCACTTTTCATCATGCATATTAAATTTTCAGAAATGCCCTCTCCAACGCCCAAAAACATTGATAGTTCCAAATCAAAGAAGAGATCCAAACAGAAATCGAAGAATTCACTGGCTCCAAATGTGAAACGTTATGGTACCAAAACCCACTACACTCCTGAGAAGCTTATTAAGTGAGATACGAACAGAAAAAATTGGTGTGCGACCGGCTGCTACAAAATACGGCATTCATCGAAATACGTTGTCAAACAAACTAAAGGGCAAACACTCTGGTAAAGTAGGACGACCTTTTGTTTTAACTGAATTGGAGGAGACAGCCTTCATTGATCATGCCGTACATATGCGCACAATGGGAGTACCCGTCACTACCTATGATTTGCGCCAAATTGCCAAAGGTTACCTTGACCAGCAGGAAAGTAAGGTGCCACAATTCATTGAAGTTATGCACGGTATTAAAAATTACCCAATTATTTTCCTTTAAAATTAAAACTTTGTTCGGCGGGAAGCAAAAACTACTCGCTATTCTGGGAGATTTTTTACATAATTGTGAAGAGGCAAAATTTTTACAACTCTGTAATCACGCTGGTTCCTTTTCGCTAAATGCGATCCAAGTAAACCTGAAAATTTAATGTTAACTCTTGGTCTCCGACGAAAATAGCCTATAGTCTGTTTCACGAAAATTGAGACTTTTTATTCGGCATTAAAATCCATAAATGGCAACGCATCAGTCTTGGACTCGGGTGACCGTACCGCTCGCTGGACACCCATCCATTGTAAGGGTAGGAACAATAGACATCCTTCACCCCTCCTTAATGGGCCCTAGTACCCGGACCAAAATTTTTTTCTCGCTGAAAAATTCAGCTTTTGGCGTGAAAAAGTTCCAGCGTGAAATTATGATAAAAATGCACTAAAATTCAGTCCAATTATCTTAATTTTGAGCTGATATACGGCATTTCGCGGCGAATCGCGGTCATATACATATAGTTGCTGATCGTCGTAATTAACTGACTAACTTTTCAGCGAGCATTCTGCCTTTCGGCCATGGGCTGCTAGTGGCGTGGCCGTCACTGGCAATCGAGCGGCTTCGGCGAGGTGATGCAGGGTTCGAGGTGAGCTCTGGTGAAATTTCCATCATCGTCTCCATGATGTCACTGGGCATGTGCCTGATGCCCATCCCGTTCGGGTACGTCCTGGTGCGATTGGGCCGGAAGACGAATCTGCTCATCAACGCCGTCGTCTACGCTGTCGCATGGGGGCTCATTGCCTTCGCTCCCTCGCCCCTATGGATCATGGTTGGCAATTTCTTCGCGGGTCTCGGTAGCAGCATCCAGCTCATCATCGGACCCTTATACATAGCCGAGGTGGCCGACAAAGATATTAGAGGTAACCCATCTCTCAGTTCTCTTCTCATTATTCATATGAGGTAACAGTTATTTCAGTCCAATCTTGGTAACACTACTCACAGGGTCGTTAATATTGGTGGGAGCGAAATAATCTTTATTACATGCTTAACATTGTAACTTCAGTCAAGGCAGTAGATAGGTGATATGACCTGTATTCCACTATATTAGCATCGTAAGAGCAATTGGACTGAATTCTGCAGTTAGGAACTACAATTTCTGACACATAAGTTTTCTTATACGGATGAACCAAATTCAGTAGTTCCCAATTGCAAAATACAGTCTGATTTTTCTCTTTCCTCCGTGCGGTTTAGAGTGCTTAATAGCAGCACTATGTTTCACGTTCAACTAATTTTAACTTTGAATAATAGATATTCCTCTAAAATTATTACAAGTATTAACTGCTGATAGGCACGCCTTAATTTCAAAATACATTTTCTCAAGGCTTCATTGTAAAACTAGTATTTTCAGTATTTGACATAGTATTTTGACATCTAAATGCCTTTACTAACATCCACCGAAGATTCACACTTAGACTTCTTCTTTAACACGATTTAACAGGTGCCTTGATCAGTATTTACATTATGGCCATTGCTATTGGTCAAGTGTTTATGACGAGCATAGGAATATTCGTTTCCTACTTCGAACTGAATTTGATGTCGCTGATCATTGCAATCGTCGCCTTCTTCTGCATCCTCACGACAGCTGTTGAATCGACTAGCTGGTATTTAATGGTGGATAATGAATATGAAGCAGAGAGAAGTTTTCATTACTACTGGAACACCGGTGCTGGCACTGACAGAACCCAGGTTTGTTTCCTAGCGTTGAGAGTTCAGTAATTACTTCACACGACCAGTGTGTAATTTTAAAAGTCGGAAATTAAAAAAAAAAAAAAATTACACGATACACGAGTTTCTCCGCCAGGGAGCTCTCCCCGCAAGAAATCGTCCACCACCCGCCCGCCGAGAAAGAGCCGCGGAGTGCTGCCAGCGGGACACGCACTCCGACGCCTACAAACCTAACAGGGATACTTCACGCATTGCGCAATGCTTGAAGTATCCCGTTAGGTTTGTAGGCGTCAGTGCGCGTTTCGAGCTGGCAGCACGCCGCGCCGCAGCTTGCTATAAACTTGCCCACAATTTATAGGACAGGTAGGTGGACATAAAGTCCTGGAAGCGGTCAGGGTGTTAAAATGTAGGCAACTTTACAACAAATTCGAAATTAGCTACTTAAAAAAGATTAATTACGAAACGTTCGTGATCTTTCAGTCAAAATCCGACTTATTTCTTCCTATTCTTGAGTTTAGGACCATAGTACGCAGCGGGCGGCGGCGCTCAGGAAATTCTCCACTGTGCTCAATCAGTGTAATGTGGATTTGTACTTTTCGCATTAGGGTGATTCGATGGACGCCATACTTTGTGTTAGGTCGGCATGCGATATATCTCATCAATTGGTTCCATTTTTACAGCTACTCGTCATTTTTCTGAGATCACAATTCTGTTGTCAGGAGACTAAAGCACTCACTTACCAATTTTTACAAACAAATTCAACGTAATGAAGGCGTCGTTTTTTGGAGGTAAAACATCGCATTCCATACTGATATCGAAACTGCACTCGAATGAGATATTTTCTTTCTAAAAAAACCACGCCTTTATTACGTTGAATTTCTTAATTAGAATTGGTAAGTGAGTGCTTTAGTCTCCTGACAACAGAATTGCAATCTCAAGATTTGAGAAAAATGACGAGTAGCTGAAAAAGTGGAACTAATCGATGCGATATATAGCACGTCGTTCTGACACAAAATATGGCGTCCTTCGAATCACCTTTATCTAGAGTACCTATATTAAGAGAGTATGGCCACTGGTGTTATCACCTCTGATCGGCTCAGCCATCTTAGGCTGAATGGAGCCCTTAGGACCCAAAAATGGCGGACGCCATAAACTAATGTAATGCAAAATTACTCAAAATGTACTTTTCTTTGCTTATCGTAACGAGAAATTTACCCAAATGCACTAATGTGACTTCTTTACATATTTTTAAGGCTAATCGTGTGCAATTTTTGAGAAAAATTATCTTGGATGTAGTAAGGTTGGCAGCAAGTGCGGTTGGTGATAACCGTCAAAAGTTGGCAATGACCCGCCCCCCCCTCCCACCCACAAAAACCAAAACAAAGCACCGCCATTTTTGGGTCCTAAGCTTCTCCATGGGGCCCAGTGGCCATACTCTCTCAATATAGGTACTCTACCTTAATCCATCTTTATGCCGTTAATGCCGGTTTTTTTGGATAAAATTCAGATTTGAACGATTCTATGAACTTTGTTATTCCTCAGTCCCTGGCAACCCTGAAAGAGACAGTGGCGCTGGAGATGAAATCCGCATGCTCTTACGTCGAGCTGTTTCGGACCCCGAGCAACATCCGCGCCTCGATCATAGTCATCGCTCAATCAGTATTCCAAAGCGCCGGTGGAATAGTGGCTATCCTCACCTACGGCTCCACCACACTTCCAGCATACGATGGCTTCTGGAAACCCAACCCTACGATGGCTCTGGTCAGCGTCCTCAACCTTGTTTTCAATATAGTCTCGGCGGGTTTCGTCGATCGAATCGGCCGTAAACCGCTGACCATCATCTCCAATGCAGGCAACGCACTAGGCACCGCTATGGTGGCTGCCTACTTCGCCGTGGAACGGCGCACGAATTGGAACGTGACCGACCTCGAGTGGCTGCCTTACGTTGGGTTTTTGACCTACGTTGCATTTTACGGCAGCGGCATGTTTACCGTGCCTCATATTCTGGTCGGCGAACTGTTTCCGGTCAATGTAAGGTAGTGACATGATTTCTTTGCAGAATGGATAGTTTGTATTTAAAAAAAAATATTGCTTCAAATGAGAGTGCTTGATGAGCTGAGTTCGCAGTATTTTTCATAATTTTTTCTGAAATGGGAATTTAGGAAAAAAAGATTTAAAAATGAACAAACTAACCGCCTCGTGACGTAATCTGGGGGAATTTCCCATTGAAACACATGTATTTTGGCAGATTAGGTTATTTTGTCATATTTCCTTCAATACTAATTGTTCAATTAATACACAAAGGATATTCCCGTGCTCAGTTTTCTCAGTAGTTTCATTTTAAACACCAAATTTACAACTTTTCAGACACAGGCAAATTCTCCATTGAGCTAATCAAAGGAAAGCATAACACAGCGATTTAAGATTGGAAGTCGTCATACCCTGCTCAAGGAGCCATCAATAAATACAACTTTCGAGTAATAAGCCTCTTTCCCCCGAGATATAAGAAAGCTCCCTGAAAAGATAACTTCACTGTTTTTTCGGGAATTGTCTTACCTCCAAGTTCTATCTAAGAGATATTTTTATCAAAGTCCTAGTTCTATTTTTGCCTCTCAAAAAGTGCGAGGAATTTATTTACATAAGTATGTAACAAAGCTTACATCTTTGATATCGTATTTCAATTAATTTTTCGGCAGGGACATCTCATTATGGTAACACTACTTTTTATAGACCTTTAGGAATGTTGTAAAAGGGGGACTCTAGGGCCAGCGTTACATAATTTTTTTTAATGAGTTCTAGAGCAGCTTTGCGAAAAGACACAGGTGTTAAGAGATATCGATTAACCAAAAATACGGCGGTACATATCATTAAGGACGACCCTCATGCAGCAATTCATCTGCAGCTGATGAATGTCCATGATGATTTCCGCGCGACTCATAAAAAATGCAATAATCGCTCTGATCTGATCTTTATTTATTACTTGATTTACTGAGGGTGTCCTTAAACATTTAAACCATTTGTAACGAGTCTACACCGTGAACTTTACCGTAAGGGCAAAATGATGAGCTGTGTGTTGAAAAATGTTCAAAGACGCCCGTCAGAACCGAAAAACGTAAGGGAAATATTTGCCTAACGGTCTTTTAAAATGTAATCGTGTAGCATTTGCGAAAGGGTCATGCTTCATGTTTTGGTCGACCCGGTAGCAAATTAGAGTGGCTACGTTTGTAATAATAGTTCTTGAATTTTTTTCTTTTGTTCAGATATCACGCGGCTGTCCTGTCGACTATTAGTATTGCTGGCAGCTGTGCTTTTTTCAACTATATTTACCTCGGCGTGAGTCAAGTTGCAGGAGTAGATGTAATGTTCCTGATCTTCACCCTGTGCAGCATTTCCGCGACCGTTTTCTCCTGGATATTCATGTTCGAAACGAAGAATTTGTCCCTGGCCGATATACAAGCAAAAATGACAAGGAACTCGACTAGGGCCTCTGATCCCACTCCAGAATTGGAGAATCGGCGGTGACTGTGACCATCTAAATTATATGATATTTACGCCTTCTGCTGTCAACATTTCATCTTGGGAAATTTTAAAATATCTTTGAAGTAACAGAAGTACCTCTCCTGCTTTTTGCGGTTTATTAATATATATATGTTAACGTTGAAGTGCCAGATTAAATTGATGTATACATTAACTAGTTAATGTATAGAATTTAGAAATAGGGCGGCGGTTTAACCAGACGTATAACATAACCTCACTTGGAGGCTCTAATGTACACATATTGTAAAAGAAAATAAAACGTTACCGAGTCGCTTAAAAAAATCAATTCTCGAACACAACAATCCGTCTATGTAATGCGAAGGTCAGCGAGATGAAGGTCCAAGTGACTGGTGAGACTTCATTAGCATTCAACATTTATCTATATCAACTGGCTTTTAAACAAAAAGTGAAGTGGTATTTGAATGGTAATGAGACAGCGCATGCCTGACAGTTGATAATCGAATATCCCCAGACGGTCATATTTACTGATAAAGCACACGGTTTTAGCAAGTTTAGAACTATTTCCTACTGTGATTTGATCATTTTTGTGTACATTTGTAAGTGCCCTGACGTTAATTTTGAGTGAATATAACGTTGTTGACGGATGAGTGGATATTGATGCTGGAGCCACTAATCCCTATACCTTTGTATGCGATGTTCCGCTTCTGTTCTTGCTTCATTCCTCCAGGTGGAAACTAGGTAATAGTTTTGCATAAGATGTTTTAAATATGCACTTTGAACGATGGCTAGGAAATATCATAGGAAATACGACGATTGAAAATGGGTTAAAGTCCCTGTTAAAAATATATGTTGCATTAAAGAGTTAGCAATGTCCCAAAGCCACCATTTACTACCTTGTGTTCACCATTATTAAACTTGGTTAATTAAATAAAAACAGCTAAATTCAAACGAAAAAGTTGGCCTTGGCCTCTCGGCCGTCGTACTAAATTATCACTGTTTTAAGACTATGTTTTAAGATCAGTTTGAAGTTCGCCCGCCAATTTTAGGGTAGTGGGATAGATGGCAAACTCAACCTGATCCAGATTTTCCAGGATGTGACCTTGAGACAGATGGTTGATGCTGCGTGGTATAAATCAATCACTCTGTCATCCACAAAGACTTGGATACCTTTTCAGTGAAGGAGAGCATTCGGAAACTACCTGAAAATTATAAGCGTCGTCTCTGTTTTCACCCCAACTTTCGATTTCTCTCCAGGCCAATTCGCAGGACCTCCATGGGGTAGTGACTGATTACCTTGACTAAGTATACAGGAGTTTAGCTGACTTTTAAAAGTGAAAAGAAGCTAAAGATGATTATAATGAATCCTGTCGAGGTTAGATAAATCTGATGGAATGACACAAAGATAAATATTTTCTTAATCTATGTATTAACAAACTGATTTACATTCGATGTATCTTAAGTGATATAACCTTAAGGTCTCGCCTTAATTTTTGTAAATATTAATAATTTTCATGGTTCTAAATTGTTGTTTACACAAAGATTTACCGAGCAAATATTTTTTTAAATAAAGAAGGTTATTTAAAGAATAATACAAGCGCGAGGAAAAATTAATGAAAGTAGCCTGATTTTTGAGAATAAATAGAGTTTAAAATGGCTAACAATTGATTTTAATGAATACTATCTTTCTTCTAGAGACTTTTTCAGAAAGGCTCCGATTTACGAACTGATTCAGGACTTTCAAAGGTTTAAGATAACTGCCGCTAATCTTGAGTTTAACCATGGTGGAAATAAACTCTGTTCTCATCACCGGTGCAAATCGAGGCATTGGGCTAGAATTTGTGAGACAGTTTTTGACCAACACCTCTGTTCGAACGCATATCATCATAGCAACCTACCGATCGCAAGAAAGCTCCTCTGTAAGTATATACATCAGTCGAACACTGAAAAATTCGTATAATAATACATTCGATCATTCCTCCATACTTTGATTTACTGGCCAAAATTAAAAGCCAACGAAAATTTCATCGTTGAGGATATTTGTAAATTAAGCAAAATACAAAGACCTTCTTAGTAGTGACTGGTTTTTGGAAAGAAAGCAAAATAAAAACTTTTTAACCGCTGGCGTGATCGATCGGTCTCTTATTTAAAGTATCTGAAATTATTTCTATGATTTTTGATGTTACGGTCTAATTTTCTCTTTTTTCCAGGCTCTACTGGAGTTGGCAAAATCAACGACTAGGGTCTATACCCTGAAATTTGGTAAGATGATGATTTACTTATAGACCAATCTGCATGCATGTCAGCCTTAGCTTTTGCTATTAGCCGTAATAAAAAACATCGAATTTCCCAAGACTTTACGAAATTTTAGCAATTTACTCGCGTGAAGAGATTACTTCATACTTCAGGAATATTTGCATTTGACCCTCAAAAATTATTAGAAGGAAACTAATAACAACAAAAATACGTTTAGAAATTACGAACGCGTCCTAAAATGCCTCGCTACGGAGTGAGACTGATTACAGAGAAACAATGCACTGGAAAAAAAAACATTGGATCTACAGTCCAGACTCTTGAAAACATTGACAAAAAACATACTCTTGATTCAATCGGATTTTTACTAAAACCAAAAAAAAATCCGCTTAAATTAAGAGGCTTGGTTCTTGATTTAAGCTAGATTCTGATTGAATCAAGAGTACTTTTTCTTGTCGATGTTTTTAAGGGTCTGGACCCTAGAGCCAAATTGTTTTTTTCCAGTGTGGTACCGGTTCATGGATGCGCCTTTAAGGAAAAGTTGGGAGAAAAGCCACTAGAAAGCCGCAATGGTTCATGTAAGTCTTGAGTCCAGAACTTGTTGGGATGTGATTATATACGTCACAAGATGACGAAAATGGTATGTTTATTAAGATACTTTAATTATGACCTTAAAGACCGTTGAAAATTAATAACCGCAGCAGAATCCATAATTCTTTGCAACTTACTTAGACCTTCTTTGGACTTAGCCTTACTTGGATTTTCAATGCAGAAAACTATCATGTATAAAAAGCCACTGAATGGAAGTGGTCGGAGTGTAACTTTCAAACCACAACATTTCCGAGAACACACTGCATGTGTAAAATTCAATCAGAGCGAATAATAACATTATGGAACTCGATTCTTAGGAACTAGATGCTGCAAGTATAACCTTCCATTCTTTTTTCTAGATGTGAACCAGTTTGACGCATATGAAAAATTTGTAAATGACGTTCAAAGCATTGTTGGAGACAAAGGGTTGACCCTGCTAATAAACAATGCTGGAATATGTGTGCCTTTCTGTGATACGCTTGATGATGTCACACCAGAGAAGTTTACGTCTGTTTTTACCACAAACGCTACTGCTCCGGTGATATTGACAAAGGTAAATACGAAAATTTTGCTCGTAATTTAAAGTAAAATATCTGAGAATTTCAAGGGAAAATATGCATATCTTTCTTCAAAAATACATGTTTTATTCGGGGAAATTTGGCAACTCTCGAAGGCTCATACGGCGTACTTCCTTAGCATGACGGCATAGATCTACAAATACATCCTTAATAAAAATCAGACATCAAATTGAAGAAAAAAGAAAAAAATCTAGTGCCAGCAGAGTCGAGGATATAGGCATACTCGGACTTCGTTTTTAGTGTATTTTCCGAAGGAAAAATACACTATTTATAAACTTTCAACCCGAATCTGAGCAACATCACCTCATTAACAGCATAGAGCGGAGCATTGCAAGTTTACGCTTCGCGCCTTCAATTTTGCAAATGCAACACGGACATCCATTAAGCACGAATAGTTGTATCTCTGCGCCGTCATCAACGCGCGTCAGTTCCCTTGCTCTATTTCCGTATTGTGTTGGTTCCGTATGTCTTATTTGTAGTGGTTCTTGTATTATTGAGATTTGTTAAATCTTAGTTAGAAGAAGTTACATCGCCTTTCGACCTTCTTGAAGCTTAACTACCTTCAAGTACGTATCAGACGGAGAAAGAAGGTTTAAAAAACTGTACCTACTTCTTCACGTAAAATGCATTCAATAACTGGAATACGCAATCAGTGCATCAACAATTGACTTACTGCACAAAGTAAATTTTTTTTGAGCCAATTAAAAAAGAGGCCTAGGGGGCTCATTAACTTCCTTCCCGTGTTGCCAAACTTGAAAGGAACCAGTGGTAAATGGGAATAAAGCATGAACCGTGTAATGCCCCTGACGATGTTTCTCGTTTCGATCTCCCTAAGTCGTCGGAAATAATTCATCTTGCACCATCCAAAAAATGAATTCATCTCTTAATTCATCTAATAATTTCCACCTAAATATCTTTCATCATATTTTTTCTACAGTCTTAAAGAATATTTTCTTGCAGGTTCTTCGCCCGCTTCTAAAACAATCTGCAAGGATTCATAGTGACAAGAATAACGGTTTGTATGTTTCTTCATTAATTATTCACCAGTTGCAATGATTAAAAGTTTTTTTTAATAAACTAGAAAAAAATATGAAGGCTGGGCCAAAAGAGGCTTGTCAAAGTGATAGTGCTATTTTGCCTGCTGCATCGGGCCGATTATTGAAACTGATAGACAAACCTATAGACAAAGACGACCAAAGGGGTTTGGAGGGATCCTACTGGTGGAAGCGGGTGGTGGCAAGGGACATAGGAGGTACGTAATAGACTAACTAACGGCAACCCACCAAAAACCCGACAGTTGGATTACATTTTGCAATAAGGAACCACTATCTCTGGCTCTTCTATAAAATCACGTAAGGGAAATCAATGGCATATATGTTGTTTCTAAAATGAGCCAGAAATAGTGGTTCATTATTGCAAAATGTAATCCAGTTAGTCCATAATTTCCTCCTTGAGTCTATAAGAACCACCCATTTCAACCAATAGGATCGCTCCAGACTCCCTATGTCTTCTTTGTCTATCGCTTTGTCTCTCAATTCCAATAATCAGCCCGCAGTAGTACAGTACGCAAGTCCACACTGTGGAAGCAACATAAAGCTACGGTTGCACGCTCCTCAGGTAGCGACATGTAACGATTGATAGCAGTGGCGAGGCGTCAATGATTGATTATCGGTATTTCTCGAATGAAGCTTTGGTAAAGAATCGATTGTTAAGGTGTTCGTTGCAAACACCCTGTTTATCGATCCTTTTCCGTAAATTTAGAGGATAGATCAATCGATACATCGCAAAGGGCCATGTCACTAATTGATGAAATAAAACATCAACACAAGATTCGGTGACCGCTGCAACCTATCCATTTTTGCTACCTTGCCGCATAATAATTATGCCTGTCTGACAATGCCAAAATGATTTTTATCAAGCGACCCCCGTAGTCAGAAACCTGCAAAAACTGTTAAATTGACTATCACGTTCGTTTTAGTTGTATTGCCGAGTGGACTGAAGGAAGTTTCATACTTTTTTTGAAATTCAACTTTTTGGTAACATATTGGCACTTCCGCGATATGTAACTCTCCCAGCAGCGGACCGATTGTTGAAATTTTGTGTTTGTCGGGCAGACATAGATGACATAGGTTAAATGGCGGATCGTGATTGGTCGGCTATGTCTTATCGCCGCTTTGCCGTGCCTTTGTCGGGTTGAACTCACGACAAGCTAGCGGCACCTCTTACGTTTCCGACAGTATGTCGTCCATTCTACCTGACACGACACAACTCTCGCCAAAATACCAATTTTTCGACGTGCCCCTTCAGGGTATTTAAAACAATTTATTAATTTGGACACATAATAGATTATTTTGAGCAAAATTCACCTTAAGTTTTCTCAAATTTCAAAAATAAGAAACAGCTCAACGTGCATTGACGACGGTGTAGAGATACAACTATTCGTGCTTGATGGGTTTCTGTTCTACATTTGCAAAATAGAGGGTTGAAAGCGCCATGGCGCGTGGCGTGAACTCACAAATTGCAATACTCCGCGATATAATACCAGTGAGATGTTGCTCAGATTCGACAGGAAAGCTAAAATGGGAGGCCCGATCGAGTCTCTCTTAGCTGTGTAGCTCACATAGAAATAAGACAAATGGAAACAAACACAATATAGAAATAGAGAGAAGGAAAGCGCGCGTTGATATATAACGGCGCAGGGATGCAACTATTCGTGTTTGATGAATATCCGTGTTGCATGTAGAAAATTTGAAGGCGTGATAGCGCAACGCTTGAACAGTTGAACTCGCAATGCTCCGCTCCATGATGCTGATGACGGGAGAGTGGTTGAAACACGAGGCCCGAATACATCTTTCTAACTCCGGCTTTGTTGACACTCGGTTTTTTATTTTTTTCTATATAATGTCTGATTTTTTCTCTTAAAGATGTATCTGTGGATCTATATATAAAGCTCGTGGCTACTGGCCTTGTACAACCCACGAGGCACGAGTTTTTAATATGCCTTGTGTCTTGTGTCAATGTGAACTGGTTTGGACATCTACAAGTTGTTAACCTAAATTATTCCGGGTCCATGGACATTGCGGTGAATAAAAAAGTAGCCAACATTACTTTATACTTTTAATACTGAGGAGAAAAGTAAGCATCACAAAAAACTGCATACTTTGTGAAAGATACTTACAAGCACGAATTTTACTTTCAATATCTCTTTCGTCTTGTATAGCTCACCAGTACGACTTCAAGTCCGACATGTTGACTTTACCGCAGGCAACGTAATAAAATGGTTCATACGAGTAGTCAATGTCCGTTATTTTGATCTCTAACAGAGAGTATCTGACAATTATTTTCACATACTTGTTACAGGGCTGAGCATCGCAAGAGCCGCAGTGATTAACATAAGCTCAATCGCAGGGTCATGTGCCGCAGATATTGGACCTCTCTCTCTCTACGCCTATAGAGAAAGCAAGGTAAGATTGTGATCAAGGTGACAACTTCAAGAAATTTAAGAAGGGTAAATAAGATTGTGATCAAGGTGACAACTTCAAGAAATTTAAGAAGGGTAAATAGGCCGAGCTTTGTGGAGCCACCCTCACCCTGGAATAGGGCCCATTGCACCCTAAAACGGGACCCATCTCCAACTAATTCAAGACGCATCTCTCCATATGATAGGGGCATTTTACACTGGTTGAAATCACTTTGATTCTGCCCGCCCATCATTTGCTTTCCCGCCGATATTTTAACCCTAGTAAAAGTGAGTCAGCCCGAATCAGTCTGACCCAGGGTAGTTTATGAAACATAGTCTGACGTCAGGCTGATTCAATTATACTAGGGTTGTCAATTAGAGGGACGTTGGGAGGGTGAATTCGCTCGCAGAGGTTGGTTAGCCGGATAGATGATGGAGTATCGAGAAATACACTGGGAAAAAACACATTGGATCTAGAGTCCAGACTCTTGAAAACATTGACAAGAAAGTATACTCTTGATTCAATCGGATTTGTCCTTAAATCAAGAACCAAGCCTCTTAATTTGAGCGGATTTCCTTTTGATTTAAGCTTAAATCCGATGGAATCAAAAGTATTTTTTCTTGTCAATGTTTTTAAGAGTTTGGACTCTAGATCCAATGTGTTTTTTTTTCCAGTGTACAGTGGTGAAGGTTATGCCCCGAATCAGTATGAGATGGGCCCCAAATCAAGAGGAGACGAACCCTTAATCAGTGTGAGGTCGGTTTCGAAGCGGAGTACGAGAGGCGCCGTCAAAATTGATTTTTTTAACCATTATATTTTCAGTTACGTGAACATAGACGGATGTATTCTTGAAATTAAAGGCAAAAGACTCAAGAATATCAAAATAAGAGAGCTTAATTACCAAAACAAAGTAAACTTAAATACAGCGAAGTATACTTTTAAATTAAAAAAGGTCAACATTAAAGAACCTGAAATGCTGCTTAGTAGAATTTTAGATCTCTAGTAGTTTTGCTTAAAGCTATGAATGAAATAAACACTAAGTACCCATCGAGACCAAAAGTATACCAAAGACCACACACATCTCATTTATGTTCCTTTTACAATCTCAAGAATAATCTCATCGCCCCATAATCACTGTAGATATTTCTCTCAGTTTTTAATCATTATTTCTAGGCTGCACTGAATATGAGCACCATATCGATGGCAATCGAGCTGGAGAAGGATGGCATCTTGGTCGAAAGTTTGCATCCAGGTGTCGTGGACACTGATATGACCGCCACTCACACTCTTCCCAAGATAGACGCCACCACCAGCGTGGCAAAAATGATCGAAGTTCTGCTTTCACTCAACGGGAAGAACAAGGAGGGTTTTCCCAGCTACGATGGTAGAATTCTGCCGTTTTAAGCCACCGAATTGGAATGGAAATTTTGTAAATCATGGACTGTGGTTCAAGTCTTATACCGATACATTTCGAGTATACGATTTGTCTCCTGTAACCTGCATTCGAAACGCTTGATTTTATCATCGTCGTCGCTGCCGTCGTCATCATCATCGCCGTCACGAAATATGCATTAGGATATTGTCGATCTACTCGGCCGTTTTTTCGGTTCCATTCACACATAGGCAGTCGAGGGTGGAAAAAAAAATCTCTTTCGTAGCATCTCAAAATAACTGTGAACATTTTATTACTTGGGACTTAAATGTGGACTAAAATGTGGTGTAATAATTGCAGTCTCTTTCTGAAATCTCAAAAAAACATGTAATTAAAATGCTCACACACAAAAAAGCTTTCGGTGGCTTCCTGTAAAATAAAGAAAATGAGGCTTAGTCGAAAACTCCCCTTTTCTCATTGCTGACAATGTCTAGCGTGCTTTTTCACCACACCAGAGAACCTCAAATGAGAATATTTCACGTTGTGTGGCAGCATTGCCAAACTACCACACTAAAAGTTTGATAAATTTTAGATTGAGGAAGTTTTTGGCATGGGGTTTATGTCAAAATTCATGCATTTATCATTTGATGGACGATTTATGTTCAGTGCTTCATATTGAAATTAAAATAAGTATTTCTCATTATTCCGATTTTTCCAATTATGCGTTGTTGTAAGAAAACCCCACATTTTTTTAACACTTAAAAAGAATATCGACGGTGAAACTACCAAACCACGTATCTCGTTTGCGGTGTTTAAAAATCTACGCTCACATTTTATTTTTTTGAAGTAGACCAAATCAATATCATTCCTTGAAATTTTCACGAAATTTTCTCCGCACAAAGAGGAAAAATCACAGAAATTTTCAAGACTGGATGTTAAGTAGTTTTTCATCAAAAAAATAAAGTATGACAGGAAGTCTCCGACGTCGCAAACCGAGATACGTGGTTTGGTAGTTTCACCGTCGATATATGTTTTATTGATTACGTGCCTGATTCCGTATTTATTAATTTCTACTTGTTAGGGAAAGCACATATTAACCTAATAATGCGGAGACTCATACATCCGTGATCGATGTGGTCGTGGAAGAGGACTAGTAAACACCGGTGCACTGTTCAAATCATCTCTTCCACATTCTTGCTGAATATCAGTTCGAACAGCAGTATTTTTGAAATCTCAATTATTTCCTCCTATTAAAGCCACGGGTAATTTTACTTTGCATTATCAAGACACAGGCGGATCCAGNGGGGGGGGGGGGAGGCGTAAACCTCCTCCGCTCGCCCGAAAGGGGGAAGGAAAAGGAAGGAAAGAGAGAAGGAAGGGATGAAGGGAAGAAGCAGGAAGGACGCTGATATTTAATTACTGTTCATTACAAAACTGACTCAAACTTCAAAAATTTTCTTGCCCCCGGACCTTGATCTTCGTCTCAATCGATAGCTCTTAAGTTGATTTGCAAATTAACAATGAGACCAAGATCAAGTCTTTGGTTAGCTTAGTTTTTGAACTGTACAACTTGTCCGGGTATTTTCTGGACACCCTATATATATAAGAGGCGCAAAGCGCCTGGCGGATGGTTGGTTGTAGTTCAGGATTAAAAGCTTGAGAGCTTAAGTTGCAGACTCATGAATCCGCATCCCGAGGAACCAATTTGGAAAAAAATTGCTGAGCCCAAGTGGACAGGGCCAACAATTTTGCCTATAGCGTCCAGCCCACGTACAAACTGGGGCTCTCAAACTGGCACTAATTCTTCTATTTCTCAGCCATTTCTGCACGGAATGCCTTGAAAATTTCAAGATCTGATCTGTGATGTATCCCGAACACATCGGTTACCCTCAAAGATCGTCGGGCCGACGATCTTTGAAAGGCAACAATCAACAGTTCCATCGATGAGCCTCTTTGAGGCCCCTAGTTTGTAGGTGGGCTGGACGCTTATAGCCGCAATCACATGCTGAATGAGGATGCTGAATGTGAAAGTCATCGGCCCGATGCCTGAATTTTGCGCGTAAAATTCAGCAACGAGGCTCAGCGACCATCGGATAATGTCGGATTGGCGGTTAAAACTTAATTTCGTTCACGTAGTGTTCTGTGTTAATGTTAACTTATGAAGTTTTTGTTTTATATTATTATGGAGAAAATCATCTTTATTGACGGCCAAGCCGTGAGGATAAAGTTCCCATCAGGTAAACCCTTCAATTAATCTAAACTTAGTATAAATACTCTATCTTACCACATTTGGGGGTCATCGATTTTTCCGTATTAAATGCAAATGAACTGCAGGCCCATCATTGAAATTTACTGTTTTAGTGTATAAGACAAGATTTAAGTGGATTAAAGATTTAAGATTAATCTGTATCTTATAGATCTGCTTTTTGTAATTTGATCAATATCATTTTAGTAATCGTCGGAGGAGAGTGAAATTCTTAGTGGTGACTGGTGGCACTATCTCTCATCTTGAATTATCCCTAATCGAACCCTGGATTCAGCTTAAGGTGTGCTGACTCCAAACAAAACTTTATCCAATATGGTACATGTTTTTCTAAGGCTGCGAAGCTAACCGCATTTCTGTCGTTCAGTGCGCTGAATGTGTAAAACATGCTCGATGGATCAGTCCAATTCACCAGGTAAAGCTTATTGTAAAACATTTCCTTGTTTTCGTACACTTACTGTCGCTTTATTTTATTCCATTCTATAGGTTCCTCAAATTCTGCAAAGCCGCCGGCCACAACTCCTATCATGCTTCAGCCTGCTGTAATGAAACAACCCGTTGTGATGAACCCTGTTGTCACCAACCCCACTGTCATCCCTGTTGAGACCAACCCTACTGTCATCCCTGTTGAGACTAACCCTGCTGAGACCGAACTCAGGAACAAACCTTGACCGAGTAATGCCCCACCAAGAGCTGGAAAAGTTAAAAACCCGGACGCCACTAAAAAGTGGACTACAGAACAGACCCTAGAACTAATAATGGCAATTAAATATGAGACGTTGCTGTATAATACCAAACACCCGCTATTCAAGAACAGTAAAAATACAAAAAGACTAAGGGCACAAATAACACACCTAGTGAATTTGTTCAATACCAGTCCCAGTAAGTAACTGTCTCTTTCTACTTTTCATTTAAAGATATCATAACTTCTCTACGTTTGTTAGGGTCTTCAGCAATCTTAAGCTAAATTAAGTCAGCTGGTCTTTTGTGGTGTGCTTTATTTATTTATCTACACTGAAAAAAATGAGTATGTGGTGAGAGTCCATACTACTTCGAAAACTCAAGTTATAAACTTTCCGTCCATACCGTCTAGCTTTCACGACTAGAGCAGAGATGTACCGTAAACATATCGTGTATGGAAAGCAGGTGTATAAACTTGATGTTCATACGGTATGGACTCTGGGTCCATACCAAAACATAGTGCGAATGTCACCAGTATGAACTCGAAAAATCGTTATCCTTCTCTGCGATCAAGATCGCCTCGTACCGGTGTCCGCAAAAATAGTGGAAAAATTAAATCTTCGCGCGTCTTTTTCCTAATTTCATGAAATCGTTGAGTTCACGTCACTCTACCCGCACAACACCATTCATCGTAATTTTCTGGGTCAGTCTAGGAGGTATTGCGTTATCCGTAAGGTTAGCAACAACAACATCCACAACAACAAATCGGCCGGTTCTCGTGAAGTGAAGGTTTTGTTTGATTATACTTTTATTTGCGTTCTGGTTCAATGTAGGGTGTTTCAGACCACCCGTACCAGGCCTTTTTCTCGGTTGGTTTAGGTCGCACGAAGTCGGAGACCGCGGGGTTGAATAGGGAATTGACCCCAAGGAATCCGAATTTCGTGGTCCCGAAACCCCCCCACCCCCCCTTGGGGGGTAAAGGGGGAGTCACGATGCTAAAAGTCACGGTTCCCGACCGAATTGCGGATAGATCGCATCAGAATTGAAAAGCACGAAAAATTTCACGTGGAATTGACCCCTAAAAATCCAAAATCAGACCATTCAAGGCCCAAAAATGACCCCCTAAAGAGGGGGACAGTACCCCCCTCCATAATTTCTCTTTGGTCTCAAAATTGACGTAAATTGTCCAGAAAAAGACGGTTTCCCAGGTAATCGACCTCGAGAAATCCAAATTTCATGGTCCCGAAGCTCCTCTAGCCCCCCTTGGGGGGTAAACGGGGGGCCCAATTTTAAAAATCGGGGCTCCTTTCCGAATCGCAAATTGATTGCATCCAAATTGAGGAGCAGAACACATTTACATCTTAAGTGACTCCTAAGAGTTCTAATAGACCCTCTGAACGGCAGAAAGTAACTCCCTGCGGAGGGGGGCTTCGCCCCCGCCAAAAATTTCTCAAGATTCCTCTTTGGTCGCAAAATTGACGTCGATTCTCCAGAAAAAGACGGTTTCCCGTGTAATCGACCCCGATGACTCTAAATTTCATGTTCCCTGAGCTCCTCGGGGTCGATTACATAGGAAACCGTCTTTTTCTGGAGAATCGACGTCAATTTTGCGACCAAAGAGGAATCCTGAGAAATTTTGGGCGGGGGCGAGGCCCCCCTCCTCAGGGAGTTACTTTCTGCCGTTCAGGGGGTCTATTAGAACTCTTAGGAGTCACTTAAGATGTAAATGTGTTCTGCTCCTCAATTTGGATGCAATCAATTTGCGATTCGGAAAGGAGCCCCGATTTTTAAAATTGGGCCCCCCCGTTTACCCCCCAAGGGGGGCTAGAGGAGCTTCGGGACCATGAAATTTGGATTTTTCGGGATCGATTACCTGGGAAACCGTCTTTTTCTGGAAAATTTGCGTCAATTTTGAGACCAAAGAGAAAATATGGAGGGGGGTACTGTCCCCCTCTTTAGGGGGTCATTTTTGGGCCTTGGATGGTCCGATTTTGGATTTTTAGGGGTCAATTCCACGTGAAATTTTTCGTGCTTTTCAATTCTGATGCGATCTATCCGCAATTCGGTCGGGAACCGTGACTTTTAGCATCGTGACCCCCCCTTTACCCCCCAAGGGGGGGTGGGGGGGTTTCGGGACCACGAAATTCGGATTCCTTGGGGTCAATTCCCTATTCAACCCCGCGGTCTCCGACTTCGTGCGACCTAAACCAACCGAGAAAAAGGCCTGGTACGGGTGGTCTGAAACACCCTGTATTATGGTGAATATCAAAAGAGTTTTGGTAAATCCTGCTGTGACTCTGTTTATTTTAAGTAAACAGTATCACTCTGTAAGAAATAAAGTAGCTATTAGTAGATGTTACCATGCTTTTCTTTTCAGTGCATTGGTATAGTAAATACAACCACGCAAACCAGCAAACTCGATTACCACGAATTCCGGTTTGATGCCGAAATGGCCAACATGTGAAATTCTTTTTTCAAGAACAATTCAAACACTTCTTTACTATGGTATCATCAAACTCTACCCTAATCGTGGATTCACGTGAAAAGTTTTCGGTGCCAACAGTCATGCTGTTCACCCGATTTGTGACTGGTGAGTAGTGGTGAGTACTAGGGGAAGTCATTCGAGGTTTAAGAGGAAACGGTATGCGTTCCTTAACTACGAGGCGGCAAAGGCATTTCAGGGAGTGCTTTACGATATTACTGTTACAAAGTGAGGGCGGGACTTAAGGACCGAGATTAAAGGCCTAAAGCTAAGCTCG